CCTTCCATTACAAGGAATCCATAATTTGATTTCAATTATTTAATTAGTTCCTTTTGCCTCTGACATTTAAGCTTCTGGCATCCTCAGCCACTGATAAGCTCATTTACGCATATTAGTTAGCCGTAAAAAGCTGCCACTTTTTCCCTCTCCTACGCTGTTATTATTTGAACAGCTGTTTAGGCAGGAATATGGAGTAAGAATAAGCTCACATCGCGCTTTGACAACATTATACCCACTCGGGCACTTTCACATTTAAATGGATCGACTTGGTCAAAAATAAGTATTATATTTAAGTGGATCGACTTGGTCAAAAGTATGCTACTTGAATTCCCTTTACTCTAGATAAAGGACTTGTTTTTAACAATGTTGAACTTATGTGTCAGAAGCCAAAAGTAATTCTGGCAATTATTTCTACTCTGTAGAGTAGACAATAAGGGCAACAATGTATGTAAAAAATTAGTCCTTGCTTCAGCAATGTTATTATTTATTGCAGTAATACAATTATATTGTCAGTATTGCACATTACAGACTTTTTAAACCTCTCAATTTTCTAAATATAAATTCACTAACTTAAGATATTTGTCATTGCTACTTGGACATCTATTCTGCTATAAATTACTTTATTACCAGCCTACATATACATGTACTTAACTGATCTCTGAGAAGTGATTAACTTTTGTTTATAAGCGGCCGCAAGATCGTGGAGCGGTGTGTGCAGCGCTTTGTAACCGCAAGGAGAAGGCGCTATATCAAATATCTTTTGGACTGGATTGGGGTGGATTGGACTTTAATGTGAATGTATGTTGTAATCTGATTCTGAATGATAATCCTGATGACAAGTAATCACTGTATTGCATCACAGATTTTCAATTAACCTTTCCATCAACTATGGTTGCTATCAGAAAAGCCATTTGTCTTATTTTGAATGCAGTATTTCATCAAAAGAAAGTCATTTTACTTATAAATACCAACAAATAAATGATTCTTAAAGATATGATTGCAGTATGTATTGGATATGAAATGTACATAGAGCAGGTGTTACAAAGGCCTACTTCTCAATTTTAATTTTTTAATTTTAAACCGTCAATATTTCTAGTGAATGGTTCTATTACCTTTAACCACATTCTGAGATGGAGCATTCATGCATCCCTCTTGTCAATTAGGCTTGAATCCAATAACTTCTCAATGGATTGACAATCTTTGATGTATATAGATGTGAGTACATAGTGAGTAGAAGAAGCCCAAAAGCAGGAAGTCCCCGGGCAAAGCATCCTTCTTGAGACACCATGATCAGGCTTGAGGAAAGGTCAAGTAGGTCATCTCATTCCCAGGGCATTTTTTTTTCTCCGCCAGAGTCCGCCTAAGAATAATTTGTCCCCTTCTGAAACGTTGCTCCTAAACAAATGCAAGTTAATGATCAAATTGGGAGAAGTTCATGTTACTTAATACAGTTAAACATTATCCTTTATATTGTGATATAAAGCTTTGAATTTATACTATGAAAGATGGATGCTTTGAAGACAAGTGGGATGTGCATGTTTACTCTGTGGGTAATAAACTTATAAAACGCTGGTAATGTTATCAATTACTTTTTTTTTTTTTTTTTTGGAGGGGGGGGGGGGGTGCATTTTAAGGAAGTTTTATGATTATTCATGAATGCAAATACCTGTAGATGTATACCCCCTCCTACATTTTGAAATGTTATGTAGATAAATGTGATACAGGCCAAATAAAGGAAAATATTGTGAACTGAGTCTTTCACACTATGGAATTGAATTCACTCCATTAGTCTATGGCCACACAGTGGTATACATTGTGTGATTATCTCTTTAGCCACAGTGTATCACACTGTGGCTAAAGTGTTGAAATATTGTGAACTCAGTCTTTCACTAAGTCAAACACTTTGGGATTGTTGTGAATTCACATTGTTAGTCTATGGCCACTTACCACACTGTGGTATACACTGTGTGATTATCACTTTGGCCGCAGTGTATCACACTGTGTCATGGCATGGAATTGTTGTAAATTCCCTCTACTAGTCTATGGCCACACTGTGGTATACCTTGTATGATTCTTACTATGGCAACAATGTACCATACTGTGTCACTCCATGTAGGAATGTTAACACATACAGTAGTTTCCTCATATTTATAAAATAAGTTAGGATATATACTCTAAATCATCTTTGTGTAATGCACACATCATGTGACTTTTTCTGTAGAATCCTTATTGAATGCAATGACTTTGGTAATGATGATATTACTCTACATTAAAGTGCTTTAGTCGTTAACAATAATTTGACGTTGCAAGATAAAAGTAGGAGAATCAACCTCTTGACTATGAACCATTATCATGCCATAGAGAGTAAAACAATGTTTCCTTTGATATACAAAGCATTGCTGTAGGCCAAATAATATTGTCTTGCAAGTACAATAAAGAGACCCTACTGCTGCCCAAGGAACCTACCATTTTGTCGAAATTTCCCTTCAAAACTTCCGGGCGATGACGTATCGCACAAAGAACTGATGTATAACTGTGTTACACCACTTGTTGGATTCTCTTTCTGAGGAAAGACTTGCTCCTGAATACCTGAGCGGGTTGAGTGGACCTGAGCTGCATGTAATATAGCATCCACCATCCGTGTAATACATGATGAAGGCTTCTGTCACCAAGATCCCATTAGAACCATCTATGACCCCGTCGCTAATATTTATCCTGCCGCTCAATTTTTTCTTTTACCTTTTTTTTCCCTCTCTCTCCGTCCGTCTGCCCCTCATTTTCATATCAGTATTTTTGGTTATTTTGCTTCAGTCAAAATAAACTGATGAATGTGATGAGAGAATGGTGGAGAAGGAGAGAGAAAGCAAGAGAGAGAGAGAGAGAGAGAGAGGGGGGGGGGGTGAGGGGGCATACATGTTCATGTAGAGGGATTGAAGAGAGGAAGGGTAAAGATTGATTGAGATGGAAAGAGAATGAGAGAGAGAGAGAGAGAGAGAGAGAGAGAGAGAGATGGGGGGGGGGGGGGGGACTAAGAGTGTATTCATATCAGAGGACAAAAAGTAGGTGAGGAGAGAAATTTTGTCTTGTGTTTCCCCAATGCACACAGACAGATAGATTGAAAGAAAGATAGAGACACAGCAGAGGTAGAAATTATAAAAAAAAACAAGAGAAACAGCTTATTTTGGATATTATTGGTGTGGTTCACTTTAATTCAATTCACTCCAAATTGGCCTTTTTAGCCATTACATGTATCAGCATATTAGGACTACTTCTTTTGTCGGATACTAAATATTGCTCATAAAGGAATAAATTTGCCTTTGGGAGATGTTCTATTTCATGATTGTATCAGTGTAGCCTTCAAAAATTACATAAATTCTTGAATCATTTAATGAATATGCATAGTCCAGAAATAGAAGTTACTTCCAAATAGTTTATTTCAAAATATATTTTACCTGTAACTTGATAGCCTTTTAAGAATTTGCTGTATCAATTCAAAATGATATTTTTGGCCAGAAAAATTTGCCATGTCAGCACTGTGAAGATGCCACTATTAAAGATTGATGACAAACTATTGTTATATTGCTAAACGATTTGAGTGATTGTCAAACTTTGGCCCCATCTATGGGATTCTTTGAGCTGTGAAATTTGGAAATAAATGTATTTGTACTTCAAAACGCCACTGGGCAGACGGATGAGAAATTGAGAATAATTGCTATATCTCCACCTGTTCATAGGGAAGCATGGGCAGAGGGCAGTCAAACTTCTTATGTTATTATGTAACCTGTCTATGATGGTCTCTTCTTTATCTGGGCCAATGGTGTCTTTCGGGCTTCAAAAAGTAGATTGTGGACTCATCAATTGAAAGGGCTAAAAAAGAATACCAACACCTTTTAAATGTTGTATAAAACTTCTGTAGTATTACAGATGAGCAACATATAAAGTTATTGATTTTTTTTTGGAGTGGTGTTCTCCCCTGCCCTTTTCTGAAGTTGATTTAATACACGTAAGCTTCAATATACTACTTCCAGCGCCCAACTTGTTTCACCTCACATCCCCCTCCTAATAGAGTTCCTTGCCCTAGACCCCTTACTCCCCCCCCCCTCCACCCTCCCCCACCTCCCCTCCTCCACCTCCCCTCCTCCATCTCCCCTCCTCCACCTCCCCTCCTCCACCTCCCCTCCTCACCCTTTCCTCCCCTACCTCCCCTCCTCCACCTCCCCTCCTCACCCTTTCCTCCCCCACCTCCCCTCCTCCCCCATAATGTTCCAGAGGATAGCCTGATTTTTACTCTGATTTCCTGTACTTCTCTCCTCCCTCCCACATCCCCCATCCCCCTTGACCCAAGATCCCCCTCCCCCATCTATTGTTCCAGAAGGCACTCTATGAGGGTCATGAGGCGAACTTCATACCCATTTCTTTTTCTATTTGACATAAATTAGTTACCTATATTAAGTGCATTTTACACCTGTGGGGGGAGGGGGGGGGGGTGGCAGAATGGAAAAAGATTGATTTGTAGGGGGTTCAGAGACTGATGGTTGGGTGAAGGATAGATTTTTGTAAGGCAATGGACTGCTCTCTAGAAAAGGTACCAATCATATCAAGCCTATTTATGAAAAAAGGGTATATAGGCCTATGTTGTTCAAAAATTTGCTAATGAGCATTTTTCTCTCTGATTAGTTATTATACCTTTCCTGTACATCACCGGATTTTGTCATAATTTCTGTGCAAATAGTTCAATCAATCGATCATTGATAATCTCTATTGTTCCACTCACAAAATATATGGTTGAATATAATAGATTCCTTTACGAAAGTCAGTTTGTTTACCCCAAATTCAGTATGATTTATTCCTGCTTTCAAAAATTTGTGGTGGTTTATCTTAAAGCAGTATAATGCTGAGCACTTGTTTACTTCTCTGAGAGAGACTAATTTTTTAAAAAGTTTAGATGACTATTATCCTAATAACAATTGTTTGTTTCCTCTTTTGCTCTTCCCTTACAGGACTACATAACTGAAATCCTCAATTCACTGAAAGGAGAAATATTTCAGAAATTTTTAGAAAGGTAAGTTGATCAAAACATCTTTTAAATTCATACTCAATTAATTTGTTAATGATTTTGTTTGTGTAAAGGAACCCTTTTTTGCTACGAGACAAAGATAAACAATTCTTCTTGAGAGACAGAAAGGTATAAGTCATACTTACTAGAAAAGATGCAGCTCTAAGATTTTGATTTTGAAATAGTGAAGTAAGATATATGTCATTATTCACCATATCATATATATCGTCGCTGTTTTCACGAAGTGACGGTAGTGAAAAAAAATTGCATTCACTTTGCGTTACGATTTTCCTCACTACCGTCACTTCGTGAAAACAAGGACGATATATATATATATATATATATTGAAACCTTGGTGGCTAATTACTTTATAGGTCCAATGCAACAGCAATATTAAGTTTCCTTTCTATCAAATCTAAAATATTGTATCTGATTATTCTACAATTTATATATTTAATTGAGAGAATCATTTTTGTTACCATCCAAAATTATGTTTTTTCCCAGAAAGCTATACAGAACAAGATATATGCATACAAAAATAGTTGATTTAATATTTGTCTTAAAATAAGAGAGCAAAGAGTTCTTGAATCAGTTCAGGAGTCTGTACTCCCAGAGTATTTGCTATAAAAGAATTGTTATCTCAATTACACATATTACTTTATTAGGCTTCCAGTCTGTATGTCATCATTTCGAAGGGGAATCTAATGGATTGCATACATATTTAAGAACATAGAATAATTTATGAAATCAATTATGGTTTGTATACTGTGTTTCTAGTATGGTACATAAGTGTGTAGAATCAACATGGTATGTTGTCTACTGCATGGCATAAGAGATGCATATTTGGAATACACTGGAAATGATTTTCATACATTTTTTCCCCAACTTGCATCACATTCCAAATGAATTGGAGCTTATGCATAATTTCAGATTTCTCATGGAATCTTGAAATACGATGTAAAAGGGGAGGTATTATCACACATACACACATGCATTGAACAGCATATACACACCTACCACATAAGAGACACACCAAATGAGTGCTCTGTCACTGTTTATACCATGTACAGCATGTATACAACACACAGACAGTGAATCGCCATCTCTAGTAGATCATGGGAAGCATGGTGTGTGAGTGTGTGTTGTGTGTATGGAGGCAGTTGTGCATGGAGATGTATGCATAGTTGGTCGCCATGTGTACACATGGGCCCAAGGCGTATAGTCTCGTACAGTGTGGGTAGGTAGGATGGATGGGAGAGTAGTATGGAAAGAGCAATGCATGCATGCATCCATCGTCTATCCAGAAAGACGAAGGCAGCTAGACCCTGAGACAAATAGCAAAACCATCTCATAATGAGCGTACGCCACCTCCCTTGTATTTCCAAGGTAGAATGAGAAGCAACGAGCATGAAGCGTACAGGATTTTTTTTGATTTTTTTTATTTCTCTCTTCTCTCTCTCTCTCTCTCTCTCTCTCTCTCTCTCCTTATTTGGGGGGTAATCTTTTGGTAGGTTCTTGCCACAATGATCATAATAAATTTATATGACCTGTATGGAATAGCCATCTCCCAGCTGCCAATCTTGAGAGTGGATAGAACATAGAGATTTAATGGAAAATTGATCTTTACAGATCCATGCAAAATTTATCCAAGGTTTCATATTGGAGTGATGGGGCACAGGCAAAAATTGGCCTTTCCTCTAATATTATTAATAGCTGGTTTAAAATTCTGAATTCTGAACAATGTGGAAAGGAACATATAGAATGGCATCTATTATCATTAATTACGAAATCAGTGGAAAACATCAATGCTAAAAATGTTTGATATTAATCCATCAAAATAAACATGAACCAGAACTTTGATATGAAGATAAAAGTAATGTCCGACTTTTGAGAGTTTTCTATCTCTTTCTTGGGTAGCTCTCATAATGACTGTAATGTATGAAGGTGAATAAAATCAAATTATGCTCACCAGTTTTTATTCCCTGTATATAATAGTCATCTAGTCATTTATCCACATTTTTGTTTTTGTCATTGTTTAGAATATTCTAGGGCTTATTGAAAGGCAATGTACATCCTGATACCAAGTTCATTTTAATATAAGCAGAAAGTGATAGAAGCGTGTCAGTGAAAGTTATGGCAAAATGAGGCTTAAGGTCATAAATGTTTCTCAGGTTGTAACTGATTGAACAAAAAGTATTACATTTATTTATTATATAATACTGAGAATTTTCTTTTGGTTGTTAACGCATAGCAGTTATGAGTTTTCTACAAGTCTAAAATTCAATTCAATTCAATTCAAATGAACATTTATTTTCTTCCAAACAATACAATTTATAAGTAGGAACATAAATATAATTAAAGAACTTGTATTACAAGGAAGAAGGCGCGAAACCTGAAAAGCATAGCAACAATTTTAAATATTTCCCACTATTCCATAGGTTTAAAGAAGAGTAATGCGTGTAAAATGAAACAGTGTGAATAAAAATTACAAAAGATTGAAAACAATAAGCTGCCAAATTTCTACACAATATATAATTATAAATTCTCTCTGCATCTCCAATTAAGAGAATTCAATGATTATTTTTTTCATTCAATCGCTCTAATTCATTAACAGCATAGTGTACTGCAACAGAAATTGACTTGGATTTTCCATAGATTTTTTCACTTTCTGCTCATGTAAAATTCATGATTCTTTTGGATGAAAATAAAAAATTAATTTCACTAAAAGGTGACATTAAACTGCTTTTTATATAATCTCTTTCATAGAGGGGGACAGGTATACACATGTTACCAATAACCTTGAGCACTGGTATAATGAAATAGTTTTCTTTGTATGGAAGGATGAAGATTATGATTATTTTTTAGTACAAGGAACCTGGAAAGGTACATGCAAGGGAAAATAGAATTGCCAATTTGCATTTCATTGATCACTACTTTCTTACCCTTCACCAGAGTTTCATCAATTGTTCATCGATATGTTTTTTAAATAATTGTCCGGCTTTTATAAAGCCATCTTTATGCTAGGGTGGACTTCTTTCTCCTTGTAAGACAATATTTTGTTTATACTTAGGAAAAAAGGGCTTGGAAAGAATAAAACAAGGAGGAGTGATTCTCGTAAAGAAAATGTAAAAATATCATTGAATAGCTCATGCGAGATAGTAACCTAAGTTGACAAATACAATTGTATTTTTTGTTCTCCCCTTTTATATTAGTTTTCTAAATACCAGGATACTCATCAGTCTATTTAGCTATATATTCTGGGTTTCCAGCACTTAATAGAATGCTCATCATTAAAGTTTTTGTATTGCTTTGAATGATTGTAAATTAGTAATTTATGATTGACACTGATTAAAAAATAAGAAAAGAAAAGGAGAAAACAGAATGCAGCTTCTTGTATTGAAACAGCCAAAGTGTTTTTTATGGTGACAAAAATAAATCTTCTTCTTTAAATAAAAAAAACACCTTAATTTCATACAACCTAGGGGCTAGGGGGCTCCATTAAATGCTTATTACAGCATTTAATGTGAAAACTAATTCTCGACAGGGTTTTCGGAGACATACACAAAATACATCAGTGTGAATCTTATTTAAACAAGAAACATTACATCTGAGAAAGAGAGGTGACCTTATTAGATAAAAGGAGGATCGAAAGGAAAAGAAGAAATCTATAAATACTTGTTCTTTGTAGAGTACCTGGATAGAATTGTTAATGATCATTCTGATAAAGGAGAAAATGCAAAAACCATTCCCTGGGTGCTTGTATGTAGTGGGGCAATATAGAAGCCTGAGAAAATAGTCTTACTTCCAAACTGTGAGTATCTGGTGAAGCTTGGCACCATTGAGCAATATTTTAGTGTGTCAACAGATTATCAGGGATTAGCAGCTATACGTCTTTTTTTTTTTTTTTTCTACTCAATTGGTTTATTTATTTGTCTTTGTATAATTATAATGATTATTTTTAGGTTCCTTTTGTGAGGGGGGGGGGGGGGGGGGCCTTGCCTGCCCCATACCTGCCAACATTTGAAAATAAGAAATCTGTACCCTTAACAGTCGATCGCATGGCTTTACCATGGCCACATATGCAGCGGCAGTGTAACTGGCAATACGCAGTAAATTTGTACAAAAAAGCGAATACAAATTTGCTCCTCGGTCGTTCAGCCATTCAATGTACGCAATACGCGAACTCTCAAATTATGGCACATGGTAAACAAAATGCCAAATTTGGCTATAATAAAAAAATATATATATTTGGTCATTCCAAAATTTTGGAAAAAATCAGTTTATTCAGAATTTTTAAATAAAAAAAATTAAGAAAATAGAACAGTCAGCAGGTATGCTGCCAGGAGGGAGGATGCCAACCTTACTGGATGGGGGGGGGGGGGGGGGGGGGGGGGGGGTGGGGGGATTGAATGTAGGGCATGATATGAATACAATTAAGTGTTTTATGTTAGGGTTACTTTTTATTTAAACTAAATGTTTAAATTATTGTTGAAGAATTTCACTGATAAGGGGTATTTTCACTTACTTCTGTCATCGGTGTGATCATTTTATTTTATTTTGGCCCTTAATTGTTACAGTTAACTTGCCCCACTTTTCTCTCGTCCTGCTCAAACTCTTTTTAATACACTTCTCTTGTGTAAATGATTTTCACCCCTAGAAAAGCAAGCAATTTGTAAAAGATAAATGTAATATCTTTGTAAACACAATTGGTTGAGTTAGATTGCATGTACCATTAATTTGGTTAAATTATTGAATTGTTTTATTCTTTGAAATTTGCTAAATGGGTCACAATGGAGATGAGAGATACGGTACACATGTAGGTCGATGTGAGCCCATAGGCATGCAGAGTGAAATCAGATTCATCTGTAGTTTATATGGATGATTCTTATGTATGTATCTAAAGAGAAATAATTGAATGCTTTGAGGTGTCTAACAGTCTCATGTGACATGATTCTGCTGCATATTGCCTTAATATGCTGTTTAATGCCATCATTGTTGTTTTGGAGGCATTGCAAAATTTACCATCAACGCTAGACTAACACAATATATGGAGAGGAACTCTTGAAGATGAAGGAAGTTATATGGAACTGAAGTTCATGAGTGCATTCTTGTTTTGTTCTGAATTCATGAAAATGGCAATATGCCATGTTTGATTTTGTGTAGATATTGTAAATAAATGCAATTACAATGGTCATTCATATTGCTGTGCCAATCTATACAATTTGTACAGGCATAGAGGCACAATAGACTACACAAACATGGGCCTCAGAACTTGGTTCGTCTCCAAAGATCTGAACTGTTTCTGTTCATATTGGAAATGATGATTGTAAAGTAGCAACATTTTGGGGAATGATATTTTTCCAAATGAAATCAAGAGAAAGAGAAAGCTCGCAAGTGATTTTATCTGTTCCCTTGAATGCCTAGGAAGGCAGACTAGGATGTACAGTATGTAATCCTGGTAAATAGGGCATGGCCATCTGACATTTTGAACAGGATAAAAATCTTCCACACCCCCCCCCCCCCTTGACCTCTTGTGCTCCCTCCTTTCTCTCTCTCTCTCTCTCTCTCTCTCTCTCTCTCTCCCTCCCTCCCCTCTCTCCGTCTACTACTGTTATTCTTCTATACTTGTCTCAGGATCGTATGAAAACTTCTGAGGCGGCAGAACAAATATTGTTTGAACCGTGCTTTACTTTTTCACCTCCAAAGTCTTACCGGTAGCTCTTCTTACCATGCAAAAAAAAAAATATGATTTTGGGAGTTGGAAAGAGATGAGCTGGACTTAAGAGTTCTTTAAAGGAGCATGTGTGAATGGACGGCTATGCGCCACCGCCCAGCATGCTCTCGATAGCTGCCATGCTCATCTGACTTCCCGAACCTTGAAAGATACAAGCCACATTCAATGATGGAGGCTGTCATTTTTTTTTTAACCACACAAAAAAAGATATATGACAACTGAAAATCCTTCAATACACAATTGTGCATTTCTGTTTGATGTCATAATTATCATTTTCTCTGTTGAGAGCCAGAAAAGTGTCAGTTCTGTATTAATTAAAAGAGTAAATGTCATTCAAGCTCTCAGCGTACAACATCATTGTTCTGATATCAGCTAGTGTTATAGTCATTGCTCTTTGAATGTATGATTTTAGAGATACTACTGTACGTGTAGTATTTGTTGTAACACTTGTGAAGCAATTCTAAGATTCGTATCAAGAATTCTGTTGATATCAAATTGGCTTTTGATTCATGTGTATTAAACCCTATGCAGTCATGATGAAGATAGCAGCATTTATCTGTTGCTGTTGCCTTTTATAATTTTGTTACAATAAATTTCATTTTATATTTTCATAAAGCTTGACACTAACTACCATGTGATTGACATTGTGAACTATGTTGATAATATACCTTCTTTTTTTCTCTCCTTTATTTCTTTCATCTCTGCAGTGATAAGTTTACTAGGTTTTGCCAGTGGAAAAATGTAGAACTAAATATAAATGGCATGGTAAGTAAATATACTTTTGTTTTCCTTTACAATAAATTAGTTCAGTTAATGTAAATATAGTTTTAGGGATTAAATGTTTTAAATCTTACTTGAGATTATTAAAATCATATAAGCATGAAGGTCTTCCTATCATTATTAGTAAAACATTAAAATGTAAAGCATATTGAAGTATGATCATGTAATGCGCTTATGTTAGGTATCATTGATATCATGATACATATCGGGGATACATAGAAATCAATTCTCGCTACCCCAAATAGCGATTCTGCCGAGATCCGGGGAAAATCCTGAAAACGCGCATTGCATTATGGGATAGCTTTTCGACATTACAGCTTCCTGTGCAGGCGGCGCGATAGCGCAAACGTAAAACGCCGTCGCCACACAACGTGTATGCACCGAATATGTCGTCTGCTCGGTCTTGTTTTTTTTTTGCAAATATTTCAACGTTTATTTGAACATTTCATTCGTTGTTTTTTGCGTCTTTTGACATCAGTGACGATGGTTTTCTTTTGTGAGGCTGCACAGTGCTGGGCTCATGATTCCAAGCGTAAGAACCCTGAAAAATGGGGGTGGATGAAGGCCGTGACTTGGGATGGGACTCTATACCGGAAGTTGTAGTGACGACCCGAGAGAGTGAAAATTACCTCGTCTCGCGAATTTAGAGATTTTCGTACCTATTTAGGGTAGCGAGAATTAAATTGCAATTATAACACAAATGTTCAGTGTTTTTATTCATCACCATCAAACCTGGATGAAGACGTTGTTTCCAATATCATTAAAAATGACAGAAAAGGTGATTTTTGATTGCAATATTGTATTATTAATTGATTCCCATGAGGTTTCGCACCAAGTTGTTGGTTTCAGTGTTGACGGGACAGTTCTTTAATGACTGTTTTAACTCTGATTTGTAGTTTATTATCATATTTGGGATCTGCAATTACTAATCAATATTATGGGTAAAGCTAGAGTTTTAAAGAAATGCTACAATGAGAAAAATGATATCAGATAGCTGTATCAGGTTTTATGGTGACAAAGTATATTTGATAAAAAACATGAAACAAGGATACTCCTTTTCAGGACTACCACACCCCCAAGAAAGATTACTGAGTCAGAGTCCTTTTTCAGGACTCCTCAAACCTCTCTCTCTCACATGGTGCACCCGCAAATCTACTCTATAAGGATACTCATGTCATTTATGAATGAGATCACGTGACCTGAAATAAAGGTCACACCAGCTAATGATCAAGTATTTTCTTTCATTGCACATAAATGCAGGTACCTAGAACAGTGTGGTGTATTGTATTGTATAATATTGTAGTGCTAATAATGATACTATGTTATAAACCTCCTTTCTCTTCACTACTTATTTGTAGAAAGATCCAATATCACTCCTGATTGTATGAAAACATTTGAAAAATTGAAAATGTCATCAATTAAATTTTGTATATTCACAGGGGTTTACATTTAGCCATTACTATTTCACTGAAAGAATATTTCTTTTTCCCCTTGAGAAAATTATAAAATAAAAGAGTTCAGAAAATAATGTAATTATAGTGCATAGCAAAATTGTTAATGGGGTATAAAATGACAGATCTGACTTATATTATAAATGCAGAACGATAGATATAGGATATGTGTATGTGTGGTAAATACAGCTTATAACAACGGAAATTGGAAATTCATCAACAAATAAATCATCGTCATTGCTCTTTGATTGCTTTGCAGTTGTCAATGAATGACTTCAGTGTACACAGAATAATTGGCAGGGGTGGCTTTGGAGAAGTTTACGGGTGCCGCAAGGCTGACACCGGCAAAATGTAAGTATTCTTGGTGGTGGTGGTGGTGGTGGTGGTGATGATGTTGGTGGTAGTGGTGATGGTGGTGGTGGTGGTGGTGGTGATGGTGTTGATGATGATGATGTAGGTAGTGGTGGTGGTGGTGATGGTGATGGTGTTGATGATGATGATGATGATGGTAGTGGTGGTGGGGTGGTGATGATGATAGTGGTGGTAGTGGTGTTGATGATGATGATGACGGTGGTGGTGGTGGTTGTATTAAATGGATTATAACAAAAAAAATAGTGTAACTTTTTAAAGAAATATCATTGGTCAATGCAAAAGTATTAGTACAAATATCACGTAGGAACAAAAGTGCTATTGAATTTAATATATTCTTGCCATATCCAATTATATAAATTTTGTGTTCATCACATGCTCTTTCTCTTCCTTTGAACAAACTTACAATCAAAAGGTTACAAAAGATATTTTATGAATAGAGATTTGCCATATATAAATTGTGGAAATATTAAATTAATATCTTGGATAGTGAATAACAAATTTGCACTACTTCAGAAAAGCAATTATGAAAATGAAAATGAATGTAATGAGTCCCCTTGACACTAATTTCTCTTCTTCCTCAAGGTATGCAATGAAATGCCTGGATAAGAAGCGGATAAAGATGAAGTCTGGAGAAACACTTGCCCTCAACGAAAGAATAATGCTTTCTCTAGTCAGTGAGGTAAGATAGTCATCTCATAAACTTAATGACAGAAGGGCATTACTTCAAATACTGGAAAATAGAGTTAACACATTTCTGTCTCTCTGTAGATAATCATTTACACCATCCAATCACGAGAATGAAATATGTTGATTAGAAATGTCGTTTTACGCAGGTTATATGACATCATGTCCAATACCCTTTGTTTCATGCCTTCTTTCTTTAAAAGATTAGGGTCGAGGTTAGCATTTGGTTTAGGGTTGAGGTTGGAATCGGGATTAGGGTTGAAAATTAGATTTCAGTTACTGTTAGAAATGGACTGCAGAGCACTTGTTGCTGGAAAATATGTCGTACAATCTTCATGCTATGCTTTTTATATTTGCAAAGGGTACACAGAAAGTATATTGTATCCACTATTTATACTTTACATATTTCTGGCCCTGTTTTTTTATATTTTTGCTAAACAGGTAGGTTCCCCAGAAATCAGATGTTTTAAATTTATCTTCTGTCTTCTGTCTTTCCACTTTACTTTGTCTCTCTATTATTTTTCATCATAAGCCATGTGGGAAAGCATTAGTACAGGAATTTCTAATGTTAGTGAAGTAGGAATTTGCCTGTGCATTACTTACTAACACAGGCACAAGCTGGACAACAGCAAATGTAATGCAATATCGAAATGTTACAAACGAGCGGACTGTTATATGCCATTACCACATTTTCTGTATCACAACATGATATATATTCTTCCGTCACAACCCCATTATATCCTCATCAGCATCCTAGAAGTCACTCATTTAGTGTCCTAATCAGGCTGTCCAATACATCTGGGATCGTGTGTGTTATTCCACCTGTCCAGACCTCTATATTTGACTATTGCTAATTGCGTAATCACCATTCCATGTCATCCAGTTAATTCTATCGTTAGCTATTTGTGGGTCATAAAACAAAATCTAATATTAATTAAATTTCTTTGTGTGAGGGATACCCTTTTTTTTCCTATGTTTTTATTATTATTTGCCATGTAAAACATAACATCACAACCAGTACTATGTTGTTCTTGGTTTAACTTTAGGGTATTTGGTTTGAACATACCAACATACATTTTTCTTGTTGTAAATGCTATAGTGTTAAGTTAACCCATTACCTATGTGAACCGGGTGGTCCCTGTATTAAACCTATGGAAACGAGGGCATTCAGTAGTCTAAGGGTTAATGCTCTTCTCTGTCCCAATGAATGATATGATATAATCAGCTGAGAGCAAGAAGGGCTTTGACTTCTAATGAGGCTACAGGTTATAATGCCCTTCTTGCACTCTGTGGCAAATGGCATGATAGTAGGTCATGTGATAGATGCATAGTAACCAGTTTCCTGTAGAGATTGGAGATTCCTCCATTAAATTATAGGGGTAATGAGAGAATTCATGAGTCAGTGAGTTAGGTTATAAAAATATCATAGAATTCCCAACATGGGCTGTGCTTTCCAGGTTTTCAACTCCATTTTTAAAAGAATATTTTCCCTTCTGGATACTATGTTGACCATGTGATACTGATCTTGAGAAGGAAATAAATGTGGATTCAATTCTATTATTAAATTAGAGTAAAATAGATTAAAAATAGGGTAAAGAGCATAGGGAAGAGGATGGGGGGGGGGGGAATATTCCCTTAGTTCTCTAGTGCCCCCCTCCCCTCCCACCATGAGGCTCCATTACCCTTACAAGCCAATCCAAACTGCATCACTCAGCCTTGAATCCCCATGGTAACTGGATGATATCATGTAATCCAGGGGGGTGTTTCACAAAGATCCTAAGTTGAACTTATCTCTAAGTTGGACTTAAAAATTATGGAAAGCCATTAGCATCTTTGAAAATATTTTGTAAAAGATTTTTTAAAAGGCATAAAATGTTGATTCAAATCATTTATATTTTCTATCATCAAGAAGGTTTCATGTTCTGGATGTGGAATTAATAAAAAGTCTAAAATACTTGAATTTCTGGTTTTGAATATATTTCATTTTAAGGCTCCAATGGCTGTCCATAATTTTTATGTCCCACTTGGTGTTAAGTTCTACTTAGAATCTTTGTGAAACACCCCCTGGTTATAAACTGATTCTGATGTCCCTTAGCACAGTATCCTGACCCCTGGGTGTGTGTACCTGGTGTTATCCATCCCGTCTTAAAGGGAGAATAAACTATACCAGCAACAATGTTTGCTAGGTTGGTAGCAGATAATCTGAATAACAGATTAGTAAAAGCTTATCTAGTAATAGTTGCCATATCCATTTTACAAAAAAAATGCTCAAGACTCAAACTATCCCCCCCCCCCCCCCCCATAGACTTTGAAATAGATTGTTCCAATCCAGATCACCCCACCTATTTGTCACATGATTTATGACAAACATATATAGGTCGAGTTGAACTAGTGGGCAACATATGTAAATACAAAGCCAAAAGGGAATTAAATGTATGTTAAAGGCATTACAAAGTTTTGGGAAATTTTAAAAAATGGGTGGATAGTGATTCTTTACAATTTTAATATATTTGGATGCCCCTGTGGATGTAATAAAAACACCAGAAATTTTAGCCCCTAAAACACTTCTGCTTTCGAGAAAAATTGAATATAAAGATTTACCGTTGCTCCCGGTAAATTTTGATAAATTTCAAATAGCTCCTCCGGCCGTACAATGGTAGCTGCGACCATGAAAATCTCAGAGTGTGTAGTTGTGGTATATAATTTCCGAACGAGAATAGCTAATCAGTCAATTTTAGTCAATAAACATTGTTTTATAGCTTAATTAATATCTTGACCTTGAGAGGGAGCTATTCAACATAAAGTGTTTATTATTTACAATTTCATAACTTTAGAGTCGATTTCGACCGCGACAACGATCACTGAATATTGTAGGATCGTATATACTTCCAATATGTTCATTTGAACCAAATTCATGACCCCATACCAAAACTTTGTATTACCTTTAAAGTATAAGTCTATGAGTTAATGGCTCCACACAAACATAACCAGGGAGTTAGGAACTCTGTAATGTCACAGCTCCTTTGTTATCTTCTGTATGCCTGTCTTTGCCTTCATCCCTCTGCATCTTAACTCTCAAAACACAATTGAATGAAATAAATCATTCGTCCCTTCTCGTTGTATTCACCAAGTATAAATAAACTTTATTCTTTGATGACATCATTGATCACAACTTCACAATACCTACGTCAAACTGAACGCATCAATCATCTTATAATCCCAGTTTACATGCAAGACAATCTGTTATTATCATATGAAACTCAACTTTATCAAGGTATGTCAGTATGATTGCCCTATCACAGAAGTATGGGACATATATCCTATATATTTCAATGAGTGTATTTTCGATGGACTTTGAAGTTAACATATTTGTTCTTGTTTCATCTTTTTGTTTCAACCTCCAGACTGATTGTCCGTTCATCGTGTGCATGACGTATGCATTCCAAACACCAGATAAACTCTGTTTTATTCTAGATCTTATGAATGGTAAGTAGTAATAAGAACTTTCAAGATACATGTTAAGGATAATATCTAGTTGTGGGTCGTTCACATATGGCATCGGCAAACCACAGTGTTTGCCCCAAAAATGCCACATGTAAATTTATGGCAATTGAGAGTGAGAACAAGGTATCGGCATGCAACAGTGGTCCTACGCATACTTACCTGTCTGTGTGCTATAAGATACAAACGTTTATGTGAAGTGCATTACAATCATTTTGACCTGGTGGTTTATTGTGGCATAGGCTTAGTGGAAGCAGAATTGAAATGCAACTTGTTTAAGAGGTTATGATACTGCTCCACCTGTATCGTAAGATACATTCACATAAAGTGTGTGAAAGTGAATTGATATTCTGGCTACTAAACTACAAGATACGACATACCGTAGCTATAAAAGCCAATATGGGAGGCTTCAAATAGCCATTAGCTCACTTACTTGTACTACCAGTGCTATATTGAGGACTTTCAATAGTTATAAGCTAATTTACTACCAGTGCATTATACAGGACTTCAAGCAAGCCTCAGCTAACTTTATACAACCAGTAGAATATGCAGGACTTCAAATGACCATTAGCCATTAAACAGCAAGTCTCTATCATGGTCTGATTTTGGGCCGATGAATGATACGACTGACCTGTAGACCTGACTGACCGTTGGACTTGCATTTCAGCCTACTCTGTCATCAGCTCACACTCGGACAAATCCTGTTAACTCCTTTAAATCTTACATCTTACGTTTGCACATGCAACCATCTCTATCAAATCTAGACCTTAGATACAGGCACTGAATGTAAAGTCCCATCCTGTAACCCCTATACATTTTGCCCTTTTGAATTGGAATAAATCTAAAAGTAAAGTTAAATTGTATTTTGTATCGTCATGAGACCAACTTTCATGTGGCAGTTGCATAATAAAGAGGAAAATATACAACTTTAGTGAAGCAATGTCATCTTTACAGGTACAGAAGAAAATTCTGTATCTTTTTTTAAGAGGCTCACTTCATGTCAAAATTTGAAAGTCCATATAGAATTAAAAGAAAAAATTGTAAAAGCAGAGCTGTGAGTTCTTAATCATGTTAGCTTCCTATTTGCGTACAACCTCGTTTAAAATAGACACGTGATTGGAAAATGGATTTTACTGTATGAATAGGAGCATTGGATATGTTCTTTTGAGATGTACACACTCCAGGGGGTGTTTCACAAAGATCCTAAGTCAAACTTATCTCTTAGTTGGACTTAAACATTGTGGAGAGCCATTTGCAGCCTTAAAATAAAATAAATTCAAAAGTGAAAATTCAAGTAATTTAATATTTTTTTATAAATTCCACATGAAGAACATGAAAGCTCCTTGGTAATAGAACATATGAATGATTTGAATCAACGTTTTATGCCTTTTGAAATGACTTTTACAAAATATTTTCATAGATACTAATGGCTTTCCATAACTGTCAAGTCCAACTTAGAGATAAGTTCAACTTAGGATCTTTGTGAAACAGCCCTGAATATATTTATAGTCTTGGGCTGTGGATGTGTACAGTATGTGGATGTTGGAAGGGTATTTCTAGCTGTGTTGTTTATTATGAGTTGAGTATGAGATTGCTTGGAAGGCAGCCCATGCCAGTCCTTGATCTGATGCGATGTGTTCTATTCTATTCCAGACTGAGATGTAACATTGCGATTTATCTTAACATTATCTGGCTGACCTAAGAAGACATTGCCATAATACTCTTCTTTAATACTATCTATGTTTTCGTTCGTTGGGTTTCCCTGGATATTCTTGTTCTTGGCAATGATAGAAAATCAATGAAAATATATAAATTTAGTCTTTTATTTCCCACTAATAGAATGACTAGATTTATTTTTATTTTCTCACTTTAATAAAATCTACATTTATTTGTTTATATTTGTTTCTTTGTTTAATTTTGTTTGTCCATGGAATAAAAAAACTTCCATATGAGACATTGTCAACTGTAATTTGTATATAGGTATTGTATTTACTCCCTCCTGTACTTTACCGCCATCACATCGAAGTTTGATAATTGGAAGGAGGTTGGATGGAAAGGGAGGGGCCTGTTTCCATTCGGCCTTCATGGATGATGGTCTGGAAATGAAAGTATAGCATTGACGTATACATCTCATAACTCATAAAGTATGGTATTCATGGAATTGTGCCACTGCTCAACTTGGCAAAACAAATGTGTAGATAGTTATTGTTCAGTTCACCTAATATATGTTCTAACACTGTATCTTAGATTGGAGATGTACATTCATTTCTATAAATTGTTTATTAAATATTGTTAGAGTTACTGAATTGGACATCTTTGCAAATATCCTATGCACGGTCTTATTCACCCCCACATACTCATGAAAATAACTATATATCCTCAAACATTAAGGCAATGTAATATTGCAGTGTGGGCATAGGCATATAGGAAGAACATCTTCCATTCCAAATGAAAAGTGTTATCCTCAAATTTGAAAGCATTATGATCTGCCCCTTTGCTATTAAACATAATCCCAGTCCCTTCGCTTCACCCATCCACCGGAACCAAACTAGGAAAGATTGGCTTTGCGGCAGGACATTATCACCTCGATCCTTTACAGAAATGTGCTGGGATGGAGGGAAGAGTTATGGCGGTGGGCTGGTGTAAATAAAAGATTTGATTTTCAAGTTGAGAGAGAGGGGCCAAGTCAACGTGTTATGGTTTCTCTCTTGGGACCACTCTCACATCCCAGATCAAGGAGATGTCTAGCTTTGGAATCTAGTCTGTGACTCTCAAGTATCTTCAGGAAAACATTTCTTGTGAGATAGTTACGTTATAAAATCTTCCGGATAATTCTAGTGCAGATTTCTGTTTTTGATTACAGCTGTGGTTTCTTTGAACGGCATGTCTACTAAAAAAGAATATTCTGCTTACACTTTAGCAGGGATTTATTTTATTTACAGGAATATACCTGCATAAAAGGAATAAAACTATTGTGCGACTAATTGGAATATTCTTCTATGCAAAGCAAGAGTTGTGGATTTATATCAGGAATAGAGGGTAATTTCCCTCCAATAAAAATGAAGAAAAAAAACCCACCATGAACTTCCAAATTATTAGCCACCAAGTATGAGTACTTGAGAGAAATTCCCCTAAAAAAGGATAAGAATAGGAATTCTCACCCCAAATGCTGTGTTGTAGTATCCGTAGTGGAGAATATCTTGTCAAGTTGATTTCAAAGTTGGTAGTGTCTGTTCAGCACCAAAAGGGCATGAAATCTGTACTGAAGTATATAAGTTTATACCTTTTTCTTGTTCTTAATAAGTGATAGAATCTAACAATTGTCCAAATCATCTTGTATTATCTAGGTGGAGACCTCCACTACCACTTGTCACAGCACGGTGTATTCTCAGAGGAAGAGGTTGGCTTCTACGCAGCAGAGATCATCTTGGGTCTAGAGCACATGCATGTCCGTAACGTGGTCTACCGTGACCTCAAGCCTGCTAACATCCTACTCGATGAGAATGGTCATGTCCGTATCTCGGATCTCGGTCTGGCCTGCGACTTCTCGTCGAAGAAACCACACGCCAGTGTGTAAGTACAGTGAAACATGTCCATGAAGGCCAGTCGTGGGATACTAGAAAAGTGGTCTTTATAAGCAGGTGGTCTTTATGTGCAGGTTTTCGTTAAATGTGTTTCAATGGGAAAATCAACAAAAAGATGTGATCTTTAGAGCCTCATTCCTCTCTTTCAGAATTCTCTTTCACTACTCTCTATCCCTTCCTTTCTCTTTCTTGCTCCCCCCACACTTTCTTCTTCTTTCTCCTCTCCTCCCCTCCTCTTCCTCTCTTTCTCCTTTTCTCTCTATCTCTCCAACTCTCCCCAACCATCCTTTCATCTCTGTCTTTGAATCTCCCCTAGTTTTATGACTTGGTTTGTCTGGGGTTGTTAGTGCATTGTAACATGTGCATGTTACTGTCATAACATTAGTAAATCAACTCTCTAGCGCAATCATAATAAAGGTAGACATTGACACAATAACCAATCTTTCCTTTGCACTCCAACCAACGTTGAGTTGTGTTTGAGACAATGTCTGAAAGCATCAATGTTTGAATACAACATCTTAAGCTCATTCTAGAACTAGAACTGGGCCCCATTTCACAAAACATATCATTAGTGATAAATGACAGTTTTTGTTATAAGCTAGTGAAATCCTTGCTTTTGATTGGTTATCAGCAGATTTGTCATTGATTTTTGTCATTTGTCATTGAAAAAAGGCTTTGTGAAACGGGTCCCTGGTGTTTTGAGAGCCAAAAGGTCTTTACTGTGTAGAAAAATATATTAGTTAAGGCTATTCTGGCTATCAGAAACATTTTGCCAGTTTGTACTTGTAAGATGTTTGATGATTAAAGTAAAACAAAGAAGCAACAACAGCAGCAACAGCATTAATAACAACAACCTTGTAAGATGTTGATAACTATCATTCTTATTCTCTATTTGTTTGTAATTGACAGAGGTACCCATGGTTACATGGCCCCTGAAGTACTGTCCAAAGGAACTGCCTACGACTCCAGCGCTGACTGGTTCTCATTAGGATGTATGTTGTTCAAGCTACTCCATGGGTAAGTTATGATGGGGGATGAGGAGGTGAGGGGGAGGGGAGAAAGAGAAAGTGGGGGAGATAGAGAGAGAGAGAGAGAGAGAGAGAGAGAGAGAGAGAGAGAGAGAGAGGGTTAAAGAGAGGGAGGGAAGGGATGAAGGAAGAGGGGGAGAGAGATAGTGTGTGTGTGTGGGTGTGTGTGTAAGGAGAAGGACAAAAATCAGAAGAGGACTTCATTGATCTTGGGATGATTTCCCCCTCTCCTCGCTCTGTCTCACCGCAGTTAATCATTCCCGGTTAATTGGCCTGGCTCATGATGTAGGACGAAGGGGAGGGGGCATATGGTTGCATTGCTCCATAAGTACCCTCTAAAAGGCATAGGAAAATGAGAAGAAGAACAGAAAAGTAGAAAGAACGGAGAGAAGGGTAAGGCAAAGAATTAGGAAAGGCAAATAGGAATAGTAGGAAATTCAAAAAGAACAGAGGGAAAGAAAAGAAACGGAAATGAAAAAGTATATAGAATTGGAAAATGAGTGTAAAGTATCTTTTTCAATGGGAATGTATACTCATTGTGTTACCTTCCCATAATTACATGCGTATAAACCAGGCCTGATAAAAACCCGATTTAAATCGGTTTCCCGATTTTTTTTATTTTTCCCGATTTTTTCCCGATTTTTTTTTTCTTCCCGATTTTAAAAAAAAAAAAAAAAAATGATTTTTTTTTTTTTCCCAATTTTTTTTCCAATTTTTTTTTCCCTTCCCTATTTTGCCCTATTTTTTCCCCCAATTTTCTTACTCGAAAGGGGGGAATGTTGTTAGATGCCATTTTTTCCCCGCGAATCCTCTTCTTTTTTTTTACTCAAGGGGAGCGTGGTTGAGGGGAAAACAAAAAACCTATTTTTTTTTTAGTGCTCACTATCACCCCTGGTATAAACAAGTCTATAGCCAAGGTTGAGGTTTATGAATATTGATGTGTTATGAATGATTATAAGAGCAGAGGAATGACTTCGATCTTCATGATTGTAATGTTACAGGCACAGTCCGTTCAGGCAGCACAAGACGAAAGACAAGCATGAGATTGATCGGATGACATTGACCATGGTAAGCTTTCTTCATCTTTCCAAGCGAAGTTTCTGAGTAAAACTCAAGTTATATACCATAGAATATACAAAGAAATGTAAAGTAATCCGTAAAATGAATAAATATTTTCAGTTATATTTCAATAAAGTAAAAAAACTGCAGCAACAAGCATCTGAATACAAACTGCAAAATAGATGAAAACATACATTCCAAGATAAGATGTCCGGGATTGAAATTTTCCTTTACAAGGTCAGTCCCTACAGACATTTGTGACCAAGTATCGTGCAATACAGGACATGATTAAGAAAGTAGAGAGAACCAGAGACAGAGAGACAGAGAGACAGACAGTATAAAGTATGACTTCCCTAGCTCATTTATCTATAGTTCAAGTTAAAGTAGTGCTACAGGTTACGACAATCATCAGTCATTCTAAAATCTCTGACGTATGGGACGCAATACCTGGACTTTCTCACAAACAAACTTTTGTCTGGTAGCTTTGCTCCAAGGAGCTATATATTTCATCCCATATATCCCATTCATCCCATTTACCGTATAAGGGCTACAAGCTGGAATGCTCCCAAGGGAGTGGAGAATGTGCACTGTAATGTGCACTGTAATGTCCGGATTAGTAATTGAATCCAGTAACGGGTAATATAATAGTGTAAGCCCTTATAGTCGGTTGTAAGTGGAAAAAAGCTTTATAAGGAACAGTAAATTCTTCTGGGGTAAATAGACTCCAATGCTGGTTCATTGAAAATGTAGAATAAGAGGCGAGTCTGGAGGATGAAAAGAAATAATCTATTTGTTCTTAGATCTTTTGATGATGACACTGTGGGTGTGAAGTAGATGTTTTCGGCTTAATACTGCCTTCGTCTGCTCTCAATAGATTAGAGAGAATAGTTGGCTTCTCTTCAGATAGAGAAAGGGTGAAAAATCAGTCTGGAAATAAGGTCAGAGGGAGAAGGGAAATGTGTTTCTGTGGTCTTACATTGATCTTTGGATGATTTCCCCCTCTTCGCTCTGTCTCACCGCAGTTAATCATTCCAAACAGATTAATTGGCCTGGCTCATGATGTAGGGTCAAAGAGAGGGTGAGAGAGAGAGAGAAGGAGAGGGTGAGAGAAAGAGCAAGCGGGAGAGCTTTATAGAGCCTGTTAACTTGACTTTTGTAGGAATTTTAAACTTGCCCTTGTGAGGTGACCAAAGTAAAATGTTTAAACAAAAATTGTGACATAGAAGTAATTATAGAAATGTATATCAGTGAAATGTAATGAAGAAAAAGGATAGTAATGTTCTGGTGTTACAGTAAACATTTACTAGTGTTTTGTTTCACAAAGGAATAGAAAAGTTTTTTTTAGGGAGTTTGTTTTTGTTTGAGAGAAATATTTGGCTGACAAATGCAGACAAAAAAGAAGGCCATCTAATTTAATTATTTTATTTTTTTGAGAAACAGAACACTTGATGTCTATTTTTCTAGCCATACTTGCTGTTCTTGCTGCTTGCATTTAAATTTTGCATCACATCCCCAAACACGCTGAATTTTACCTTCAAGCCTTTTCTGTCTCTTTAGTGAATTATTGTCCATAATATTGGCAGCGAGCTGAAAAACACTGTTACTGTCAAAGGTTGTTTATACTATGTGTTAGACAGACACAGACAATCCTTGTTCAATCGAGGTGTTATGTGGATTTCCCTCTGGATTAATCATAAGGCGTGTCTTCATCAGCTCCAGATTGCCGGCTATTTCTGATTTGGGAAATAATTCGAAGTTACAAATCGCGTCTTCATCAGCTCGAGATTAGACCTCGAAACTTGAAACTCGACCTTGAGAAATTAGCTCGAGATATTTTGCTCAGCGTTCGTGCATAGTGCGAGTCTTCAGGCTGGTGAAGACGCACCGGACAAATAGTGGGATATTTTCCAAACTATCCTAAGATATCTTGGGATGATTATCCCGACCAAATATCCCGCTAATTGCCACTTCGGGCTGATGAAGATGCAAATTAGCTGGATAATTTGCGACCGGGATAGTTCAACTAGCGGGATGTTTGGCAATCTCTAGCTGATGAAGATAGGCCTATAGTTGTAGACTGCTTTCACCGCAAAGTCAGTCTGAGGACGAATCAATGAACAACAGATTCAGTTTACAGGCTGAATGTTCTTGTAGCACAACATCATACATGTAGCTATTTTTGGGATTTGAACATTCTCCAGTTTTGACAGTGTACCCGTAGTGGCTGTTTTGTCTCGCAGATTATGGTTTCTTTAATAATTATTTGCCATTTTTCTGTCAAGGAATGCTTGTAAAACCAGAAGCCATATTTTGTGTGCCTAGCACCAGAAGGACATGAATTACCAGCATTTTACAGACGGTCTATATTCTTTGATATCTATGCCATACGGACAATAATTTGATTAATTGTTATATGCTAGTCATGATATTATTATGACACAATAAGCATTAGGGTGATGGCAATTGAAAAATGCATTGTGATGATTGATGTCGTCTTGACACCATCAACAGCATATTCATGTAGAAAAATGATGAAACAGAAAGTAAGTTGTCAATAATTCATTGAAACAAAATATGGTCTAAGGACACTTCCTCTTGTAATTTTGTATGAAAAAATAATTAATTGGTATGTATTATAGTACACTGTATATTCTACATGAGCAGGGCCAAAATTTAATACAATGTTCAAACTGGGAGTGAGTAATTTTTTTCTTCTTCTTTGATAAAAGTTCATAGAAACCAATTCTGTACATCAGAATGCAATTACTGCGTGATAAAAATGGACCATAACATGTTGGATGCATTGTAAACTTGGTTGGTTTGCTTTTAGAGTACCCTGCTTCATGGTCATAGTGAGAACTGGATAAGATTTGACTATGACAGAGGTCAAAGGTCACATCTGATGGATGGCAGTGATAACAAGGAGATCTATCATCAATCACTCCCACTCAATTTTAGGCTTATATCTTTCTCTGTTCCTCTTTCTGTCTCTGTCACTGCTTCTCTGTCACTGTCTACTTCTCTCTTTCTCTCTCCCTCTCCCTCCTCCCCTCTCTCTCTCTCTCTCTCTCTCTCTCACACACACACACTTTGTTTTGGTTCTTCCCTCTTTCCTTCAATCTCTTTATATTTCCTTCTCTCTTCTCTCCTCTCTCCTCTCCTCTCCTCTCTTCTCTCCTCTCTCCTCTTCTCTTCCTTGTTCTGCCCTCTCCTCTTCCCATCCCTCTGCCCACCCCCTCTCCTATCTCCCTTCCTCCTTGTCTCTATGACTTTTATCTCCTCCCCCTTTCTTTTATTTCTGCATCTTGTCCATGCCTCTCTGTACATGTACATTTCTTTTTCCTTTTTGGAGTATTCTTATTCTAACTCACATTTTACAATTGGAGATATCAATATCTTATTTATAATTGTATATATTTGTAAGGCACAATCTTTGTACCATATTATATGCTATATCATCTGAATCATTCTAATATCAATAATTTTCTCTCCCTCTCTCTCTCTCTCTCCCTGTCTCTCTGTCGCTCTCTCTCTCCTGTCTCGTCGTGTGTCCAGGATGTTGAGTTCCCAGACAAGATGAGTGATGAGATGCGAGCATTACTAGCAGGTCTACTACAGAGAGAGGTAGCAAGCAGGTTAGGCTGTGAAGGCAGAGGGTATGTATACACATCACCACTTTCAAGACCCTTAAAGGTATAGACCAGTTTTGGAAAGACTCCCTCTCAAAAAATGAAATGGAAGCTCTTATTACCAATCATGCGAAAGAATATGTTTTGACTAATACGTGATGAAACAAATTTTGCCAGGAAAACGCCTACTAATTGATATATTTGATAAATTACCATATCGATCCGGCCAGGATAGATATTGAGTAGTCCCATATACATCTTTCTGTGTACAGTGCTTGTAACTTTACCGAGAGTGGGCCAAATTCCACAACCTTGTAGTACACACCAATACTTTCACAATGCAATCGCATGACCAGAACTGGTCTATACCTTTAATATTCACATTCTATTCTGGTTCTTGTTGTGTGCAGGAACCAGGACCCTGTTTTGTAAAACGTGTTATCACTAGCAAGATATGATAATTATTATAAGCCACTGAAATCCTTGCATTTGATGAGCTGTGAACAGATTTATCATAGATCTGTAGCAGTTGTTATTGATTACAAGTTTCATGAAACAAGGCCCAGAGTTGAGTTTAGATTTCGGGATCATTGCAAATGTTTAGGGTTATAACAAATTTCTGAGTTCATTGCAAATTTCAAAGTGTTATTTTCACCTGGATCCCAGCTAGTATCAATCCAATTTTTTTTTATGTGGTCATTAAAATGTTAAATATGATGATTTATGTCTTATAATGTTAAAGTCTAAGTTCATAATTTTGCAATATTGCTGTTCGGTATATTGTTATCAGACCTGTCAGGGGTGAATTTATAGAGGAAATAGATTTCTCTATCAAAACAAGCAAAAAAGAAAATGAAAAAAAAAGCAAGTAAGAGAGAGAAAAAAGAGAGATACAAGACTGACACCCACAGAGTAGGAAATAACCTACCCCCAGAAAACTTAGAAACGTGCCTGAGATATAAACAACACAATTTTAAAAGTGTGCTATAAATTTTTTGTTTTCCAAGACACCCTCTTTCAAACTTTCCCTTGATGAATGGATTGTTTTTTTCAACATCACCCAAGAGAAACTGATCATAGATGTAAAAAACAAACTTTTGAATTTCCTCTGGTTAAACTTTCATAGGATTATTCTATTTCAACAAAACCTCTTTGATCAGAACAAGGCTTAGATATTGAATGTTATGTTAGTGTTGTTCTTTATATTGTTCAGTTTGGAGGAAGATGATGGTGTAGGAATTGGGAGACAAATATTCTTTCAATTAAGAAAAGGCAACCATTGCTCAAGAATGAACAAGAAAAAATCCAACTTTCATTACAAATATCACAAGCAGATTTAGCATAATTTTGCGCCATGGATCAGTTCCCCTTTAATCCATATATTTGTATTGGATTCATAGTCTTTGTTAAGCATAAGAATATATTAATGCTAAGATGACATTAAAATTGTATATTCAGTGCAGCATTGAATTTATGACAAATCACTTGCATATTTTGAGCTATGGATATGATGGAACATATTGCGATATTTTTCTTCAAAGTTATTCATGCTTTTAATACTTATACAGTGAAACCTGTCTATAAAGACCACCCAAGGGAGACAAGAAAAGTGGTCTTTATAGGCAGGTGGTCTTTGTAGACAGGTGCCTACAGTAAATGTGTATGTTTCAATGAGAAATCATTTTCAAGGGAAACAAAAAATGTGGTCTTTGTAGACAGGTTCCTTTAGTACATGTTTCAACGAGAAATCAATTTCAAGGGAAACAAAAATGTGGTCTTTGTAGACAGGTTCCTTTAGTACATGTTTCAACGAGAAATCAATTTCAAGGGAAACAAAAAATGTGGTCTTTATAGACAGGTGGTCACTAAAGCAGGTTTGACTGAGTGTATTTTGTTTTGCTATTACAGGGCAACAGAAGTGAGAGAGCACCCCTTCTTCAAGACTACAGACTGGAACCAAGTATACTATCAAAAGGTTAGATATGGCATTTCTTTCTCATCTTTGAATATCTCTGCAGGTGGATACCAAGTTTGACAACAAAATGGAAATGAAAACTTACAGAATCCTTAATATCTGGATTACAAAAAAGAAATGTTTTAAGCCCCACTGTACTACTTGTATCTACTTGTGCTCCCTCTATATAGCAAACAATGCCTAATCGGTGACCATTGGTCCCCCATGATCCTCTTTTTCTTATGTTAATTGAGAGCTGAGTTGATGAGATAGCCACCTGTCAGTGACCTCCCTGGGTAGTCTAATCCCCCCTAGCCAAACTAGTACAGAGAGCCTTTAAGTCTCTTTTTGAATGAAGAGACAGATGGTGATTGCCTGAGCAATGCTCCAAAGTTTAAATGTAGGAAAGGCTGGAGGGTGAGAGTATTCATGGCACCTTTCTGTCAATAAACATGCATGCCTTTGATACCCCCTCAGAGCATGTCTTCTGTTCAGCTGTCGCGGTGTAGTGGTTACATCACCAGACTGTGGATCATATGGTTCGCGATTTGAGTCCTGCCGCGGCACTAATGTCCTTTGGCAAGACATGAAGCTACATTTGCCACTCTCGACCCAGGTGGGGTAACTGGATACCTGGCAGGAATTAATTCCTTGAAACGCTAGAGTGCTGTAATGGCAGCCATGCTAAACAGATAATAGTCGTGGAGCACCAGGAGTGTGAAGTCTGACATGTATGAGTGCAATACAAGAACCCACCGTTATTATTACTATTATAATATATCTTTTTGTCTGTATTCACTGTGTCTCTCTAGGTACAACCTCCCCTCATACCACCCAGAGGTGAAGTCAACGCTGCGGATGCCTTCGATATCGGATCCTTTGATGAGGACGACGTTAAGGGGATCAAGGTAAGAAACCTTCCTTTTCTCACTTTTCTGAACCTTAAAACCTAAATTTCAGAATTTCATCTATTTAGAGCCGAAAGGGCATTCATTTTGTGTGATATGAGATAAGGCCCTTCTTGCTCCAAAGAGATGATTCATCTTCATTCATTAAAAAATAAAAATGAGTTTGTCATTTGGAAATATGAGATAAAACTGTAATCTGTGTATGAGAACCATCAGCCTCATATAGTCTCCTTAACCTGTAGATAAGTTCATGAAATAATCAAATCCTCCTTTTCACCCAAATCCTGCATTTTTCGCAATTGTAAAAGTGATGTTAGTTTTCAAAGTTAGAAGGGGGTTAACTTTGTGTTAAAGTTTATGGCCCGAATTCACAAAGGAGGTTTGTCAACTAACCGAGGTTTATGTACGTCATATGACGCATTTTGACGCGTTTTTACAAACCTGGTTTGTAAAAACGCGTCAAAACGCGTCCTATGACGCACGAAAACCAAGGTTTGTCGACAAACCTCCTTTGTGAATTCGGGCCTATGAGTTTATGCCCTTCTAGTTCCAGACAGACAAATTATCAGTATTATTGTCACATTTTCCACAGGTTAGTATTATTGGTTTTTCACCTGGTATTTGGATTTGATGACAAGCAAATAATTTAACATTCAAATTATTGGGCAGTAGGGAATGGAACCGTAACTTACCAAAGTGTCACTGTCTCTACCTCTCTCTTTGAATTTCTCATACCGTTTCTCCTGCCTTTTTCCCTATCCCAGCTATCAGAATCAGACCAGGAGCTCTATAAGAATTTCCCCGTCACCATCTCAGAGAGATGGCAGCAGGAGATCGCTGAGACGATATTTGAGACGGTCAACCAGGAGCACGACAAGCTAGAGATGAAACGCAAGGCCAAGAAGATGGACGAAGGAAGTGAGTAGGAGGTGTATAGAATGAAGTCATTAGGATGGTTAAAAGCTCTAGGAAGTAGTTCTACGATACAGTCAAACCTGCTTTAGTGACCACCTGTCTACAACAAGCACATTTTTTGTTTCCCTTGAAAATGGTTTCTCATTGAAACATGTACTAAAGGAACCTGTCTACAAAGACTGTCGCTGTAGACAGGTTTGACTGTTCATGCAACAGGTAGTTATCCATGACAGTTTTGATGCCATTGATTCTAAACACCTTTCTCAGATATGGACCTGCAAACTAAAGTTATCCGCCATATTTTGCAGGTGATGCATATTAAAACCTTTTGGATGGGTCCTAGAACAATTCCTACTAGTAAAGATATGTTATTTGATGAGAGCTGATACAGTGAAACCTGTATATCAAAACCACCTTCCAAAAACCCCCCCCCCCCCCTCATCCCCCTTTAATCAGTGCTTCTCATTGAAACATGCTTTCAAGAGAACCTGTATATAAGGACCATTTAAATATGAAAAAGATCACTATTGATGTTTACCTTGAGTGTTGTGTCTCATATCCTCTTGATTTTGTTTTGTGTTTTATGTGTACATCAAAAGTGCTAGTTGACATTATATTAGTTGGCTGTAGATAGAATCTTACTATTGTATCATGAACCATTGTGATCTTTCTTATTCTTACAGTCTATGCTATGGGCAAGGACTGTATAATGCATGGCATCCTCCACAGACTGGGTGGCCCATTCCTCAACACATGGCAGAAGCGTTACTTCTATCTGTTCCCTAACAGGTTGGAATGGTCTGGTGACGGTGACAGGGGACCAAGTCAGGTGAGATACAGTAACACAGTCTCTTAAAACCAGGGAGGTGTTTCACAAAACTTGTCATCAGTGACAAATGATAGTGTTTGTTATAAGCTACTGGAATCCTTGCTTCTGATTGGTTATCAGCAGATTTGTCGACATCGCATGTTAATTTTAATGCACATGTTTCAATGGTATGTAGGCAAACTTGTACTTGTGACGACTTCGTGAAACCGTGCACAGGTTTACAACTGACAGGTCTTGTGTAATGTGCGTACCATCGAGCAACCTCAAAATTTGGATGTGCTACGTGATGGAAATTTCTCCTACACCTCCTAAACCAAACCGAACACTCTCCAATCTTTAGTAGGCCATGCTTCTAGATATCCTCAATTGAATTCTGTACCACAAAACGGGTGTGGCGGTTCAAGTTGTTTGTGCTCATATTGAATGGGAATTCTGTCCAGTCCTGAATGAGAGAATTGCGACTATGTCCCAAGACCATCAGGCAGACTGCAGGAAGCATTGGACAAGAACCTGGTAGAAGATCTGAGACTGTACCTTCTTAAAGTGACTCGGTAACATTGCCTCAAGTTCTAAACAAAATCCTGGATTTAGCTCAAGCTGCAATCATAATTATAAACCTTTAGGTCAGTCAGGAATCCCATGACTTTTACAAGCCGATCGCCTGTCTGGTTATCAAGATATTTATGATTGGAGATCAAAATTTCATTTTTTGTTTTTCGTTTTCCTAACGGTTTTTGTAAAACTACAGTCTATTGAGGAAAATGAGCATGGTAAAACCTGTCACTCAAAGATTTTTAAGTGCAATTTTTTTAGAGCTTCAATATGACACCATACGTATCACAGACACTGATAACATGTAGGGCCATGCATCTCAGATTTAACATACCGTAGTTAAACGATGCCTTTAATGTTGGTGCTGGAGACATGACTAGTCTAATAGGGCTTTAGAGAAAATACATCATCCCATCCCAGATTTAGGAAAAGTATCAATAAATGGAAATGCTGATCATCAATCATTAATGATATATATCAATTTTTGTTAATGTGCTTCAGCAAAATGTGATAGCCTTGGAAGATGTGCTGACTGTAGAGGAATCAATGATCAAGGGCAACAAGAGTATCACATTGAAGATGAAAGCTGGTAAACCATGCATTCTACGAGCAGAGGTAAGTCATTCTCAACCCCTCAAGCCTTAAAAAAAAAGATGTTGTATTGCCCTTTGCGACTGACCCAACAATCTTGAAGTCTACGGTCTGCTTTTTTTTTTAAAACTGTTTTTTAGAGAATTTTATTTTTAGAGTAAAAAAAATATATCAGCCCAAAGAGGGAGAAAAAAAAGTTTTAAATGTTCAAAAAAGAAAAGAAAAGAGGATTTCCTACCAACTGACCCATATTTTGGCACCTAAAGAGCAATACAATATCTTTTTTTTAGGTCTCATCATCATCATCATCATTTATTAAAGTCAGCATTTTCCCTCTTACAAGGGGTTACTGACTTTCATGCCATGATGACACTCCCTCCCTCCCTCCACTTCTTCTTGTCTCAAGCATCCTCCTCATTTAGACCAACCTTACTCCTTTCTTTCTTTCTTCACCATATTTTTTGATGAAATTTTCCTGTGTCTGTTTCAAACAGAATTATGTATTTGTATTTGATGACGAGCCTGACGATGAATAGTCAACCTATTAAAAACGTCAAGCCCCTCCCACCACCCATCCTCTTCTTACTACCAGTGCTATAGTTCTCTTTAGAACTATAACCTCAAGAAAGATTACACTAGTCCTTCTAGGACTACCACTGTCCTTTTAGGACTACACACACACACAAGAAAGATTATCAAACAGTCCTTTTCAGGACTCCCCAATCTCCCCTCGCTCATGGTGCAACCATAAGCCTACTGTATATAGACAAGCAAATAGTTTAACATTCAAATTATTGTGCGGAATGAGACCGTTACCCTCTGATGGTCAAGCATGAGAATATTTTTGTTATGTTTGAACGTTTGCTAGTAGAAATAAACCTTCAAACAGGCTAGTTTAAGGAGATGAAAATGTTTTTTTGGAGGTCTTTGATATCGAATTAATTTATTAAATAAAAAATGATGTAATTTATTGAATATAAGCGCATTCGTGTAGAAAAGATTCACATATTATATGATGGATTTTAAAAGAAATTCTTAACTCCCTATGTTTCATCTTTCTCTCTTTGTACCTCCCTATAACCCTCCACAGTCTGAGCCAGAGTATGTGCAGTGGTTCAAAGACATCCGCAGCACGTTTGATGAGGCGCAGCGTATGCTGAGGAAAGGACCCAAGATGTTTGCGACCCAAGGTTCGTCTACTGATATCATGCGCCATCATCCCCCTCTCGGCCAGCGCAACAGCAATGGCCCCCACTAACCAACCCCTAACCCCCTCCCCCACCCCCCTTAACCATCCCCTATAACCTCCACCACCATCATATAAATACCACTTGCTACGTTAACCCATTAACGCCTGACTTCTCTAATACCCATAGGCTTTGATACATAAGCCATCTGGTTCCCATAGACAATCAAGTTACCATGACACCAGTAACAACAACAAAAAAGCCCTCTAAATCTGGCTCATCAATGTAATATATTGTTTTTGGTTAAAGATTTATTGATAATATCAAGAAAGATGTTGACATTACCCTGCTGATCTTGACAATTTACTACTGATCGATCAGTCTCCTCAAGCCTCCTAACGATTGTTTACACATTTACTTCGGGAGAAATATCCCAAATTTATATTTCAATGATGAGAAATCTGTACATATATTCAGACAAGTTTCTCACAATACTACTTTCTTAATTAATACTGTGTGGTTTAAAGATAATTCTGGTGTGAATCGATCTAACTGCTGCTTTATAAAATATTTAAAATTTAAATGTCATTTGTTCTGGTGCACCAACATTACTAATCTTTCTTATCCACTTCCAGATCAATAACAATTATAACCATCCATTGCCTATGTTTTTAAAATCACTTAAATAAAAATTGCTTTTCAGATCATGTGACTAATCCTAAACCCATTGTTAATCCTAAGCTGACTTAATCCACATTACGATAAGAAATGTGAAATCCTTGATTATTTTACTTTCCTTGCAAGTTTTGAGCAGATTCAGACAAACTGACTTGCCTGACATACCATCTTGACTCATTTTGTTTTTGCTGATGTGACATTTGCAAAGTTGAAAAATGAATTGTTTGAAACCTTTTCGTTCCTGCAAATTTAAGGTGATGATGGAAACAGCCGATGCCAACGATACTTTAATACCTTGAATAAAATTTAAATTGGAGAACCTGATTTAAGAGGTCCAGTTTGGTTATATTTCATTGACCTTGTTTTGTGATTTGAAGAAGCCAGATCCATAAAGCAAACTCACCAGGACCTGTCCAAATTTGTGTTCATTATGAGAAGAAAAAAATATTAAAAGTAGATTAGAAAACAACTTTCAAAATTTAAAAAAAATGTACTTTTTGTTTTTAATACGTAAGGGACCTAAGGCGCTTATATATTTGGACAACGATAAAGAAACCTGTGTTTGCTAAGCCTATAATGAGAACTATAGTTGCCTTTGTATAAAGAAAACAAAATTATTTAGAGCAGTATTAGTTTCATTGTTGTGTGTTTTAATGGATTAGCAATGTTTCTACTCATGATACAGAGAGAGGTTTGCATTTTCTGATAAGAGGTTGTTTAGAAAATGTAAGGATGGATTTTTTTTTTCCAGGACTGGAAAGAACTATTAATTTGATAATCCCGTTTTGTGGATAAAGCGACTGTAGCTGTAATTTTGATCTTAGCAGTAAAATTAGATAGTATTGATATGTACTACACAGAGTTGTGATCATCAGCGCAATAGGCAAACATTCATGTTCAAAACATGTTATAGCTGGATAATTTTGTTCACATCCCTTGATGAAATTGAGAGAGTTTTCACTAATATATTCTTGATACTAGGGAATGTTGCTAGGTGTGTGCTACAGCCATGATAACTACTGCTACTGCGTCATACTTCGGAAACCAGCAAATTTTATGAAAACTTGGTATTAATGTTTTATTACTTTTGACAAAGTAGAGAGAGTTAGCTTGCAGTTTCAATCAAAATATATATTCTGTAGTATGAATTGTATTAATTATAAGTTTTGGCATTTTTCTTGTTTTCTATCAAATCTGAAAAATGGAGTCAAACAATTGCCTCTTTTTTGTGTGAATATCTAATTATGTAACATGAAGTTATTACAAAAGAATATCATTTTGGGGGTATTTTTTTAGTCTTGTGCTAGAGATGCTTAGTGTGTGTAATATGAGGGGAACAAATGAATAACCTCTATACGTGTAAAATTCAAACAGAAAAACTATTGTGAGTGTGCTACTATACGGAAGAAAAAAATGAAGTGTGAATATAGATATGTTCACAGGAAGACGCCGGTAGTCAAGTCATGAATTTATTTGCTTTAAATGATGACGATTGCAAATCGTGCTGTGCACAATATATATATATATAAATATTATCCTTTTCATCAATGCCTCGATGTAGAACTATAGGTGAGGAAAGAAGATTGTTTTCAATGGTGCATGGCTTTGTACAATGAAATGGCATACAATGTAAAAAAAAAATGGAAGGGAGATGAGTGTACGTTATTAATTAGAATGTGGTCGTTAGAGATCACATATTTGTAATGATGAAAGATATTGTGTATTTATCACCTAAAGGTATGATGAATAATTGCTTACTTGTATGAAAAAGAAACTACAAAAAAGAGGAAAATTGTATGTTTTTATAGAGATGTAATCACTAACTTTGTGTGCATATTTTCTTTTTTTGTTTACATAATTATACTAACAAGGTTTGAATTGAAGAATTATAGAGAAACAACGTAGGTATTTAACCATTTGTGGAAGTCTTATTCTCTCTTTTTGCTTTGTATACTACAAATTTGCACTTTTGAAGATTTCATGTTTGAAATTGTAAATGAGAGCGCACAGTTCTATCACCTATGTCTGTAGCTTGTTGAATAATAATAATAATAATAATAATAATAGTAGTAGTATACAAAAAGAGTTATAAAAGAATGAAGAATTGTTCAAAACATGACTGTATATCTGCACCCAAGCGAGCTTATGTCTAGTAGCCACTTCTTACCGCTTCTTTCTTACCCTCTATCTCTCTCTCTCTCTCTGTCTCTCTCTCTCTCTTTTGATATTCTCACAACAACAAAAATCAAACTATTTATACAGAAGGTTATATGTAAGTTAGTCACAAAAACAACAACAAAAATCTTCTTTTACCAGAGTTGATGAAGGTTCCTTTCTGTGGACAATATTTAGTGTGCAAACTATTTTTAGGCCATTGTGGAAGAAATATAGCTTGAGGAAAGTGTAACTTCCTCGCCAGGCAGTTTTATCTTTTAAATCGATATTGAGACCTTTAGTTCTTAGACCTCTTTTCTTTTTTTTTGTAATATGTACTTTTGAATATTTTGCGAGGCACCTATATTTGCTACGATATTTTTAGCAAATGAAAATAAAATGTTGTCTTGAAATTGTAATGTAATTGATGTGAACTGTAAAAAAGAAAAAAGGAAAAAAAAAATCAGAAGCAAATCATGTTAAGTTGATGAACTCTTTCCTAATGCTGATGTAGCACAACTATTGTCTTAATTTCTGGTTGTGTCTCTGTTTTTTTGTTTTTTTAAATATGTATACTATGAAGAAGAAAATGTCTTGGATCTACTATGTTGTTTGTGTACAATACTTTTCAATGTTGTGGTTGATTTGGAAGCTGTAGGATTTATAAGATCTAAAAGACATTTTGGTTTCAGTTTGAATAGTTACAAGCACTTCTTTGTCCAATTTCTTTGTTTTTAAAGGCAATGTGTACCCATGGAAGCTGTGATTCCTCAATAATCCCTAAACTAGTACCATTTGTTGTTTGTTTTAAATTTGGGGGGTCATTTAAGCGATATCTGCTTAAAAAATGAAAGAAGACTGCAGTGGTTAACATAACCACATGCAGTTGATTTCTGTGAGTTGAAAAAAAATGAAAAAAATGATCCTGTGTTTATATATATGTACTTTGAACAGAGTTTTTTTTAGCATACTTTGTGATGATTTTAATCTTTATTGAATGTAAATGTTGGATTATGGTGTGTTTAATACAGACTCTCTCCAATTTAACCACCAACTGGCTGGTCGGATGAATTTGATAGGGAGCAATTCAAATGGCTCTTGACAAAATATTTAAAACATACAAAGAAGAAAGAAAGTAGAATGTAGAATCAAGTTGCTTGTTTAAACTCACCTCACCGTAAGAGTGAGATGGAGACAAATATCTGCCAAGTCTTATCTTGTGTGTTTCTGATGCAAGCCCCCTAAAGCCATAATCGAATCGCGCACACTGGGACTGCGTGAGAGGGTGTACAGCAATGCATTCTGGGTAACTGTCCATTGTTAATATATTGTCAATGTTTATTGTGTAATTCTGTGACTCTGTCAGTGGTTGCTACAGTTTGTGGTATACTATTCTTTCTTCATCTTAGTTTATATGTGTCTGTTGCCCTTTGTTTTGTTAGATTCATCAGTGCCTCTTACACCTGATTTTTGTTTTCTCCACAATTTTTGTTGAGGGCAGATACAAAGATCAACAATTTGTTGTTATTTTGTTGCAAATTCGCTGAAACCTTTGTTTGTTTTCTCCATTATTTTTGTTAAGGGCAGATACAAAGATTGATAGCTTTTTGTTATTTTGTTGCAAATTTGCTGAAACCTTTATTTTGATACTTCAAAGAAGATTGAAAATTCTCTTACCAAGGAATTTTTTGAGCAACAAATTTGGTTAAAATTAAGTGGCAATAGAAGTAAAAATCTATTATCAAATGTTAACTCTAGTTTTATTAGAATCTTTTATGGTACTTTTGATGATTTTTTGTTTGTTTTCCATGAGGTTCATTCATTTTCTATCTTTTCTTCACCGAAATGGGGAACATTTGGTCAGTTTAATATTTTTCAAGATAAAACAATTTTGTTTAGATAAAACTTCTTAAACCAAGCATTCTATATGAACCATGATAGCAAAATGCATCATTTGAACTTGGGAAAATAATGATTTCAAATGAAATTTGTCATGATGTTTGGCTCGATGTTTGGCTCAGGGAAATGATTATTTGAAGGATCTTCTTTGTGTTGTTGTTGTTTTATGTAATCTCTCTGTGCTGCATTTTGGTGGTCCTCCTGATTTGGTTAGTTCATTATTTTTACATGATTTTGTGGCTCCTGATTTTGAACTCCGTGAAAGTACTCTAGAAAAAGTTAATGGTATTTTTTTGTTTGTACTCCTTACATCGTATTAGATCTTTATTCAGTCCGCGTAGCCCAAGGATTAAATTCATGTACCGGGTATTCAGTGATTATCTGAGACAGGCTTATTATAGATTTAGCTTATTTGTATGGAACAACATGACTAACGTTGTTAAAGAGTTTAGGAAGGGATTTTCTTCGATCAGATGAACAATATTCTGTTATTCTTTTATTCTACCCTTAAATGTACTTTCCCCTCTTGCTCCTGCTTTCTAAAAAATGACTTGCATGATTTAATATGAATCTTGTTCACATTGTGTACTTATGTTTTCCTTAGTCTTACGATTGTTGCTTATCCCACATATTCACTTCCATGTTACCACTGCTTGAGTGGTAGTCACAGTCATAGTCATGCCTAGCTGACTGCGTAGTTATAAAACCACATCATTAGATTTGCAGTGAATTGGATCCCAGAATTGACTATTAGTCAGCTTTCTAATAGTAACTTTCAAAGCTCTTTTGCACATGTAGCCTTTTAGGTGTATACTAAACAACATGTTCAAGTCCAAAATGATTTTCCACCTTCTAGTGAATTCTATCACAGTAACGGTTAAACATAAAGTGGCATACTTATATACCGGTAAATTAAAAAAAATAACATTAATGCAGTAGAGCAATTTCAAAGGAGAAACAAATAATCAATAAAAAGGAAATGAGTCCACATTATAAGGTGTAGCTAAATAACTTCTAATTCACCGTTCTAACTTAAGATTCATAGCCCTAACAAATATATGAAATACACTTTGTGTACATGAAAATTTGTATCCAGTTTTCTTCTCTTACCATAAGGTATATGATGCCAGGAATTTTCATGAGGAAAACATAAAACATTAAAATCCTTTGATTACCGGTAGACACATTTTGAAAAGTTCAATACTTCAAATTGGTCATTCCATACAAATTGGTTTGAATTTTGTTTGTTTTGTTTGTTCATGTACCGGTATGTTATTTTAGTTACATGACTTTGATTGGGGAATATAGCAATATAAGATGTATACCTGTGTTGCCAATGTGCTTTGTAGGCTAGGAAAAATAATATGTGTATTTGTTGTATATTATATATTGAATTATTTCTTTCATGTAGAATGTTTGTGTCATACCATTTTGTAACCTTAGTCAGATTACATACCCTCTTGGAAATTCATGATTTTTATGATGTTATATATCAACCAGAGGTTAATGATTTTTTTTTCTTCAAGGGGCATTTTTTAATTTAATGTGCAGGCTGATGGTTTTACAGGGGTGCATACAGAGGATTGTTTCAAGGGGGGGGGGGGGCAACATTTTCCTGACACTGACGTTTTCTTCTTCCAGGAACATGATTTAGGGAATCCTCCAGACCCACTCAAGACCTACAAGGGAAGGCTGGGGGAAGGCAGTGGGAGTCTACCCCCAGGAAAATAAGAATTTTAACCCCAAAAGATTTGTTCACTCTTTAGAATCAGGATGGGGTACTGTTATTTCGCACCGATTTCCCCCTCCCCAATTTACTTATGGTTTGTTGTACATACTACATTTGATGTCTTTTTTGGTTCCAATATCTATAAGTGTACTATATTACTTATCAGTTTACATAGGTCCCCCCCCCCCCTCTTGTATTGGGACAATTTAGATGCTATAATTGTATTATGACATGGCATGATTGTGATTTGTGTTTTTTGCATGATAATGTGATTTTCTTTTCTCATTGTATCATTATAAGCTGCATGGTATTTTCAATCTGTATAGTGTATACCATCCTATAAAAAATATGTCTTTGTTTTTAACAAACTTACAATTGATTTTTAAAGTTCAAAGATTGGTAGAATCATTTTTATGCACATCAGAGTTGAGGCAAGCCTGATTCTAAATATCTATGGACTTTTAATCTATTTTAAGTTTAATAAAACGGAGTGGAAATAGTATTTGTGATCAAGTCGGACAGGATATGATCATTAATGTAACATGTATTCATATAAAACTGCTGAGAAAAATATTGATTTTTTTTTTTAAATTGATGAGATATATTGAGTGTTTTCATCATTTAAAAATGAGAATACTGGTAAGATTAAATGCCTTTTGTCAATCCAAATATATGTAAGTTTGTTGTGAAAGCAATGTAATTTTACAATATACTGTCTTAATTGAAGGTTTATTGTATATTGGAAATTGAATTAGTTATCATTGAGATTTGTTTATTCTATGTAGAACAATGTTATAGATTTTCAATTTTCAATGCTTCAGTCATATTTTCACTCTATTTCTCAACACCAATTTCATGTGAGTTTCCCATTTCAACTATCATTGATAACTTTATTTATTTTGTCTTTTTGTTCTCCAGCTACTGGCATGCATTACAAGGGCAGAGGAGTAGCACAGGAGAGCTAACACATTATACATCATCCCCCCCACCCCACCCCCTCTAAGGATCACCCTCTCTGACTTGACTTCTCCCTCTCCTACCAGCCCCACCCCTCCTGTACGTCTGGGGAGCTTCTGGTTACACCCCTGCTGGTATAAACACTCAAGATCATGAAACAGATGAGAAAGGGCGTGGCATGGCACAAAACGCATCGTTGTTGGAAGAGAGTCTTGGATCGGAATATGATTGCTCAAAGTGGGCTTGAGAGTACATATGAACTTCTCTTGAGGAGAGCCTGTGACAGTGAGGGGTAAACTATGAGGAGGAGGAGGGGGAAGGGGAAGGGAGGAGGAGAGATCGATGGAAATGAAGCATCAGACTCTACGCAAGATAAGATGTATGACTCTTCAGGTCGTGAAAGTTCAACCCGCAGCTTTTGTCAATGCATGTCATAAACGTTCAGATTCCCTATATTACATTTTAAGAATTAATTCTAAATGATCCTCTCATTGGGACGTGATTGTAATCCAGACAGACGCCTATCATCCGGATGATCTACACCTTGTAAAGGTTCTGATGGAGGTTTCTTGTAGTTTGGGTTTCTGCCCAGCCCTTCGTGCTTCTATATTAAAATGAGCTCGCTGAGGGAGGGAGGCTCAGACATGGCTATGCAGCAATGGAAATAAAAGGCGCAGGCGCCTAATTTCCATGTTCCAATCATTTTGATTTTTCTAGAAATAGATGAATGCTAATTAAGTTTTCACTATATTACACTTATATTTATCACAATTTAATATACGTGGTATCACAAATGCATTTTGCGTCCAATGATTTTTGATCGATAATGATTTTGTTTTCATGGCTTATTGTCTATTTATCCCAGTTTATGTGATTTATTTTGAGAAATCCATAACAGGGAAATAATAATGTGGGACTAGGTATACACCTTGATTGATTTTATTCCACGTAGACATGGGTTTGAATTGTATGGAATTTAGCAAGATCAATTGCATTATCTTACATTATGTCATTACACTTTGGTAGAAAATTGTTTCTTTTTCCTCATAGAATTTGGAAAAGCCATATATTTTTAACAGGGATAGGTAGATACATATTACAGAAAGAAAACATCAGGATTTACGCAGCAATGGCACTTTAACATGTGTTGTATAAATGCAGACCCAAACTACACTCAGCACCTTATATATGTTTTGAAAGCAGCTCATATTTAATCAAATCAGTTTCTTTTATTTATTCATTCTTGAATATGAAGAAGCACTTATTTTTAATCTTGTCACTTTATCTGGCTGTCATGCAGAAAATTTGAATTACTTGAATGCAGCTATTGAATCGAGATCGTTTGACCAAATATTGAAACTATCGCTAAATCCGCACCTGTGTCCAGGTGCGGATGAAGTAGGTATTTAAACCTGCTTGAGCGATAGTGCTCATTTTCATATGTATATAGTGTAACCGAAATGAATGAAATTATTGTACAGAAATATGAAGCTTTTGCAGGATAGCCCAAATCACTCTGACCAGCCATTTCAAATTTAGACGTGGCAAAAGAAATATTATGTGTTACTCAGAGAGAGAACGAGAGAGAGAAAAAGATTGCACAAGAGAGAGAGAGAGAGAGAGGGAGAGACAGTGAGCAAAAGAAAAGACTTAATTTAATCAGAGTTATTTGTTGAGTATATATGTCAAATATAGATTACTACTACAAAATTATAGATTTTATGATTATCATTGGTTGTGTGTGTTTGTGTGCCTGAGTGTGTATAGTTTGATTTGGAATTGGTTGGGCTCAAAGGTCAAAGTTCAAATTGATATGACACCGTGCTTTAAATGTGATAGAGCAAGTTTGGGAAAAATATATGTGCTGAGTATAGATTATACAAGACCAGAAAATAGAATAAATCAAGAAATATTTTAGGGATCAGGTATTAATAAGTTTATCACCTTGTACTAGAAACAGAGAGGGTCAAAGGTCAAATGTCACACGACCTTTACTCAACTTTATCTGTCAATTTTCACCTCAGCACAACAGATATTGTGCTTGAAAGCCTAGAATTGGAGTGCTACCCTTTGTAAAGTTTATTACAAATGAATATGAGAGGGATATAATTATTTAGTGTTCAATATCAAAGGGGGAAAAATGGAGACATTAGCTTTTTTTTTGTTTGATTGATTGGAATTCCCCTTAGTTTGGTGTTCTGCAGACAATCAACTCATCGGTTTAATTTTATTATAATTTGTTTCAGCCCCAAAAGGACATTGATTCATTTCTTTAGATGAGCGATGTGTTCTGATCTACAGAGCAAGATGGAGTGTTTGGTAGCATGTGAACATACCTCATGCTAGACCAGTGATACATGCACCAATCATACTCTGTTAGATACTTCAGAACAAATGCATCACTCTTAATTAGATTCATACCTACAAATCAGTAGCCATATACATATTTCAGCATTTTTGAAATACAGATCTGTTTTTTTTTAATCTCTAATTAAATTACTCTGTAATTAAATAACTAATAATTTGTCAGTCATGTTTTAGATTGTTGTTTTTTTCCTTGCCAATGTGCAAAGTTTAAATAGGTAAATTTGGATCTTCATGCAGAATTTGTCACTTTTTTGTCATTCTCTTTGTTTTGATCCTGCCACAGCTAGCATTATGTTTTGACCAAACTTTATGTGGAATGAAAATATGAAGCCAAGCTACATGTATGTAGCGTAATATTTTATCTAATTTAATGTAAAATAATCAGATTTATACAGAATATGAACTGTTTTATTTTCCTTTGGTTCCTTTGAAATATTTGATTGACTTAGTAGTAAAGAAATAGCAATCAAAAATCATTATATTGGATGAAAATTGTATCTTAGTGAAGATATTAAGAATTCATCATGTCAAGCAGAAATTGATTTTATAATGTGTGTGTGTGCATATAAAGCAGATTTTGATTCATCATTTCAACCAGAAATTAATCTTGAACTTTGAAAAAAAATTATGAAATTTGTTTATCTTACAAACCTGAACATCATTGATTCATATATTTGGAGATGTTACATGGCGGATTCAATGATGCAATTGCATCGTCAGTGGTCAATTATGATAAAGGTTCATGTGTTACCATAAAAGAAAAGATACATATAGGTACATTATTATGTAAGGGTCTCTTTAAAAAACAAACATTGATAAAAAATTGTCTTCATATATGAGAGCCCAATGAAGAGGGTAAACCAATCCTAATATTCCAAACGTAATGCATCAAGCTTGTTTGTTAAACACATCAGTACTGCACAAAATGGGACAGGCAGAGAGCAATTTAAAATGAAATTTGATTGAAGTAAAGTCATGGGAAAGAGATAATTAAAGAACATATTGGCTGATGGTAGTCCAAGTATATATTATGTAAATTCATGTTGCATTTGACATAGTACTTTAAACTCCTGTCTTTGTTTAAGTTTATAAAGAAAGATTGTGCGCATCTGATATAATATCATGTGTACACATGTTTATGTATACAGCATTTTTATAGTAGATTTTTTTAAGTGGAACAAAAAAATAAGAATTTATCAAGGACATCAAAGACTTTGATTGGTTGATATCTATCTTTGAATCCTTGTAAGCTATCAATATGATGAGGGTTGTACATTTTTTTAGATTCTATTTCTGATTTTGGTATTTGTTTTAGTAATTAAAACCTTGACCTTGCCCTTAGGATCCTATTATTTATGTTTTTATAGTTTTATGAGCAAGACACAGAATTTGCCATATTTGAAGAAAAAGCCATATTTGATTTACTGATTGTCATCAGTATCTGTCATTCTGCCAAGACTATATTTTGAGAATATCATATGCATATCTGATTTGTTGATGGAAGGAAAAATGTTGTAAAAATATCCTTTATTCTCTTAATTCAGAAACGCCCAATTATTATTAGCATAGGCAAGTGCCATTTGGGATGAGGAAGGGTTTGAAAGCCAATTACTTTTTTGTATGTGGTAAGCCATGAGTTCTTGTAAAGTTTTAATCTGATAGTCTATCTGAAACTCGGCTGTGTGCTTCAACAGTGTATACACATAGTGGTCATGCTATGGGTACCGTAGTTTGTGTGAGTGAGGGCACAAGACTTGTTGTCTTGACGAATAGTCAACTCTTATCCTACCACCTCCAATTGTTTTGAAGGATTGTATTAAGGGATGATCCTTTTAGAAATGATTGTAGTCAGGATCTGATTTTAAAGTCTCAAAGTGCAATGTTATCAAGCTTACAATACAATTTTTAACAAAAGTCCTTCATGTGGATGGAGTTTAGGAAAGTATGATATATGGAGGAAGGTATGGAAAATGTAGTTTATGTAAAACTCTTGCATTTCTAATACAGAGGAGTGTAGTTTAGAGGGTGAAATGTGGGGAAAACATTGTCAGTTATAAAGCTGAGATAAACTTGCTCTTGTATGAGCACAAAAAAATGCCTCAGATTTGGGCAAATAAGATATGCACAACAGAGCTATATGTACATTCAGGTGTGTGTGTGTTGAATAAAGCTTACATTTATTTTCTCTCTCGCAATATGTATGTGAAAGAAGCTTGTTTTATTTGAGAAAGGGAGCATTTGATGGCTTCATCTCTCTTTATAGACGGCTGTCTTGTACATACAAACAAGAAATGACAATGTACATACTGATGCTATTCATTTCCTTGAGAAAGTGCACACAAGAAAATCTATCACACTCTTTGATTTTATTGTCAAAATGTCTTTAATCACCTTTAATCACAGCACCTTTTTTCAGCTGAATCTACTTTTTTGTTTCTCCCTCAAGGAAAGTGCATTGAACTGTACATCACTGTTGTCTTATAGCATTAAACCTACAGCAAATGAATCCATGGGTACACATTGCTTTATGCTGTATCGTATATATGTCAGCGTGTGCTGATTTCTTTGTCGTTCTTTATTTTCCTTCTGTTTTTTATTATCGTCTACTATGGTAGGCGTTTTACTTTGATGTAGAGGAAAAACCTGTGGCACTCTATTAATTGTATTAAATAAAAATGATAGGAGTAATACAAAGCTTCACGCAGTATGTCTCCTGAAGTAAACTACAAACAAACCGAGTCATGTTGCTTCATTTCATCCTTGCTTATTTTTAAGAGAAAAAAATTCATATTGAGGGACTTGGTAACATTGTTCAGATGAGAGAAAATGTTAGATGTACAATTAAAGATAATCTGAAAGTTTAAGTGAAAACAGACCATTATTAATGATGAAAATTGGGGAAAACTGATCTGATCGATTCCTTAATTCTCCCAACCATATTATTACAATTTAATTACATTTTAGGTGAATTTAAATCGAAAGGAATTGGCTGTATTGACCATTCCAGACATTTAAGTGTTGAAGGATTTTAAAAAGCCTGTCTTGTGTCTTATTTTCATGGAAAAATGGTTTGAAAAATTAAAAAATGGTTGGGAGAATTTACTGTTCGAGGGTGTCGCACAGTGACATCTTCAAAGAAAAGCTTAAATATCTTTGTGGTTTGAGAATTTTTCAGGACTTTTTGCATGTTAGAGGGTTAGTACAGTAGAAGGAATATAATAAGTAACTTTTCTTTAAAAAATAACACAATTTTTTCATCAACCTTCAACAATGTTACCAAGTCACTGTAAGGTATTTTCATTTAAAGGTGGTCACAATGCATTTGAGTTTCTTGTTTTAGTAGTTTTCTTTTTCCCCTTTTCTGTCTCCACATTTCTCATTTGAAGTCTCTCACTCTTTCTCTCTGTCTCTCCCTTTATCTTCTTTTATAGATGTCATTCCTACCCGTCACCTCTGCCCATCATATTTCTAATTTGACTCTTCTCTACATCACCCCTCTTTAGCCATCTATCTCTTAATTTCTGTGTTCCATTCTCAGATCATCATCTGTTGGATACCTGCTACAATGTGTTTTAATTGTTATCGGTTGTTTTCCCCTGTATGCATGGATCTGCCCAGAGTACAATGTTAATTTCTTGACACTTTATAATCCTCCCAGACACTTATCAAATTTATAAATTCCTCAATTATCATTCATTAGCACATGCTGGACCTCATCTATGGAATCAGTTGCTGATGCAAGACATAATATTTCAAGTATATATTGTTTTTAAAATTTCCTCCAAATGCAACTTTTGAAGAAAAAATGGCTTTCCAGTACTAGTAGATCCATTTGTATTTTCTAACTTGTCTCACTCTTGTGTATTTTCATACTCTTCGTTTTCGCCTTGAGCCTATTATTCATGGGGAGTTGGGGTATTATAAATTCTCTTTTATCCTGCCTCCCTCCCCTCCCCCCCCCCCCTCTCTCTCTCTCTCTCTCTCTCTCCCTCTCTCTATGTTTCACTTTCTGTGTAGCTCTCTGTTTCAGTATTTCCTCTCTTATCTTCCCCACAGGTGATTTTCTTAGCGTATTTCTTCTTAATTCAATCAAAACAACACACATTAAACACAACACACCATATTTTTTACTTCTAAAATTGTTTGTGATTTTATTCTGCTGAAATATTAGTACTGCATAAATTCAATCTGCAAATTAGTGACCTATCTATTTAAAAACACTGCTACATATTAAATATGTTAGTTTTAGGAATATATTAAAAGTACTCTCATTTTTTTAATGAAAAGACCTCTTAGTTTCAGCACAATAAGCATTCAGCCACTTCAGCATTCATATGATGGTCATAGATACTTGTTCATTCACATGTACAATCCTCAACAAATACTTGCATTTAAAAATAAATTCATATTTGAGCTCTTATTCTTTAAGAAAGCTAACAACTTTCACATTGAATATGACTTACAAAAATGCATTTCTCTCTTTAATCATGGTATTATAACATAAAATATACTCTTATATATTCATTTTGACTATTATTAGAATAGTAAAGTTGTTATCTTCTTTGCTTGACTACATAGTTCCCAAAATATAATCATTTATGATGAACACACTGTGATGGAATACTCAGCAAGCAGGAAATGGAATGCAAACATATATGAATACACAGATATATGAATGCACAAATATATGCATGCACAGATATACGAATACACAAATATATGAACACACAGATATATGAATACACAAACATATGAATGCACAGAAATATGAATACACAAATATATGAATACACAAATATATGAATGCACAGAAATATGAATACACAAATATATGAATGCACATATATATGAATACACAAATATATAAATGCACAGATATATGAATGCACAAATATATGAATGCACAAATATATGAATGCACAAATATATGAATACACAAATATATGAATACACAAATATATGAAAGCACAGATATATGAATACACAAATATATGAATGCACAGATATATGAATACACACATGATACATATACATGTAGAATGCTTTAACTCTGCTTGTAACGTACACTTTACTGATAATAAACATGCTGTGATTTGCTGGCTCACAACCACCAACAACAAAGAGAGGGAAAACGCTTTTCTGCTTCTACATAATAAATGAGTATTTTGAATATCAATCTAGTATATGGGCAAATCCAAGTTTTTCGTCCAATACGTTACCGACACATCTAGGATTCGAGTCTAGCTGATCATTGAATGAAAAGCTCAGATACGACCGAATATGAAGAGTAATGATACGTTGCCATGTGAATCTATGTTCTTAAATCCAGAATACCGGCCAACTCTAGAATAACGGTTTAGACACCAGATGACACATATACCCTACACGGACCCATATACGACTGTTGTGATTATGAGTTTTCCTGAAAAGGATGAATTTTTGATGGTTTTTTATGACACCAGATGACAAAATACCAGACTTGCCCTTATCCAACTGTTATGATTTTAAGTTTTCCTGAAAAGGAAGATTTTTTTGATGATTACAACAATAATTTTAAACTTACAACGACCCCCATGACACCAATTCCCTTACTCCCTATTACAATGTTCGCTCTCTCTCTCTTTCTCTCTCTCACTCTCTGACAAGATGTTGTCAATCACTCTTGACATATTGAGGTGGTAAGCGGTATATGAGGAGGTATACTACTGTTGAAGCTAAGAATTTCTGGTTAGAGGATATGTACAAAGTTGATAACTCTAACCTGGGGATTTACTGGTGGTTTTCAGGCAAAATTTTATCTCTTTTTTTTTTATGTACAATTTTGTACTAGACTGAGATCTCTTAAAACTAGTGTGAACATCCACATAGTGACTCTTAACAGGAGATATACATATACACAAACAAAAAAATCATGTCAAGTTAATACTTTTATAACTTTCTGTAGTACTTATCTAACCCTGCTTCCTTCAGAAAAAATAGCACATCCTTTTACAATTAAAAAAATATACACACATATATCTTATTTGCAGCATTATAAATGTGTATAAAAGAACACTTCTGAAAAACAAATGGTATTAACAGAAATTAACAAAATAACAAAATAAATTAGAAGAGGAACAAAAAATGCCTTAACAATAATTGTTTCGTTGTATTTAAAAGTTAAAAGAATATTATGCTGAATAATTTCCACTATGATCACTTGATAAAACAATGCTAATTTAGTTGAATCACTAATCTTAAAGCATAGCAAATCTGAATCTTTCTTCGAATTGATATCTTAATAAATAGAATACATACTCAGTTTATAGAAATGAGGTTAATACACCAATTAATAATAATAATTAAGATCAATTCACACAGCGCAGCTACTATATAAAAATACTCTACTGCGCTGTGCTGAAAACAAAACTCCTTAAAGTGCTATTTTACAAACACACAATGAATATATATTACCTAAAATAAAAATAGGCAAGTTTAAAAAAACAGTGCATAAAAACAAAGAAAAATATTCTATATCCATCATTTTCTTTTCCAAACATAATTTTAATGAATAATGGGAATATTTACAATGCTATAATCTACATGGAGTATACACCAGTGAGAAAAGTATGTTACTGGGATTACATATTTGGGCATAAAGTACTCTTAGTGATATCATTTCAATTATGGATTCTCCTAGCCCGGGGTGAACCAAAATTTAACTGCTTTCACGGGATAAAAAACAAAGACACCTCTTCTTCAGGGCTGGTCGGACCTGTACAATAGCAACAACGATGGACTATATGCATACATGATTTAATGGTAATGATAACGATTGAAGTGGTCACACCCCCATGATAAACTCGTTAGGGCTCTGTCAGTCAAGCACGATCAATACTGCCCCCACATGACTTCTTCTGAATAGAAGTCACCTCGATGGAGTAAAATGATCGGCTTTTGCTCCAGTCATATTCTTGAGGTATGTCCTGATAAAATCACTCGCCAAGTTATCCGAAACGGGCCAATAAATTGATGTGGGAGACTCATAAGTATAAATCATTGATGTCTGACCAAAACAATGATTTTATATTCATTTTCCACATTAAACAACAGAGGAGCCATTCAAGTGTGATTTAGGGCTCATTCTGATACCATGTGGTATACAGCTGCAAAAAAATGCTGATTTTGTTCTTAGTGTAAATAAAATGGCAATTGTGAGCAAGAAACCTCCTGTATCTATTCACTGAGCTCTATGTTTATATAAGATATGAAATTGTGAGGAGTATTACACTTTTAAGTTATAAAAAAAACGTTACAGTTTTGCCGCATCATATCAGAATGAGGCAGTATCGTTATTGTTATCGTCTAACCAACCATTTAGCGTTTCTAGAATACAGCACCAGTGATGCGCAAAGATGGAAGAGCATTTCATGAGGAAGCCTTCTCAAGTTACGTTTCTGCTTCGATATTCTTCTACAAGATAATACAAAAATAACATGGCTCACATTCCATTCTCCAAACTCCCTTCATAATTTGATGAATAGAAGGCCATTCAGCCTTTGATAGGTAAGAGCTAAGTCCTGACTAAAGCCTCGTTTACACATGCAATGGTAATCCAAATATAATAACCGTTATTTTAAAAAAAAAATAATAATTAAAATGTGACAAAATGTGACATTTTTTGCATTTTTTTTTAATAATTCTTTTCAAACAAGCTGTCTCATGAAAAGAAGACAGCAACAGTGGTTTGGGCATGACTAGATAAAAGAATAGCTTGGCAAACACCATCTTGCAAGGAGGAACTGATGGGAGGAGAAAGAGGGGCAGACTAACTAGGACATGGACTGATATCATCAAGCAATGGACGGGCATGTTATTGGAGCAGGTAACTAGAACAGCTGAACACAGGAAGCTATGAAGAACCTGTGTCTCAAGGTCCCAACGACCACCAAGCTATGGAACATGGATAGATGGATTTCATGAAAGAAAAACCTACTGGCCTTTGTTGTATGCACATACTTTCTTCTCCTCATTGGCGATTCATTTACACTTAAAATGGTCTATTATTCTGGCCACAATTTTTTGTTTTGCATCGATTAATCCCATCATGTATAAATGTGGCTTCAGCCCAGGGATTCTGGAAATAAAAACCTACAAGAAAGACCCTAACTGATAGCTTCTTGCCTTGGCAATAGAAATGTTTTCCTTGGCTCCTCCTTTGAAAGCCTTTTAAAGCTTATCTGCCGTAGTTTACAGGAGGGATTAGACTGCCCTGCAAGGTCACTGGACAGGTGGTTATCTCATCAACTCAGCTCTCACTTAAGATAAGGAAAAAGAGGATCATGGGGGACCAATGGTCACCGATTAGGCATTGTTTGTTATATAGAGGGCGCAAGTAGCTACAAGTAGTGCAGTGGGCCTTTAAGAGAGAGAGAGAGCTAGCCTTCTTCAGCCGGTAAGAACTCTGATTCTATCTCTATTTGTGGCACCTGGTTCTTGACCTGTTCCTCTACCGTCTCATCCGTTTCCAGAAGCTCAATCCAGTAAAAGAGCTTCTTACTCCTCGTCCAGCTGTAGCTGTTATCAAACTTGACTACATCTGGTTGGAAGAAGAAAGAAAACAAATATATATTATTGTAAACAACAATGACAACAGCAGCAGCAGCCACAACAGCAGCCACAACAGCAGCAACAACAACAACAATAACATCAACAGTAAAAACCAACCACCACCACAATAACACGAATAAGCATTGGCCTGGACAGTGCCAGGCGCGGGCAAAAAAAAAAAAACAATGGCGGCCGAGTACGAGAAATCGTATTCGAGTAGTTGTCAACAGTGCCGTCGCAGCCTTACAACAAATACAACAACAATACCAGCAACATAAAAAAAACCCATCACATTCATGGTCTTTTTTTTAGAGCGGGTAGCCTGATCAGAACTTATTCCGTTGTTGCTGGGAGCCTTGCAATTATACTATCTGGCTTTAGCCAAGCTACCATCAAATGGTGCTCGAGCACGCAAATAATTCCCTCCTACCAAGTACCCATTTACTTCACCTGGGTGGAGAGTGGCAAATGAAGATTAACATCTTGCCAAAGGACAATTAACAAATGAAAGATGGAGTAAATGTTAATTGATTAGGGAAGGGAACCTCACTGAAATGAGATATGTTTGAATACACCTTACATTCATCATGAAGATGGCCCCTTCCTACTCCCCCCCCCCCCCAAACAACTTCCCCAAACACAACTAACCCCAAAAGGAGACTACACCACATAGCAATTATCCTCTCGTTAATAATCCTTATGCTAGCCACTCATGTGGAGTAAATGTCTTGTGGCAGTTTCTTTATTCTGTGCCCTCCCCCCAATCAATTTCTGGATACACCACTGATATAATTCTACCTATGACTAAAGTAAATTCTTACATGTTCCAGGATCTTTGAGTTCGATGGTGCCTGTTTCTGGACATCGATGGCAGTTCAAGTGTTGAGACTCAGCGATTACAGTCTTGGTTCCATCCTCGGCGATGAATTTGATCCCGAAACCAATGTCGTTGTCCTGGGTCCGGAACTCATAACTGAAAATTATAAGAAGTTATCAGTCAAAAAATCATCAATTCTAAACTAATATCACCTTTCTTCTTTTATTTTTTAATTTTTTAAAACACAACTGGTGAAAATCATTTTTTCAAAGCAAAACAAATCGTTAGTCTTTCTTTAAAAATAAGAGAGAAAATTTCAGATCCCAAAACATGTTTGGCTTTAAGAGTTGTCAAATGTATGGGAAGTTGCTTTAAAAATTACTAACAAAATTTATAGTAAAAGCATAATCGTAATTGAATCCGTTTACCAAAGTTATAATACACTCTTACTTGGAAAAGTTATGATCATTGTCTCAAATGGCAGAGTGGTTAAACCTGGTGAAACTTGATCTACTGCTTTATGGAGCGCTAAGAATCAACTCTTGGATTTAATAAATTATTGTAACTCTGTAAAAAAAAAATGAATCTAATAAAATGAATCCAGTCATGAAATAAACATGGAAACTGATTCACTATGACTAGGGTTTTCTTTTCTCATTTAGTTAAAGAATTAGAACAATTTTGTACAAGATTATTAAAGAGATTAACACTTGGTGCTCTATATATCAGTAGACTAACTCCAATCACTTAGTCCTAGTATTGACCTGGACTAAAGCTGGTCCACTTTCATAAACAATGCTTACTTGATGACGCTATCAGGCTTGGTGACATTGTAGGTGAGTTCTAAAGACCCACGACTAGAGATCTCCTTCTTGGTCATCTGTGATGGATCTATGGACACGGTTCGTCCGGTCAGATAGAGCTCCTTAGGTACCTTGCCTCCTCGTCTCACCTACAATGTGGGGTCAAATTGAAACATGAGGTCAAAGTTAAATCAACACTGATTGATCTAAAGAACTACATATTACTTCTCGACTCAATTAAAATCTAATTGCTGATTGTCCAAACATAACTTTGGTTTTCAGATTATATTTTCTTATGTTCTCAAAGAGCAGTTTTCCTACTTAACATTGTATTCATACAATTCTCTATTATTAACCTGCAAAAGGGATACAGCATCTTCAACTTCGAATCATGTATTGCTAAGTTGGATGGATTATTTTGATGGGAGAGCGTAGCATTAATGAGAAATATAACATGGTTTGGAGTTGAAGAAGGAAACTGATCTACTCAATCCTTACCAAATTCCTGTATGAAAGAGAAGACAAAGGAGGAGAAGTTAAAGCAGAAGTAGAAGCAAGAGAAAAAGAGGAAGAAAAAGAAGGAGAGGAAGTAAAAGAAGAAGAAGTAGAATAAGAGGGAAAAGGAGACAAAGAAGGAGAAAAAGAAGGAGAAAAAGAAGGAGAAAAAGAAGAAGAGGAAGAGGGAGAAGAGGGAGAAGAGGGAGAAAGGGGAGGAGAAGAAGAAGAAGAGGAAGAAGAAGAAGAAGAAGAACTCACAAGAGAGGGGCATTGTCCATCACCATCCTCCTCCTTGGTTCCTCCCCAGTACACAGGGAGTACATCAGCATCTATATACTTCAGAAGTACTTCTTTAAAGTTATCTGTTTGAAGAGAGGAAAAATTAGAATGAAAAGTTTGGCTCAACCCCATTCTATGCCATAGGCAGCGAATCCAGCCCAAGATTACGATTTGTTGAATAATATAATGTTTGGACTAAGAATAGCAACATGTTTCTCTTTGAAACAGAAACTGGTGTTTTTATTGATAAGCTTATTTAAAAGGAAGATATAATATGGCAAAATTAAAAACAACAGCAACAGCAACAGCAACAACAATAATAAAGCATTCAAAAGTTAATTTGCTCTATTTTTCATATAGTTGGTGACAATGAAGGGGATAAAGCTAATCCAAAATTTCTTGAGGAAGGTACAAAAATTTAATGTATACAATCAAGACAGTCAAGAAAATCAGACAAACAATGAGAAATTGTAAATTTAAATTTGATATCATTGTAAGTAGGGCAAATTTGTTATGTCATTGTGATGTAATGGAGTACAACTCTCCCAATTGGCCCCTTCATGCAGATTGCTAAATAATTTCTTTAACGAGATCTACTTCTGAGCAGAATCAATAGTTTGCTTTCAACATGTACTTGACATTTCTAAAGATCTAATCAAAGTACTTGCCTACAAAAGAACAATAATAATCTATCTATTTTTCAATCCCTTTTTACTCTCAATCTGGATAATATATAATCAGAATTCATACAATATTCAAGAATGAAAAGATTTCGACTTTCAAATCAACATTCCCTCTCATCTGATGCCACAAGTGCCCTTCATTGCCATGGCGATCTTACCTTTGCAGAAGACTGCCCTGTTGCGTGTGTGTTCTCCTAAGAAAGGACTAATGAGGGAGTAGAGGAGAGGAAAGAGGCGAGGGCTCCGAAGGATATAGATACGAAAGAGCAACTCAGGAAAGTGGGCCTCGCACATGTTCACAATCTGAAGAAGAAAGTGAGCACTGATCATTACTAGACAATCAAAAGAGACGAAGGAAACTTAGGAAAGTAAGTACATGTGAACATGTAACAAAGATTTGTGATTGATCTAAATCAATTGCAAGATTGTAATTTTGTCAGTGGATTGTGGCATAGTGACAGATTTCTCTCCTGTTTGTCGTGTACAAAAATATCGCTAATTTTTGTCTTTCTTTTCAAAGTGCCTTCACCTTTGGGACACTACTTCAAGTATGATATGGAGAGTATATTAAATCAGGTCCTTCTAAAAAGAAAAGACATTCCTAAGTCATACATTTTTGAAAAAAATTGAAATTTTAGTCATTTTGTGAGTTGAAACAAATGGGATAATTAATTGTCCGCCACTACATCACATAGACATTACCGGTTCAGCCAAATTGAAGAGCCCATACCTATAATGATTGCAACTTTCAAGAATTCATTAACTTTCTCATTTCATGCATTATGTAACAGTACTTACAGAAATCTGTAGCTGGGTAGAGGGCCTGGAGAGATGCTGTCTACCGAGGTGCTCAAAGTCCATGATGAAATGGATGCCTTCAACGTTTGTGTTCAACTGCAAGAGAGTACCGGTAAATAACTTATATCAAAAGTGTAATTCTGTACTGTAAATATTATCTTTATACCAGATACATGAGCAGAAAAGAGGATTTGTTTTCCCCTGTCCCTGTGCAACCTGTGCTTATTGCTTCTAGCACCAGAAATTTACAAAAAATGAGAACAATTTATATACCGACAAAAAAAATACGAAAAATTGAAATTTACTGTTACACCATACATACTGATATCAAGTGACCTCAATGACCCATTTTATGCCCATGTATTTTCTCTCCAGATAGCTTTAAAATGTTTGATTTCTTTTACTGTGCACTTAATTACTTAGCAATTGGTAATGTAACACCCAAAATAAATGCTAAATCACCCCCGCAATCGATCAAACAAGAAACAATCTCAGTCAAACAAGAGCAAAAGAGAGCACCAAGTTAGAAGACCTGAGAAACGTTTGACGCAGAACTTCGACAGGTCCTGCTGTAATTAAATATGTTACAGAAAAGGTTATAAAAGATACCTTCTTTGATTGTTCGATCATGAGATCGTTAAGACCTGAGAAACGCTGGATGTAGAACTTCATGAGGTCTGTTTGTGTGACTGCGTGTAGGAGACCTGTAGATGAAAACAAACAATGGGAGGAAAAATTAGTTGTACAATTTCTCACACTTCATTCTTTTTTCAGACAACAAGATTGTGTTCCTTCATTTAAATGTTTGTGGAAGAGTACTCAAATCATAGTGTTTGTATTCACTATTGATACCTATTTTTGTAATAATTGACGACTCAACAGGAGAGGGCTCTGTATTGCCAATTAAACAATATCAAAATAAATTTTCATAGCAAACAATGTTTAATGGCACAAATATATGCAATAGTCATATTGAGAGGGTTTAACTTGATGTACTGAAAACAAATATCTTTACAAATTGTAATAAAGCCTGACATCTACCTCTTTTCTATAGAAAGATAAATGTTTGTTCTGATTTTTAAAAAAAACCCATATTTTTACACCTTTTTTATTCTTCATATGAAATTAAAAGAAAAAAACTATTTCCTTGCTGTTTGTCTTTATTACAAGATGTGGAGAAAGCATTACTAAATAAGTGCTAATGTACTCTTATAATGTTCTCTTGACAAGTTTTAAGAAAATCACAAAATTGACCATTATCCATGTAGCTTAACATTCAAAACCCTGATATATATTTTCTGTCAACATGCTTATATTTTCTTTCTGTATTAAAGAACAGAAAGACTATTGCCAGTCACTAGGCCTGGAAATAGATGACATGTATACCTTTGAAATCAATGAGACCAAATGGATCCAGAAAGATAGGTCGGCCATCTTTACCAAACCCTATCATTCCTCCAATGCGATATTTCTCTAACACCTGTTGGGAAGCAGAAAGTAAAGAAATAGAACACAACATTAATTATTCATGCCCTATATTACCAAAGTCATTTGAGGAGGCCCAATGGCTCAGCCGAGCTAGGATTTATCAAGCAAGAATAAATTTCTGCAATATCCATGCTCTAAAGCTGGGTCAACAGACTAGGTCAAGAGACTGGGTCAAGAACTCAACAAACATTTCAACAAAATGAAATGGCAAAGAATCTACCAGTCACAACAAAAGACTTTTTTTTGGTCAATTCTTAATTCTATTTTTTTTTAAAAAGATCACTTTGAAATGACCTATATGATTCATCAACAGATCCCAGATGTAATACATGAAAGATTTTCTTTGATGAAAGGTCAGTAAACAGTACATTGTAGGTTATATGCCTATTGTCTGATCGTATAGACTGTCATTGATGACACTATTCAGAGCTGCCAAACCTTGTGCGACCAAAAAAAAGGAACCATGATGGCCCAGAAAAGGAATTTCAAGCAAAAAACAGGAATTCATTAAAACAAAACTAAACAATCACGCCCGAAACACTTCCATAACTATACCTCATGCTGTTTTTTCCATATTATTATTAGGACCTACAGTTTATTCACAAGTAGGCCTAGGTATTTTTGTTATTGTTGTTATTTTGGTATTATCAGCATTTCATTCTTTTTGAGAATATTTTTCTCTTCAAGTATGTTTTAACTTTAGTTATCTATTGAGGTTGTGATCAAATCATCATTTTAGGGCAGTTGCTTCATGTGCAGTATGTAAAAAACACAAAACTATTTTATGAAGAAAAAAAACGTACTGCACTAAATTGGAGGAAAAAAAACGGAATAATTCTGGGAAAACTTAGGCCTAATGGTTGGCAGCTCTGACTATTCATACCCTCCTCAACAAACAAACAAAAAGAGAAAACTTGTTAAGATAACCTTGATTGTGAACGATCAATCAAATGGATATATACTGTATTGTATAACAACAGTGTCAATGAATTTCACATCAAACGAAGGCCATCAAGTGCCAAAAGATTTTTTACTCTTATCGTTCTTGTAGTTCTTCTACTTTAAGAGCTTGTAGTTAATGCCCTAATGACTTCCATCACATACATGTACAACTAGTCATTTGGAATGTCATAAATGTATGCCCCTTCAAGACCATTTTGAATTTTAAAAAGTAATGTATTAGAGTATTGGTATAGTATGCAGGTGTAAACCCTTGTCCATCAGAACATGTAATACTGGGTCTGATAAAGATCCAAGCTAAGACCAGTTTCTATATTATCATGCTAGCCATTAAATGGATAGTTGAGTTCTGTTTTCAGACCGCCAATCCCTTCAAAGTGCATGGTTATTGCTCTTATTCTTATCTATGACATTTCTAGTGTCCTTTTGGAACCTAAAATTTTTATGAAGGTAATTTTAGATCCAAAAAATGGCCAAAATGTGTGAAATTTATCCAATACGATCATACCAATTCAGCTCCACTTTAAAAAAAATATGGTGACCATTAATTAATTATTTAATTAAAAATAACAATACATGGGCCGGGCTGGTTGTGCGTAATATAACCAACATGAAAATGCAAACAAAGAAGCCAACATCGGCATTGGCTGAAATACAACGTAAAAGGCGCTATTTCATTTTTCAATGTTTTTTCAAATTATCTTAATATATGTGGTGGTACACAAGTATTAGAAATCGTTATATTTATGTATATTTCAGCCGTCTCTGAACAGATTTTGATCAAACAAAGATGATTTTGTCATTTAAATTGTATGTTCTTGCAAATTTGACACTCAGTTTTTATTATCTCATTAAAAAAAATTAATTTGTGTAGCACCCTCTGCAACAGAACTCTACTATCCCTTTAAGTGACACTGGTTTAGGCTAAAACTCAGATACATTTCAGTGTTAAATTAGATTTGGAGCCGGCAAACAAATTATTTAATGCTATGTCATCCAAAATATCCTGATATGTCAAATGTAATCACCAATATATACCCTTGTATATCCCTTGTGCCCCTGATTCTTTCATACCCTCTTCCTTAGTTATGCTTGATCAATATTGTGTAAAAGAAGCATTCAGAACATACAATAGACAGATCATTTAGGAGCCTGGGATCGTCTAGACATAAAACTACCTACATACAATACCATTCAACTCTTTATTTCTTTTGTATGGTGTTTATTCCTGACAAGCTGAAAATAGATTCACTGTGCATTTATGTACTGATGACTCAGCAAACAAATAAGGCTGAGTTACATTTGATCTAGTCATAGTGACATATACATTTGTCAAAGTATTTTAGAAAATGTAAATATATATGTGGAAACTTTTCAGTTTTACAAGTACTCATCTGAGAAGTTTGGTATTTATACAGAGACACTTGAGATAGTGAAAGAGAAACCCATTAGTGCTGGAGGAAAAAAAGGGAACTTGCCTATGCCCCCCCCCCTATCTCAGCTCTGCTGCCCCCTGACCTGAACTATACATTTTCTTAATAATCTTATAAATGTACCCTCATCATATAATTACCTCGGGAGTCTTAAAGTCCTCTGCTATAGTTGCAACCTTATTCTCCTCTCTCCAAACTATATCCTGTAAAAGAGAAATAATGCCAGAAAAAAATTATGCAAATAAGCCATTGGAAAACTCTCTTTAGAATCATGTCTAATTTATAATGAGATCAAAAAGTACACGTAACAAGGACTACCATACCCCTTCATGGACAATGACCGTGAAATCTCTTAGTTTATGCTTATAAATACAAATGATTGAAATTCTGGTTTTCTTTTTTGTCAGAAGATTTTTATCGGTCAAATATTAAATTTAATTTGAGCAATACACTCAACTTTTGAAGGTTTCAGGGAAAATATTTCTTTTAAATATGTCAAAACAAATGATAATTTGCCTTTTATTGTGTCTTCTTTTATTTTGTCAATGCACTGGGAGAATGTGCCTGCATAATTTATGTTTTATCTGGAGAGAATTATTACTCTCTGATTTTTCTTCTTTCTCCCTTTTTAGGGAATGATCATTCATTAAACTGACAACATTGTGATATTATGTCATCACAATCACACACACCCACCATCCACTATACTAGACATGTAGAATACTGTACCGGAACATCTTCTTGGCCCCCTTCAGGGTGGATCTTATGCAACAGATCTTATGCAACAATCCATTGAATAGAATCTGCACTCTATCTCAATCTCTTACAGAACCCTCCAAGGTTATCCCTTTCATTCACCCCAAAACTGATGTAATTGTTCTGAATCTACAAACCTTACAGAGTTATTGATTCCCATCTGCAGGATTAAAATACCTGTATATGGATGGAAAGCTTTGTCTGCAAATGACAGTTCTACACCCAAAGGGATAAAGATTAGAGCTTCCCAGCTTAAATGTGATTTTAAACAGACCCTGTATTAGGACAGTACTGGTATACAAAAACAGTATAAGTTTCTGTAGCTGTTTTAATCTTAAAACTTGTTTGAGCTGATCTTAATAATTGCAGTTCACACAACTGCTCCTCTGAAATTCTACGCCATTTTATTTCCAGTTGACACTGCATAAAATATTTTCTTTCCTACTCTATTTCCATGCAGACCTTCATAAACAAACATCCAATACCGGTACACAATTCTAGTATTTCAAAAAGTAGAAGATACTCAACAGTGCATTACTTCCTTTCAGACATACAGTAATATAATTTTTTTTTTGAATATATGGTATCTGAAGCAGACAAATACCCTAGGCAGGGGTGTATCCAGGATTTCACAAATGAGGGGGGGGGGGGACAATATTCCTACAATTAAATGATGACCCTACATTTATTAAAAAAATGAATAATAAGGGACATCAAATAAAAAGGGGAGCGCATTCTTGGAGTTGTGAACTCTGCTACTTTGGGTTGAAAAGAGGGAGGGGCATGGGCCGAGTTTGCCCCCCACCCCCGATCCCCAGGAGCCTTGAATTCCCTTACATTGTACATGCCATAATGAGGGCAGCAATCAAGTTCACTGAAGAGGTCACAGATTCATGGTCATGCCGCATCAATATGACCAGTGACCTGCATCAATTTGATCAAAACAAGATAAAGCACAATAGGGCAAATCAAATACATGTATATTGAACCCATATTGCAATAACTAACTGCGGGTGTGTGTTAAATCAATCTTTTGTTCACGCTCTCAAAGAAAGAATGCATTATATTTCCTACTTTTCTGAACATATTATTGTAAATAATCATGCAGGAAACAGTTCAACGATACATGTCCTCTCCTTTGAATAATACTGGTATACACTGGGAAGGACCTGCAAATACTTGTATAAACATTGATTAAATAAATCATTTTCGCAATGTAATCAAATTAAATGCACAAATCTTTGTGAAGTACCTCAATACAAATTATTTCATTCACCTGTTACACATACCGTAATTATATGTCTATAGTCAGAATGCTAATTGCAAACATTCTTTATTGTTAGATAGGACAAGCCATAATTTTTGTCCTACCTAGCAACAATTAATGTATGCAATTTTAATTCTGACTATTGAAATACAATTATGTGTAAAAGTGAATAAGATGATTTGTATTGAGGCTCTTCACAAAGATTAGTGCATTAGATTTGATTGCATTACGAAAACTTTCTATTCCTCAGCACCCCAGTAAGTTGAGAAGTGGCTTTTTCAAACTGTAAATTTATCTATTGATTGAGTCTCAGACTTGTACCCTCTGCCCCCCCCCCCTCAAATCCAGAGAATCTTGTATCTGCCAGTGGCATACATTGCAAGTAGGGCATAACCTTCAACCTTCAGGACCTACAAAATCACTCCCATGGCCCTGATAACATACACAATAAACAGCTGGAAATGTCTTTTAAAATGGAAATTCTTGTTTCCATTGTCAGAATATACATTGTTATGTGGGGAATATTGAGCAGAAGGTGACTTTAATACCTAGCTGTATGTACTCTGATAAAACTTGTATTAAAGCAGCAGTGATTCGACATTTGCTTTGGTAACAATTGCTCAGGGCTTTACTTCAGCAAAGTCATAGTGTTGGGATTTCAGTTGGGTTTAGCTTTAGCCAGTTTAGGGTTGGGTAAAGTTAGAAATTCTGTTAATGTTCAGGAGCATGAGTTGTACAGCCGCAAGCAATACTGCACAATCCCATTTCAAAGCGAACTGATCTAAAAGTGTATTATATTATATTTGAATCTTTTATATCTGGCAGAGATCAATGCACTCTTGATCTATTCAGTATGATAATGACTGATTCCTACCATAGACGTATGTTCCTACTCACAAAAAGATTCAACGATGACCCAGCTATGAACCTAGCAGAATGCATGCAAGCAAAAGGCTTCATATCAACTTTTGGTTTAGAGGTCAGGACTCAAGAGCAAACAAAAGGTTACATACCCCCCTTCCAACAAAAAAAAAAAAACATGAGCAGAAGGTCCTTGTGAATATTTTGACATTTGGGTAGCAGAGAATGATTTTTTAAATTTTATTTATTTATTTATTTATTTATTATTTTTTTTTAAATTTATTTATTTATTTATTTATTTTTATTTTTTTATTTATTTATTTTTTTTTTATTTTATTTTTTTATTTATTTATTTATTTATTTATTTTTTTTTTTTTTTTTGGGGGGGGTATTTTGGGGCAACTATGTAGGCCTACTGGTTTCCTGTAAGTATTAAAGATGAAGTTGAGTTCTGGTCATGCGATTGCATTGTGAAAGAAACGGTGTGGAACCGACCAGAAAAGCTTGATCATCTAGCATATAAGAATTTGTGTGTATTGCAAGGTTCTAGAATCATCAAAATGATAAGAAATGTGGCCAAGTCTTGGTTAAGTTACAAACACTTGCACAGAAAGATGTTTATGGGACTACACAAACACGTGGCATAAAAAGCCGGCCCCCGATTTTTACGATGTTACATGCATATTTAGAAGATGAAGGCATTTGAAGAGCCATGCTTTTCAGGGAACATGTCTTAACTGATGTTCTTCCACACTTGCATAATAAGTGAGTAATGCTCACAAATTATTTTTCACCTCTTCCCAGAACTCAACCTTCTCTTTAAAGTGAATCGGTATTGACAAGAACAGGTTAATAGATATGTGACCTGTTTACATATATATCTCATGCATGCCTTTTTAACAAAACTTCTCTTAACGATTGGAAACTGGAAAGCTTGCCATTGTCTTGCCAAACATGGCAACAACTAATGTATGCAGAGTGAATTCCTTCCAAAGAGATCAGGTGCCTGTCACAAGGCTATTTCACCACTCACGTTGGTGCTAAGGTAGTGACTTCAATGCTAGATGTACAATTAAAGATAATCAGAAAGTTTGAGTAAAAACAGACCATTATTAATAATAAAAATTGGGAAAAACTGATCTGATCGATTCCTTAATTTACCCAACTATATTATTACAATTTAATTTTAGGTGAATATAAATTGTCATAAAGCAATTGATCGGCTCTTTATACCATTCCAGACATTTAAATAAGTGCTGAATGATTTTTAAAAGGCTGTCTTAGATCTTTTTTTTTATGGAAAAACAGTTGGGAAAATTAAAAAATGGTTAAGAGAATTTACTAGAGGGTGTCGCACAGTGACGCCTTCCAAGAAAAACATTAATATCTTTGTGGTTTGAGAATTTTTCAGGAATTTTCACATGTTAGAGGTACAGTTGAAGGAACATAATAAGTAACATTTCATACAACAATTACGCAGTTTTTTCATCAACCTTCAACAGTGTTACCGAGTCACTTTAAAGTGTGCAATTAGAGTCTGTACCTGCTGGTTACATGTACTCATGGGTGAGAAATAGCTTCTTTTATCTCACACAGCTCACAACAAAATCCTTTTGTGCCTATCGTTTCATAACTTGGATCTCTTCGTTTCATAACTGGGATCTCTTCATTTCATAACTTGGATCAATTCCAGACCTTCATTTTTGTAAAAAGTCTGGGCAGAGAAGCATACAACTATATCATTGTCTAGTATGCTCCCTTTATCCATAGCCATGTAAGTGAATCAAGTTTTTTCCGCTCTCGAGCCAACATTCCTTTCATAATAATGAATAGGTTTTATAAAACACAAATCTATAAAAAACACAAAAGAAAAGTGCAACCACCGTTTCTATTTCCGTACAAAACTCATGGGGTGGAATGGCATGGGGACTGCTCTGAACTATTATTTAGGTTCATCAGACAATTAAATCTCAGCCGCAAGAATATAACAATCAACTTTGCTTCCACATCACCCCAACCCCTCTTTCCTATGGTAAGAATTACATGTTAGTTGTAGCTATAGGATCAGTGATAAGAATTTGAATACAAATATTTGTGTGAATTATAAGCTGCAGTGACACCTAAGCATTGTTTCAAGCAAAAAAAATCAAACAACAGCAAAGTGTACATGTGTAGGTGCCTGTACAGTCGTTTCAATTAATGAAGTATATATATATATATATATATATATATATATATATATAAAAAGGTCATGTGACGTCATTGGGATTCTATCAATGATGTGATTACAGCTTTCTGAATTTAAACATTGCTTCGATTAACATTAGATATTGTATAGTATTACAGGTGAAATGCCTTAATTGGAATAGGATAACATCATTCAGTATCAAAAAGACTTGATTCTTTACTCCACGCAGAACAATCCAAGGCATATAGCTTCCATGTTGATTTTCTACAGGATGCGAGCAGGAAAAGTTGATAGAGGACTATACAGTCCTACCTAAATGCCTTCTAGTCCGTCTTTCCCTTCGCTTGACATCTGATCGTTCCTAAACAGTTCTTTGAGTAGTTTGCAGGCACAAACATTTGTCAGTCATTGTGCGTAACAGGGTCTGCACTAGGAGACTACAATAGGCTCTGATAGGGCCAGAGACTGACATGTCAAGGCTCTACAAAAGGTTTTAGGAATTATGGTAGGGCATCAAATTAGAGTCTGTGCTTCCAGACTAGTCTATTCGTGGGGTTGGGGTATTCAAGAGATCATAGGATTAGTTTTTAATCCTAATATATCCTATGACAGAGCTGCCAACCTTGTGCGACCAAAAAAAGGAATCATGATGGCAAAAAAAAGGAATTTCAAGCAAAAAAAAAGGAATTCATAAAAACGAAACTTACAACCACGCGCGACACACTTCCAATGCAGAAATGTTCATTAATCGTGCTGTTTTTTCCATACAAGCAGGTTAATTTTTTTGGTGGTTCCTTTGGTATTATTGGTAGAATATTTTTCTCTTCAAGTATGTTTTAAAATTAGTTTTCTATTGAATTTATGATCAAATCACCATTTTTGGGCAGTTGTTTGACGTGCGGTATGTAAAAAAAAAAAAAAAAAATTATTAAAACGTATTTTATGAAGAAAAAACGTAATACCGTAATTTGGAGGAAAAAGCCGAGGAAAAAACAGAGTAATTCCGGCACAAAAGGAATGGTTGGCAGCTTTGCTATGAGGTTTAGGGTTCATTGGACCTTACAGGCTGGACCAATGGGTTTGTACAAAGCATCAGGGGATGTCTAAAAATACATAAGAGCATGAATAAAAAGAGCATATTATCTGTTTGGAGCCAGAAGGGTGTTCGTTTGCAAGTACACACTCTTGTCATGCAGTCGCTACATGCATAACAGTGTCTGCACTGTGAGACTACGCTGACGGCATATTCCAAAGACTCTGAACTTAAGCTGTTCATTTGATACAGTCAGAGACTGACAGAGCTAGGCTGTGTTTAAGGCTTAAGGAATTGTGGTGAAGTATCAATTTAAAGTCTTTGTCTGCAGACTAGCATTACATTCATACTGTACATTGCACATGTAGAATTAATGTTCTTCTGGCTCCTATGTTTGTTCAGATTCAAGTTTATGTGAAACCCATGTATGCAAGGATGCACAATAAATATGCTGTCACTGTCAATATTTCTTTCTAAAATGCTAAGCACTTCATGGCTAATGAGTACAGACATTGAAATCATTAATACAAACAGACAAAACAATTACATGCTGTATGTTGTTCATAATTAGGGGTTGGGAATGTCACATTATCCAGAACATTCTGTACATGTACGATGTATGTACCGTTTAGTGCTTATCTTACACACTACCTGATTATGAAATTTTGTTCCATGTCGGTGAATGTTCAACGAAGGAACACTAACGGCTCAATCATTATTTTTCTAAAATTCATCCTCACGTAATGCAACTGGGCAGAAATGTCCTCTTTATTATATGATAATTATCCTTGATTATGAGGGGCAAGAGCATCACTAACCAGACACCTAAATTTCTCAAATATTCTATTACCAAAATTTTGAATTTTTAGAACTATAACAAATTGATGACCTTTTTTTATAATATCATAAATACAGAAACTTTTTGGTAACCTGTTTGCCTATTTGACCCCCTCCCCTCCCTTCCCCATTCAAGTGCAATCCTAGTTCAGGGCCATTAATTCACAATGGACAATTGTCTAATTTCCCTTACATATCAAAAGCTAACCTATAAAGGCAACCACATTATGCCAGTAGGTAGTAGGTTGGTTTGATCACTTTGTTGTGTGTGAACACTAGGTTTGCTGTGGTGAAAATATTGAAAAGACTACCCCAAAAATGTCTTGCATTTTCTTCCAAATTTGGAGTTTCAAGCAACTAAAGCAGATAGGATAATCTGTCCATTCAGCAGCCAAATTAGTTCTTCATTGAGCTACTAGAATTTGATTCCGGAATAAAGTGCTTATTTGTTCATTTGACAATCAAAAATTCTTTCTGAAGGTACTAGGCTAACCTAATTTTGATTGTTCTCTCTAGGAGTAGGCTACTGATGTGAGCAAGGTGATATACAGATACTGGTAAACAAAACACCAATTATGTGGTTTGTCTAAGCTGATGGATATGTTAACAAGAAAACTATATAACAAGGAAACCATAAACTGCACATTGGGAATTCACCATTACAGAGATTTGGACATTTGCTGCATTCCAGCCCATTCCAAAGTAGCCCAGTTCTTTTCAACATTTCTATCCCCCTTTTAAGAACAGGATCAGTTCAAATTGCAAAAAAATAATTTCAACTGCAATAGGGGTCAAAACCTCTACAACAATTCATTGCATATAGAAAACATCCTGTTTTCTTCACACACAACACGTTTTCTTTTGTATCCATTGGACTTCAATGTACTTGCATGGTTTCATTGACCAAGAGAGAATATGAGCTGGGACCAAATGACCTTGGCCTCACTTTGATGAATTTGAGGTCTGAATAGTTGTCATCAATTCATCTTTTTATCCACTTTTTGTTGTTTCCTGTCTTTAATGCATTGCCAATTTGAGTTCAAGTAAGCAAATACAAGCTTATGCCAGCCGTTATACCGGGATATCGCTAGAATAACATGAGTGTCCAAACAAACTCTTTCTGTCTGCATAGAAGCGGGTCGGTCAGCTGAATGTATGTTGCTTCGAGCATGCGCAGATGAGTAAAGTTTCTTGCTCGGCAGAGAACTTTGAACCAAGATGAATAGTATTGTTCAGCGCAATCTTGGTTGTTCAGCAGGTGCTGAGCGGTTGGCAGAGTAGGCGTTGTCTGTCGAACGGACGTTTCCCTGTTTGCATGAGCGCGGCGGTTGTGAACGCGCGCCGGTCTGGCGGTTCCGAATGAAGGAAGGCACATGCTGTTTAACTTGATCTGCCAGTCTCTGAGTTGTACGTCCTATGTATCGAGCTTCAAATTTGCCATTAAAAAATTAAGCCTTAAAAAAAATTTGTATTATAAGGTTTTTCTGAATAATGTGTTCATATCTTATTAAGATTTTTCACATCAGACTCTTCTTTGACGTCATTATCAAATAATAAACAAGAGAATGAATTGAGAAGTTTCACACAATTAACATGATTCTTTTTTAAATATTGATTCTAATTTGTGATTCAGTGTAACTCAATCAAATTTGCCATTAAGCCTTGTTTAAAAAAATGTTGATTTGCCCTTTAGGTGCCAAAACATGGGTCGGTCGGACAAAGATCTTCTTTTTTTTTTACTCCCTGTTTGGACTGATATTTTTCTTTTTTTAATGCTTTGATACATATTTTTTCAACAAAAAAAAATGGTTAAAAAAAAAACTTTAAAAAAGCCTGCAGTAGATATCAAGATTTTTGGGCCGGTCGCAAGGGCAATACACCATCTTTATTTTAAACGCCTTATCGTACCAGGGTCACACCGACAAGACCCGACTCCAGACCAACAAAACCCTAATGGTCAAGAATCATTCAGTTTGGGACTGGTTTGGAATCAGTTTTGGCAGTGTGACTGAGGTTAGTAGTTACTAACAAACTAGATATGGTTTTGAACACATTTTTGGCTTGCCCCCAGTTAATAAAGATCGCGTGCTTGATCTGTAATTGAAAAAAAGTCGGAAAAACATATTACTAAATCTTGGAACCAGCAGGATTGGAACCTGCCAAAAATGTGTTTAAAACAGTTGACATTTTTCCCAGGAAGCACAACAATTAAAAAAACGATAAATATGGTACATGTATGGACAGGGCAAACAAGAATACATCGATTGCCAATTTGATGATCACAGCCATTATGCATGTCACTGTGCAATAGATGCCCAATGATATTCCCCAAATTGCTTTAAAAGATTTCAAAATCAATCGTTCATGCTCTAATTCTCCTATTGAGGAGAGGGCTTATGATCCGTTCTTGTCCACATAGTGCTAGATTTGTTAGATGTATTCATGAAAACTGGGTCAAAATAAATGGATCATTAGAAACATACAATGAACACTTGTAAAATTCATTTAAAATATGGGCAAATGTTGAAAAAATATCATGTTCAAAAGACTAACCACCTTTAGTATTATATAGAATTATCTCATTTTCTGTGATACCATTTTGCAATGCTAAAGACTTTAATGCATAAGGGCTGACAAACTATACAATGATTGTATAAAATCATATCTGATTCCAATTCAAAAGATGGATGTAGCTCAGGGCAAGTTGCCCCCACAGCACTAAAACATACCCCCAGGCAAAACAAAAACTTTGTAAATTTTGGTTAATACAATTCAATTTCTTTATATAATGAAAGTTGATATATTCAAGTCACATAATTTATAATACCGGTACTTACTTTTCTAAAGAGGCTCTCTGCTTTTTTTATGTCAAACTTTTTGCCTGCAGAGATTAAAAAAACAAATTCAAGAGGAAAAATAAGTAATAACATAGATTAATGGTGTAAATGTTGAATAAAAGAGAATGGAAAATTACCTAGGACATAGATTACCAAAGAAATGGTCAGATATTGTGAAGAGAACAGAAAATATATACAATAGAAAGCTTTCAAATAGGAAATTAAAAAACAAAACAGTGAAGATGAACAATGTTAATATATACATTACAAAGGGGCTAAACAAATTTTCTATCCCCAGTTTGATCTCAAAATAGTCATTACACAGGGTAAACAATCCTTCTTGCTCTCCACATATAAAAAAAACTACAAACAAACTACAAAACACAAGATAATGGAAGCACGATGGAGAGGATAGATTAAACAGGATCACTGATAGAGAAAATGTATATAGTTTATTAGCTTAAAAGTTCAAAAACTATTTTTTTAAGATACATGATGTAAATGTAAATCCATTTTTTTAATCACTCAATGAACATCATCATACCAAATATGATTTGTGTTTATGATACACAACATCTGACCTACACTGTGTAACATCAACATTGATGTTATCCACAGCGAATTTAGCACCACCACTTCTAACCCATGTACAACAATCAAAAGTATATCCTTCCCTTGGCCTAAATTCCTGTTAAAGTGTCATTAAATCTTTCAGTCTACCTACATCAGAAGGCTATCAAATTATTTTACTTTATACAGAGTTAGGAGTAGCCTAATGGCTCTGAGAAAATATCTTTTGTTTTTGGGGGTGGGGGGGGGGGGTATTTTTATGTTTGGCATTTTCATTTTCAAACTTAAGCAGAAACAACTGCAAAGCATAAACAATCAAGTAATACTAGAATTTAAATCGTCACGAGGACGATTAAGGTGGTCTGTCTTCAAGTCTTATGATAGATTATAATATTTACTATATTGAGAAAGGGAGAAGTTATATAGACATGTAAACAATGATGATCATGATGATGATCATGATGATGATGATCTTGATGATGATGATCTTGATAGTAATGGTGATGACGATGATGATGATGATGATGATCATGATGATGTTGATGATTATCATCAACAGACCATGATGACATCAGACTGACAAAAATGAGAGAACATTTAGATAGTATATAGTCACAGCTACAACATACTCAAAAATCAACAAATATCAAGCCGAAATAACGGCGATATTGCTCGCAAAAGACAAGAATGTAGAATCCAGATTTGAGAAAAAGTCATCTCCCATAAGGATTGCACGCAAAAAGTAATGGATCAAGTGATAATAGGGTAATAATAAAGTAAATATGGTTGTTTATTACATTTTTTGCGATTGTACGTGTTTTAATATTCAAAGGAGATGGTACAGTGAAAGGTCAAAAAGAAAATAAAGTGAAGAGAACAAATTGTTGGAGACGCCCGGATTCGAACCAGGGACCTCGAGGTCGGAAGTCAAGTGCGTTATCGATATACCAAAACATTTCCCATAGAGATTACACGTAAACGGAAAATCGAATTCTCAAATCCCACTTTGTAAGTGAAATATGAGCATGATCCCGGCATCTGATCGAAAAATAAAGGGCAAACTTGTGATAGCTTATTGTCTCAGCTACAACATACTCAAAGCTCAGCGTAAACAAAGATAAAACGACGGAGATATTGCTCGCAAAAGACGAGAATGTAGAATCCAGTTTTGAGAAAAAGTCATGTCCTATAGAGACTACACGCAAAATGTGAAAAATTGACATGCCTCCTTTAATCGCAAAAATACGCCATGATACCATTGTCAAAATGAAATATCGTGGTGACTGGATTTGTAGAGAATATTCTCAGGTAGAACATATCAAAATTTGAAAGAAAATTAATCAATATTTACAGAGATACAATCAATTATCTAAAAATCTGCTGACGTCATAATATGCAAATTGAAATTTAGAGTTCGGAGGCCATTATGATGACGTCATGAGTTAATTGAGGGTCAAATGAGACATGAAATCATATCTCCAACTCATAATCTATTTAAATATGAAAGAAATTGGGGGGTATCTATCCATTCTGAAGAGTTAAAATGAATTTTGTATAGGCATGTTTTTGCCTATGTATGGTGGATACAGATAGCGCAGGTCGGCACGTGCGTTCAACTTTGACAGCCGCTAATTGCGTTATTACTGGTCGGAAAAGGGTAAACAAGGTTTCAAAATGCTTGGAAAAATGTAATAAATATGATAACAGAAAAAATTTGGCGATTCTATGTTGCAAAATGCCAGGACGCGCGGATACGCGCGGAAACGCGCGCGCATAATTACGCGCGCGCAAATTTTAAAAATGCTTAAAATGGCCTGAAACGTATGCAAAATTAATTTTAAACGAATCGGAGCATTATAAAATTTTGATGCGCGCGTACGTGCGCGTCGAGGTGCGCGCGCGAAATTTGTTAACATTTTTAGTTGACCTTTGACCTGAAGTTGATGTATACCAAATATGGTTCATTTTTTATGACTCATTATTGAGATACGATAATGACCTGATTTTTACAAAATGGCGCCTGGATGACGTCACAATGACCTAGTGACCTTGAAAAAGTTGATTTGACTTGAAATCATAGGGCTTGATGACTGACAGAAATACAAAGGAAATTGACCATGTCGATTTCGAGTAAACGTGTACACAAAAAAGTGTACGGAAGAAATAAAAATAAAGAATAAAGAAATAAAGAAAGAAATAAAGAAAGAAAATTCTAACGAAATCAATAGGTGATCTGTCATCGACAGACCACCTAATAATGTATATCAGTAGTATGAAACTTGTGTACGTGTACATAAACAGTGATGACCTACCAGCACAAAACCATTGCTTTATTAATTTAATCATACTCTTTGTTTTAGCCTGCATCTTACCTCTCAAGAACCGCCTCAGCCAATAGTCATCATGGTAGGGCTGAATAGCATCAGACACTCGCTCTTTAAACTTGAAAATGAACGAATGTAAGACAGAGAAAGAGAAATTCACTTAGAATCACATGAAAGAAAGTAAATAAAACCACTACAAACAAAACATATACCTTCATTTCCTTTCTCATGAAATTGTTTTCATTAAATATTTCCCTCATAAAGTAAATAATAATGGCAATAACATTAATAATGATTATACCGATAATAATAATAATCACTTCAACAACTACAATAATAGTAATGATAGTAATAGTAATTAAACAAAAATGTATAATGTAAGAATGTTAAGACATCTCAAATTTACTTGAAATCAGATAATAAAAGGCACACTATAGAGTATAGTCCCTTGACGGGCAACCCTCCCTCCCCCTTTTTTTCTACTATTTCAATCAACCAACCTTTACAGGGATACAGGACAATTTGTTAAAGGTAAACCAATTAAAATTTATTCAATAACAGGCTCACCACAAATCATTGAATAAATTTGTAAAACCCAACAAAAATAACAATACTGCTAGAGTGGACAATATGCAAAGAGGGTCAAGAACTTATGATTGTATTTAACATGAAGGATTGACCATTCAAAGTTTCAAACACTTTACTTTCAACATTTTGTTAGTCTCCTTGGTTTGGTGAGGTCACTGAGTGTTCATACAAGATACAGGTAGTAATCCTCCTCATTCAATTACCTAAGTACTGATTTCTAATTTTCTATGATATAACTCTGTCAACATCTGACTAGTAGTCTGTATATACAGACTCTGTTGGGTTTTTTGATGAAAGTTGAAAAACTGGAAGGATCAGCGTAAGTTTGAGGAATACCTAAAAGTACAAGGAGGTTCCTATTTTCTGAATTGGCCATGCCATCAGCCCTCTGTGTTTTCTCTGTATATCAGGAACTTCTTACATTACCAAAGAATATATTTTCTCATATCTGTGCCCTAGATATACTTTCTTATAATGACCCCTGTATGAAGTTAAAGAGGCTTCTCTGCAAGAGGATGACTAATTTTCCTTAATGATAAACTTGCTGACATATTGTTTTGGAAAAGTGGAGCATAAATTTGCCCTTGGATGTACAAAATCAAAATATTTTAGCAACTGATGTGAAAATCAAAATTTTAGAAATTCCCTGTGTTTTAGTTATATTCATTTAGCTAAACTGTCACCAGGCAAGATATATACTCTCTAACTATAACCCTTCCCAATTTCAAGAAAACCAGTGGAAATTATACCAGCACAAAAGATCTGACCTGAATCATCACAGTGATCACACATCTACAGTCTGTAGTTCAAATTTTCAATAGATCTACAAGCATGATGCCATGCCAGGAGGGCAGTCTAGTCAAGTTTCTGTTTGAAGATGTTATAACTCATCTGATATTGTTAATGACAAATGTACCTTAGCAACATTATGAAATGTCTTAAATGTTGCTTGGTTGATGGCAAAATTTAGAGACTAGTGGTAGTGATATTTAGCCAAGTTTGGTCCATGCAAACTCTTCATCTATTTCTTGTCATTTTTCATATTTTACCAAATTGAGGGCTTTTAAAGGGTATTTAAAGAGCAATCACTTCAGAGGGTTTTTGAGGGTTTTTCCCCATGATTTTCTTCCAGACCACACAGCCATTTAACAAAACAAAAATATATATATTTTTTCAACTTTCGGAGATCTATTAAATCATCTCTTTATTAAGGTTTTTCCATTATTACTAAAAAGTATATTTCAAAACCTGATTGTCATCAATACCTTTTTATTAATTCTAGACTTAAAAATTGATTGAACTGAATAGAATTTCAATTGAAAGTCCCAACAAAGGAGAGTTTCTCATCTTTCAACACTCCCCAATCTTATTATCACTGCTTTCGATCCTCAGTCCAAGAAACCAGCTCCCTTTCCAGCCCCACCCACCCACCCTTCTGATCACCGGACGCTACAACAAACACTCATTTGGAAACGGTCTCAATTATGTGAAAATAATTTACTCTTATCCAATGACAAAATGCATCGCCTTTCGTCTTGACATAATCTATGACAATAACAAGAACAAAGCTGAATCTGGATCTAATTTACCTTCAAGAATGTATCATACTGCTTGGATGTTATTCCCAGTTTTTCAGCTTCTGTGGCCATTTTAAAACGCTCCTTAATCCGTTCCTCAAGCGATTGTGCAGTGGCTGGCTTGGGATAGCGCTAGCTGGGCCAGTAGTGTAGATTGTGTGATGTACTCTGTGTCTATGTACAGCTGCAGTGAATGTTATAGGAGAGGCTACTGGTGAAACTGATTGGAAGAATGGAACCAGAGATAATGCGTGTAGGCCTAATGGGATCAAAATAATTCAGAAATGAAATTGAAATAGCCTTTCCCACAAAAGTTTTCAGCTCCCGGTGGTCAGCCGCACAACAGTAGCTACTCACACGCTCTCGATCTCTGAACCGCTATGAAATGATACTCAAAAGATAAACAACTCACATCATGCATGCAGCACTGCACTTAGTCTACGTGCACACTTTTTAGCAGTCTTTAGTGAGGAACGGAGTGTCAGAAACGTGTTAGAATAAAGCATATGGAGACTTCACGGAATATTACACATCCCAGATCCCGTACTATACTACTCCTGGTAAGACTATACACTGAAAAGTAAAGCTAGGCTCAAAACTTTATGGAATTGTATTTTTAAGTCTTAAATAATGTTTGTGTATGCAGACTATAACTGCACACTTCAATTATTTCATACAATTAGTGCGTCCAGTCGTTTCGCGTAATAAACATGACAGTTTCGCCTATAATATTGCTAAATTAAACCGGAGCGGCTGGTGCATAGACCCAACATGAATATTGTTTTGCGAGTGATATTCAATTCGGTCTTAACTGCGTTGATGCAATGAAATCCTGATTTTTCCAATATTGTGGTAATCTGTTAGAGTTATGGAAGCAGGAGCAGTAGATCTCATGTTGTCTCCCAAACAACGAGAACAGTTGGTCAAGGTATGTGTTTTTAATGTCTAAGTATGAGTGTTACTTAGTCGTCAGTGAATGAGTCTCGAAAATTGACCTCGCCCTCGGCCTCGGTCACGCCGCGCCGGTATAAGCAGTTGATTTCCCCGGGCCCGCCGGCGAGGGTGCAGCTCCCTGTTGCGCTGCTGGTACTGGTAAGCTTTGGCGCTTGTTCAGAAACCTATCCAAAATTTGACCCGTAACTCCGGCGTGGAGATACCTACTAAAACATACCCAAAATGAAGTAAATATTCATTAAATGTCCAAATAAATATCACGAGTTTAGAGTTGTTATGTTTATTACCTGTTTCGTGTCAATTTTCTTGTTATTTTTGAGTATTTTCGGATAGGTCTAAACGTTGATTATAAGTGTACACTTTTTCACACGTTTCACGGCAAACCGCTGCACAATACAAGTACATACAGATGGTGGGTTGCGGGCTGGCGCGCGCCTGTGTGAAGTTATCAACCGTAATGAGGATCTGAGACATTACGTTAGATACTTCACACATATAACTGATATAACTGAGGTCTGTGAAATATCAGGCAAATGTTCCTCCTCAGACCGAAAGCTTCAGTCTCTATAATCGTCGGTTGTTCCACTGAGACTACGTCTGGCTCCACTAGACCTCCGGTTATAGAGACTGAACGGTCGCCTATACCATCGTATGTTGAAGATATCACGGCTAGATTTTAGCCGCTAGGCCCCTCCCACAAACATGACAAACTTGCCACGGCCGTATTGTTATGCCCCCAAAATCCCCCAAAATGTCATTTTACCTCGTCCATATCCAATTTTAAATTAGGCCTAGGCTATAATACATCGGTTCCACTTACTAACTTGATTGAAATAATCTGTTTAATGGTCCCTTTTAAGGAAATTATGGGTCAAAATCGACATCCATGTTGAAAATCTTGCAAGCCGTGTTAAACTCTCGCTGCTGTCAATCTCATCCCTTCTAGTCTACGCCAAAGGCAAAATGATTATGAAGGAAAAACTGTGATAACGCCATTACGAACGTGTAGATGGCGCACAGTTTTTCCTTCATAATCATTTTGCCTTCGGCGTAGACTAGAAGGGATGAGATTGACGGCAGCGATAGTTTAACACGGCTTGCAAGATTTTCAACATGGATGTCGATTTTGACCCATAATTTCCTTAAAAGGGACCATTAAACAGATTATTTCAATCAAGTTAGTAAGTGGAACCGATGTATTATAGCCTAGGCCTAATTTAAAATTGGATATGGACGAGGTAAAATGACATTTTGGGGGATTTTGGGGGCATAACAATACGGCCGTGGCAAGTTTGTTATGTTTGTGGGAGGGGCCTAGCGGCTAAAATCTAGCTGTGATATCTTCAACATACGATGGTATAGGCGATCGTTCAGTCTCTATAACCGGAGGTCTAGTGGAGCCAGACGTAGTCTCAGTGGAACAACCGACGATTATAGAGACTGAAGCTTTCGGTCTACTCCTCAGTATGTTACCAGATGTTGTAAGATTCTGGAAATCATGTGTTTTTTCTCTCTGTGTTTTTTATTCTTTATCATAAACCAGTTTCGTGAAAAGGTGTCAGATGTTCTTCAGCCGTACCACAATGATTATTGGCTTCTCAGATTCCTTAAAGGTAAGTGGTGTCTTTGTTAGAAAGTCCTGTTATAAAAAACCCAAATACTTAACCCCCCCTCCCCTTATTGGACAAAAAAGTTTAAGTATTACAGGAGCTTATTTTAACTATTAATTAACATGTTAGAGATGACAAGTTTCATATAACAGGGTCCTGACAATAACTGTGGGGCAGGGGCTATGACAGATCGACCTCAAGATTGGTATAACTAAGTGTTTACAAAAGTGTTGATGATTTAGCCATCATTTTCTTGGTGGCTTTTGTCAATATGCACATTAAATTTGATTGAAAAAGATAACCCTAATATGTAGAATTCTCTTATGTGTGAATTTTTAATCATTAGATAATTAGATCTTGTGAAAGTCATTATGCAGGGCTCCACACTAACTTTTTAAGGGCTCTGAATTGAAAATTCAAAATTTGTGTCTTGCATTATTGAAGTTGCTTTGCTTGAGATTTGAGGAACAGATGTGAGTAAATTTATTTGAAACGTTTGAATGCAAAGATTTTTTCAAATTTTAAATCGCTTAAGGAATTGCTCAAATTGGTTAATTGTCATGTCAGTAATAAAGCATAATTCTTTTGTGGTTGGACTTTCAGAAGTCATAGTTATCATGAATCATAGGATTTTTCTCAAGCATTCAGTAATCTGTTGCTTTTCGCTTCTCTGCTTTATGTATCAATCTTCAAATGTAATCAAGGTTTTATTTTCCAATGATTCTCATAAAATATCTAACCTTTGATGATGTCCTATCAACTTGCTATTGATGTTGAAGATAACAATTGAAATGTAAACATATCATACCACCATTTTTCATTGATATTGGCCCTTAGCCGATTGACATACTTTCAAATCTGGTGATATCATTTTGCAATTTTACAATCCTTCGTGAATTAATCAGATACATTTCTTTTCCTTTTCCATGCAGCCAGAAATTTCAACCTGAAGAAATCAGAGAGCATGTTTAGAAAGGTATGAAAAGACATTTAAAACCCAAAATGTGCTTTTGACATCAGATTGGTTTCCTTACCTTTTACCAAAGTATTTGTCATGCACCACTGAATTTCTTTTTTGTGTATTAATTTTTCATCTGATTGTTGTCTTCATACGTTGGTTAAAGTTTCTGTAAAATATCTCCTGGAAGAGCCCGATCTATGGCAAAGTAAATAAGGCTTTGCCTTATGCAAGTCTTTATAGATGACTTGAAAAAGACAATTAATTACCGGTACGTACTTACCATTTCTGACATGTTTCAATGATTGAATACCAAATGTCCTCAAGTAAACAAAATCATCTTCAAAAACTAATCAGGAATTTGAATAAAGTAACAAGCAAAAAATCACAGTGGTTTCCCTTATCAAGAAAGTGTACTTTTTAATTGCATACGTTGAGTACCTATGTACATTGTATTTATCAGATGATCACAGTCTTAACGTGTGTGTTGTATAATGTGTAAAATATCGGATGAGCACCCTTGTTTCCATTGACTAAAAGTGCTAATAGGAAATCAAACATAAAAGCACATTTTGTATTTACATGTAAGTTAAATATTGGTGCATACCTGAATTATTACATTTTGATTTTAAAAAATTCTTTACTTCTTTTTAATTTTTCATTAGAATGTTTTATGGAGAGAGGAGAATAAGATCAGTCAACTATATTCTGAATACAAAGAACCAGAGGTAAATACAACTTTAATGTCAGTGTAGAATCTCCAGCGGAGAACATTCACTTTTTCCCTCTCTTTTTCCATTTTCCCCTTCTTTCTTTCCTATAAATTTATTGCTTTCTCTCTCTCTCTCTCTCTCTCTCTCTCTCTCTTGGGGTTCGAGACCCGCCGCGGCACTAATGTCTTTGGGCAAGACATTTTTTTTTTTTTTTTTTTTTTTTTGTTGAAATAAATCTTTATTCAGATAAAATCATGGATAACATCATAGTACATAAATATTCATAACAAAGCTCTTAATCACATGTCTAAATGAGGTCAAATTAAATTATATCTCTATTTACTTGATAGCAGATTTTAAATTAGTAATTGTCTTCTTCCACTTAATAATATTCAAATTTGTTGTCTTGGTTTTGTTTTCCTCTACTTCTATTTTGTATTTCAACATAAACAAAAAATATTTGCTTATTATTCTCGTCACTACATTTTTATTAAATTGATTTCCAACACTCGCTTTATAGATTGCAAATAAAGCATAATGAAGTATTAAATCAATATCTGTAACATTTTCTTTTGCGTCATTTGGGCAAGACATTGATCTACATTTGCCACACTCAAACCTAGGTGATGTAAATCGGTACTTGGCAGGCATTAATTTCTTGAAATGCTAGAGCGCTGTATGGCAGCCGTGCTAAAACCAGGGTAATAATCAGGAGTGTCAAGTCTTACCGATATGAGCGCTATACAAGAGCCCAATATTACTATTATTATTACTTTTTCTCTCTCCTTCCCTCTTTATCTTTCTCTCTCTCTCTGTTGCAGGTTTTACAAAAATATAAACCTGGGGGCAAACTGGGAAATGCTAAAGATGGACGTCCAGTTTTTCTTGATCCCATAGGAAATGTTGACTTCAAAGGTAAATTTTCTCTCCTTATTTCTCCACACATACGACTACATATTCGTCAGGATGAAATGTGTCGTACCACTACTAGTTCTGGGGGTGTTTCACAAATATCCTAAGTTAAACTTATCTCGAAGTTGGACTTAACAATTATGGAAAGCCGTTAGCATCTATGAAAATATAGGAGATTTCATGTTCTTGATGTGGAATTCATAAAAAGTCAAAAATACTTAAACTTTCGCTTTTGAATATATTTCTTTTCAAGGCTTCAAATGGCTCTCCATTATTTTAAGTTCAATTTAGGATCTTTGTGAAACACCCCCAGCTCTTTGTTCCCCCATCCCTATATTTGCTAGTTGTTGTGCTGCAAGATGGTCGCATAATCTCTGATACTTAGTGAAATATACTTTAATGAATATAAATTATTAAAATGCTATTGGTGTCTTTCATAATGTAGCATCAAATAAGAGCAATCACCCAAATTTATGGATTTTTAAAATCTCACCAGAATTACCCAAACAAATATTTGTGACATTCCATTTGAATATTAAAGCAAGTAAAGAGCACTTCATTACTTTCCCTGCAACGTTTAAAAATATAAAATAATAAAGAGTGTGCTTCACATTACTCAACAGCCTTTACAGAGGTTATCTTTTATTATCTGAAAAACTATCAGTTTTTAATACTTAGTCATCATAAAGATCTTCTGGTACACTACACTTTATGCTCTAGTCTAGATTTATAGAGTGAGATTTATATAGGGCTAATATTATTATATATTTAGCATCTCAGGTCAAACATCCCTGAAAACATTTGATTGTATTTTTATCTTCTTTCCAGGCTTACTGCACTCTGTCACAGTTTCTGATGCTACAAAGTTTTACATCAAAACCCTTGAGTCATTACAGAGAGACGTCATCTCACAAACAGAAAAGGTGAGAATATAAACAAAGGCAGTATTCATAAAAGGTAACAAACTTTAGACCCGGTTTACACCAAATCAAATAGATAAATTGTCTACTGACTTAGGGCCAATTAAAATTTTGGTTTTGCATCCCACCCCCTCCTGTTTTTTCTTTTTTCTGCCACTCTTCTTTTTCTTGAATTATTTAATGTTGTGCTTTTGAAATGAAATCAAAAAGAATCTCATGAAATCAAGTAAGTTAAACCATGATTAATTATGTTAGCTTTTATAAGTATGTCAGTCCAATTATAGTGGTAATAATTACAATTTGGAAGTGAATGCATCACATTTTGCTCTGATTATTAATTTGATGCAAAATGAAAATATGATGATGGAGATACAATACTCGTCATGGAACTGATTTGATTTTGATTGATTGAATGTTTCATCTTTGCAGCTGAAGAGACAAATAGTTGGCGTCTACTACATAGTAGACATGGAGAACCTTGGACATCATCATCTATGGAAGCCGGGTGTACAATTCACTACAAGTGTAAGTGAGCAAGTCTAAAGCCTGACGCACACTAGCTGTTATTTCACTACTGCAAGTTAAAGCCTGTCTGTACTAGTTTGGCCAGGGGATTAGACCTCCCTGCGAGGTCACTGACAGGTGGTTATCTCATAAAATCAGCTCTCATGCAATGAACATCAGAAAAAGAGGATCATGGAGGACCAACAGGCACCGATTAGGCATTGTTTGCTATATAGAGGGAGCAAGTAGCTATAAGTAGTGCAGTGGGGCTTTAAGACAACTGATTATTCCATTCAGTAGTAGTCATGCCACAGCTGTCCACAAAGTTGTCACACTAAGCTTCTGTTTGCACCCGTGTGTTAGATTATTTTGTCTGTTGTTTGTAGAAAGTTCCTTCTTAGGCAGATCCAAAACCTTGCATTAGGCCATCCCACCCTGCTTCCAGGAGTTGTAGATGTGGCTATGAGATTGTGACTGGATATGTATTGTGCATTTGAATGCCCTTGAATGGCACGATAGGCCATTTTCGTAATGTAATCAAATTTAATGCATTTGTTGTTGTGAAGTGACTTCATACAGAAGATTTCGTTCTCGATTTTTTATGAATAATTGCAGAGCTGCCAACCATTACATTTTTCCCAGAATTATTCAGTTTTTTCCTCCAAATTACAGTAGTACGTTTTTTAAATGATTTTTAATAATTTTTAAAACAATTTTTGTCTTTTGGTTAACATACCGCACGTCAAACAACAACCCTAAAATGTTGATTGGATTACAAATTCAATAGAAAACTAAGGTTAAAACATACTTGAAAACATACTTTAAGAGAGTTGTAGATGTGGCTATGAGATTGTTCCTGGATATGTATTGTACATTTTAATTGATGAATGCCCTTGAATGGCACAATGGGCCATTTTTGTAATGTAATTAAATTTAATGCGTATGTTGTTGTGAAGTGACTTGATACAGAAGATTTCATTCTCGATTTTTTATGAATAATTACAAAGCTGCCAACCATTACATTTTTCCCAGAATTATTCAGTTTTTTCCTCCAAATTACAGTAGTACGTTTTTAAAATAATTTTTATAATTTTAAAACAATTTTTTTTTTATAAACATACCGTACGTCAGACAACTGCCCTAAAATGTTGATTGGATCTCAAATTCAATAGAAAACTAAGGTTAAAACATACTTGAAAACATACTTTAAGAGAAAAATTATTCTCAAAAAGAATGAAATGCTGATAATATCAACAACAAAAAACAAAAAATACCTACTTGTAAATAAACTAAGGTATAGGTCCTAATATGGAAATAACAGCATGAGGTATGGACATTTCTGCATTGGAAGTGAGTCGCACGTGGTTGTAAGTTTCGTTTTAAATCCCCTCTGTATCAGTTTAGCCAGGGGGGGTGTAGACCTCCCTGCAAGGTCACTGACAGGTGGTTATCTCATCTAATCAGCTCTCAATTACAAGAAAAAGGGGATCATGGGGGACCAACATGCAGGCACCGATTAGGCATTGTTTGCTATATAGAGGGCGCCATTAGCTATAAGTAGTGCAGTGGGGCTTTAATGAATTCCTTTTTTTTCTGCTTGAAATTCCTTTTTGTTGCCACCATGGTTCCTTTTTATGGTTGCACAAGGTTGGCAGCTCTGTAATTGTATTTCAATAGTCATTATGCGAATTGTGTACATCAGTTTTTGCCAGGTAGGACAAACATGTTTTGATGCCTACCTGTGATAGATGCCGTAAAGCTAATTTACTCAAAGAGGATCAAGGGCAAAAATGTATCTGCAGAGAACCAATATAAAAGTCTGTTAAAAATGTTTCATAAATATATTCCATGGCTTTTCCCTATTATTTAGCTTACTGAGTTGTTAAACCATAGCATACTGACTTCTGAGCAGACCAAAATTATTGTTAAAACATAGCAAACTGACTCCGGTGTACGAAGTAACCCGGTGCTGTGGTGCATGACCTGCTAAGCCTGTCCAACCTGACCAATGTACGACCGCAACGGGCGTTGACTCGACGACTTGACGCGAGTAGGTTGCCTGAGCGTGTCGACTACGAACACATGTCCATTCACTCCATTGATGTGTGCCTAGGATTATGGCTACGAGCCCAGCTTGTCCCTAAAAGAATTAAATCGAAACCAAAATAGCCAACCATTTACCAAAATAAACACGATAGCTATAACGATATAAATCCTAACAATTTACAATAATCATTTAAAATTTCTAGAGCTTTGCTTCACTGTCATTAACCACTTAAATTTGGCGACATTTATAAATGACTATGTGTTGATGTTACAGGTGATCCAGCAATGTGAACAGCAATATCCAGAGCTGCTTCATAAAGTGATTGTAGTGAGAGCCCCTAGGATGTTTCCTCTGGCCTACTCTATCGTTAAACCATTCCTCAATGAACAGACAAGGAAAAAGGTTGTGGTCTTCAAAGGTAAGTGCTGGGGGGGGGGGGGGGTGTTTCACAGAACTTGTGATCAGTGACAAATGACAGTTATTGTTATAAACTACTGAAATCCTTGCTTCTGATTGGTTATCAGCAGATTTGTCACTGATTTTTGTCATTTGTCATTGCAAAAAGGCTTTGTGAAACGGGCCCCTGGGTCATCCTACCAATGTTCACAACATAAATAACATTACATCTGTATAATCTTATGCCCCTGTTGTCCAACATGTCCTACATCCTACTGAGTTCCTATGCAGACCATAAGCATTAGACCAACTGAATATTGCTATTCTTATTCCCATTGGTCCCATGCCACATCAGAATTCAAACATGAAACTGTTTAATGAGACATGGGACCATTAGAATGGTTTGAGTAGTTTCCATGATACAGATTTATAGGATAAGGGGAAGTAATATGATAGTCATTAAGTCACTCATTCCCATCTAGTTATTGGTTAATAAGGATTTCAATCTTACTTGTGAATATATTTTAGTTGGAGTGAAATGAGCTTTTGTGCTTTTATGATTTTTTCTAAAACTCTCTGAAATTCCTTTGTTTTCGATATAAAATTAATTTATGAAAAATTGTGAAATTTTCAATTCAATTCAATAATGGTCTTATTTGACAATTCTTCGTAGTGAAAAGTTGAATTGCCAATAGTTGCAACAATTTTTCAATATCAATTTCACATTACATTGTACCATTACAAATTGTCTTTTGCTCTATAATGTGTATGACTAACTTCTGATTTAGATGTTCTCTTTCCATTCTATTTGCTATGATTGTAGATGATTTTGAGAGTGAGTTGCTGAGTGTCATAGATGCTGACCTCCTACCCAAGTACTGGGGTGGAAACCTCGTGGAGGATGGAGATCCGATGTGTCCACGAACGGTAAGTTCACATCTTGAATGTTAACTCTTAAAGGGAATGTAGCCTGACAAGATTACGTGTCTTTCCCAGGGCCAATCGAGTATAATTCGACTACAGACAACGCGACCGCAGCAATCACGTGCGTGCAACATACACGAAACCAAAGTAGAGATTAAGTTGCTGACTACCGTTAATCAAGTCCATTCGTTTACGTGCAGTTGTCCAAAAGAAGACTTAGATGGTGTTAACCAGTATTTGCCAAGCTACACAGCCTTTAAGATGACTACTTCTCCCTTCATCATGTACTCGAATTTCTCACTTCTCTATATAAAAATACAATAGTGAAAGAAGTATAATTTAAATCAGCAAAATTGTAGTAGGGGTCTTGCACCTTTGTACAATACTTGGGTTATCCCCAGTTAGATATTTTGATGTCGCTGTTGTTGTTGATATGTCGAACAATGATTGTTGCGTTACTGTAGAAAGTGTTACCGGTATGTCCATGTCTAACAATGTCAATAAAGTATGCAATTTAGGGTTTATTGAGCTTATTACATTGGGCATATGACTATAATTACTTTAGTCAGTAGGAAGAGCATTGGCATCCCTTCATGTAGCTCCCTTATCCTTTCTCGACGTAGGCTGCTGTCATATAGGCTTATTTTGTTTTTGTTTTTAGGTAAGTTTGGCTGGCAAGGTCCCCAAAGAATGGTACATGACAGGTCGTGACCTCTCCGTTGATAGCTCCCAGATGACCACAACGGAGATCGCCAGAGGAGGGACGTTACAACTCACCTACAAGACATCACAGTGCAATAGTGTTCTCAGGTAGATAAAGATGATAGTCTCTCTCTTTCTCTCTTTCTCTCTGTTGATTCATGACTCACTGTTTCTAGGCTTCACTATTAGTTCCATTCCCTTGTCTGTCTTTCTTTCTTTCTCTCCTCAAGACACATTCTCCTGAACCTCTGTTTCATATCATATTTCCCATAAATTTCATCTGCTTCATCGTTATCTCATGCATCAGAGACTAGAATGGTTTTAAAATGAACCCTTGTTTCAACTTTAGATTCACCTTGTGGAAGCCATTCAAGTTTTTCAGCAATCTTTGGAAAATCTTGCCCTCGCCATTGAAATGAGTGAGGTATAAACCAGGCTTCAACTCTGAAATATTAAAAGTATGGACTGGATTAATGATTATCTTTGAGTGAAAGAAAATTAACTTCAAAGGCCACAGGGATATACATTTATTGTAATATCAAATATAAATTGCATTCTTATTTGCATTAGAAATTCATTTCAGAAATTTGTACTGGGCTTAAAATCTGCATTTTCTGGGGTGTCAATTGACCACCTATAATTATGTTGGGCAAATCCAGCCTTTGGTGATTGGGTTTGCAAGTAAAAATCCCACAAAATGAATATTGTTATTTATTATTATTTCTTAAGCACTTCAGTTTACTGTAATAGCAACTTAATTTTGCAATCAGGATAGTGCTGACAACTCAAATGTAATGAGAGCCTTGCTGTATAATAAGTGCCCTCGTCTGCCTCAGTAAATGTCTGTACAGTGGAACTGGGACCATGAAAATCGCTGTGTTATATCAGGAATCTTGTTATATACGAGCTGTTTGAAATGAGTTGCCAGTGTACTGCTATGCCTCATTTACCGTTCCATACAACTTTGTGTGTTCATAGGTATGAGTTTCGGACGCAAGAGCACGACATAGGGTTTGGAGTGAAGAGACTACATGACGATGGAAGTAAGACACCCGTAGTTAAGACAGAACGTCACAGCTGCCATCTAGTGCCGGAGATCGGAGAGCTTATACTAGAAGACCCAGGCACATGTAAGTACATACCGGTACTTGTTGTTTTTTGGACTCTTCTTTGACCTATCAAGAGGATGTTAATGTTTGAGGTATTTTCAGCCATTTTCAATCCATAAATAAAATCAGTCCAGACTTTTATGAGAGGCAAGATTAGTCTGAAAGTAACCTCTTAGCAAAATACCTGTATTTCCTACTGAGGATTATCTGTGTTGGAGATGAAGAACAATTATAAATAGCTGACACTTTCATGGAAACAAGCATATTGATACATGTTAGTTTCATTGTTTATTGTGCCATGAACAAGGCATATGAGAAGAATCTGTATCTCTCCTGGAGATTTTTAAAAAAAAAGACCTTTGAATTTTAGTCCTATTTGTCTTGTTTTACAGTAGCACTTTTAACCAATCCCGCCTAATGTATGGCTTGCTTATGTACAGTTTAAGTGTCTGTACGTGAGAAAGATTCCTTGTCTGTACAGATACTCCCATCCCCTTGATCCCTCTCTACTTTGGTCACTTTGGATATTTTAAGTACCGGCCATTTGCATAGAACAGCTGTTCTTTAACGCCCCCCCCCCTCCCCAACACATGTTTGCCACAATCATTGTTAATAAATTGAGCAATCATAATCCAGACAATTACTTTTGTTTGATAAAGATGCCAGGATTGATGGTTATTGAGATAAATTATAGTTTCATAACATATGTTTCCTACCATAGTTAAGTTCTTGTAAGTTGCATTAATAGTAATTGATGACCTTCATTTTTACGACATCTATTTAGCACCCAAGTGGCCATTCAACTTTCCTTTTGAAACCCTTAAAGCCTCGTTCAGATTTGATGCTACAAAACTGTGGTGGTTCTCATTCCTGTATCTTATAGTACAGAAATCAGTAAATTCTAGGTCTGTATTGAGTTGTTTGTTATTAAAAGTATTACCTATACATCAGATGTATGCATGCAACTTAATGTCCACAATATTCTCTTTCTAGGAAATATTCTTAGGATAAGTACTTTTATAAAATTCAGGCATCTGGAAAAATGTATGAGACCCTTCCACGCCCACATTGTTATATGGGTTATGCCTGGCACATTCTATGAATATCTTGCCTTACAAAATCAGAGCACATGAAATTCATTATTGCATATGCTCTAGAATGGGGACCAACAACTTTTTGGTTGACCCCCAAAATTTAAAAATCATTCCATTGAAAAATTAAAGTATAAGTGTACCCTTTGCTCATGACAATATTCTCACATTGACTACCTCAAAACCAATATTACAAGTAAGGCACATATCAAACAATGGAGCACATTGGGAATAAAAACATGCTTTTACCGATTAGTTGAGATTAATTGCTCTCATTATCACTTGCCTGTTAAGTTTTCTACAGGAGTAAAATACAAACATTATGTATCATTGGAAAGCTTGGAATCTCTTACTTTCAATAAAATAAACAAAACTAAGTTTTGATGAGAGGCAACTTAGTAGTGCTTTTGGGAAAACCAGGGCTGCGTCTCACGAAACCGTCATAAGTACAAGTTGAGCGACATCCCATTGAAACGCGTGTTAAACTTAATACACGCGTTTCAATGGGATGTCGCTCAACTTGTACTTATGACGGTTTCGTGAGACGCAGCCCAGGTCACTTATATGTTTAACTGTATGATGCAAACATATTAAAGATGCACTTCTCTCTTTTTCTTTGGGTAGATATTGTGAAGTTTGACAACAGTTTCAGCTGGAGTCGGAGCAAGAAACTCTCATACTGGATTGAGCTCTTGGAGCCTGACCTAGAAGAGAATGACAGCAAAGATGAGGACAACCAAGGCGACGAGGAGGAGGAGGAGGACGATGATTTTGTGCAAGCAACTGAAGGTTGAAAAGGTTGAACATTTCCAGAGGGTCGTAGTATGAGGTAGTCAAAGCTTGAGTAACGTCTTTTGAACTACTGGAATATTTCCCCAGCCTCCTATGTAATCTGATGGAGATTTCTACATGCAATATTTGAAAGATCCAGCCGGGGTAATTTTGGAGCGCTTTGAGCGCCTTGCAGGGTGGATAACGTGCGCTATATAAATATCCAATATTATTATTATTATTATTATCATGATTATAGAAACTGAATTGGATTTTAATGTGTTTAGGATCATAATCATGAAACAATCAGAGAGAAAAGAAATTAATGTGCTGACTGTGATTGTATACATGACATCCTTGTCAAAGGTTGCCATGGTATCTTAGTGATATGACGTGCCAGTGTGTGCTGTATCATTGTGTACGATAAAAATAAATGAGGTCAAATGTCAGAGTGTAAGATGACATTGAATCATCCAACTTGTCTAATACAAGTGCTATTCTATGTGTATAACTGCATACAAAAAGATACACATACATGTAGTGTTGTAAGTCAGACGCTATGTTCGTGTTCGGTTCGGTAATTTTTCACCCGAACTTGGTTCGGTTTGGGGTTCGGTAATATAATAGCAAGCAGCGTTATAGCCACGGCGGTCGGCACTGGGCGGGCCGGCCAGCCTGCCAAGCCCGACCAGCACGGAGGACCTCTGCACATGCTTCCGACCAGTACGAATTTCACATTAAAAACTGCTCTAAACGTAATTATTTGTGAAGAAAAATACTACTTAGAGTCTACATTTGTATTTCCGTCTTGAATGGTGTTTTATTTTCAATTTTAAAAGAATCATGTTTTCAATTTGTCAACAAATGATATTTTTTAAAGATTTTCCGAGACGGTTGTTGTCTAATGTTAGAGTCATGAATAGAAATTCAGGCTCGTCAATAACTGTTTTGTATAAGTTTTTATTTTTAATAGGAAAAATATAAAATCCCTATTTTTCCTGAATAAATACATACCATACTATAATTATATATTTATTTCATTATTTATATTGTAAAATTTGTCCGATATTGTTACAATTAAAATATTAATTTTTTGTTGGATGGGTTTGAGCTGAACATATTTTGATCACGCACATGTATTCTTGTTTATGGCTTGCGATCGCGACGTAGCATGGTCAGGATTTGGAATTTAAAAAGGCCCCAGTGAAGTCGCACTGACCACTGGATAGGCATAAATCACAAAGGCGGAAAATGGGAAAAAAGTAAATATAAAATGAACAATCATGACATGAAAATAAGGTACAAAATGACAAGTTTATTAGCTTGGAAAACTTTTATATTTTTCTGCTGAACATCCGAACCAGGCCTTTGCGTTCGGTTCAATTCGGTTCGATTCGGAAGTGCCATGTTCGGCGAACTTCCGTTCAGTTCGGCGGTTCGGCTACAGCACTACATACATGTTTATCTGTGTATGTAACATAACTTTGAAAAGTGCCATGAAAGTTCAAAAAGTGCTAAAAAAATAAAATAAGGGTGCTGATTTGAGGATTACCGGTAGAAAAAAATGTATGCAGTCCTTTTGGTTCATATATTAAGTAAATGGTTTATTAAGTGAAAAGTACTCATTTGTCAATGCATCTGACTTTTAACTTATTACTAGTTTATTGCTGTCAAAAGCTGAATTGTGCTATCTTTTCAAAAGCTCCCTAACTTAAGGCTGATTTTAAAACATGCCTAAAGTGTATAGAGTGAGTTTTGCGCTAAATGTCAACCTCTTTATCACCATATTTATGTAACTAAATGAAGATACACAACTTGTCGCCATGAAACTAGTTTTTCAATCTCTTTAAAGACCAAGACCGAATAGTTGTTTCCCCTAATTCTACAAAAAAATAAGGCCATTGTCATCTTTCAGTGCTCCAAAATATGCTCCAGTGATGATTGCTATAGGCTTTATTTTGTCAAAGACTTAAAGTTAAGGTTAAAGTTGCAACATAGTATTTGGTCCAGGATTGAAGTTCAGTATTCAGTTCATGTAGGACAGTGACTACAGAGCGACCGTTGCTGTAGCAAGTGCCATATCAACCCTTCTATCCTCCTGATCCTATTGTTCTTGTTACCAAAGTATTACAGTTCAGGTACATGTAATTGCCAATCACTGAAGCCTTACGTTTTGGGGGCAGCAGAGTTTTCCATATGATAGTCTGGTCCGAGTTCAGTCCACCCCTGTCTTCCAGATGTGTATTAAAGATATATATATATTTATTAGGGTCTTTTTGGGACCAATATCAGACACCCATTTCAGTTGCATTATTAGTCGTAGGCTGTTAGAAAAATATGCTCATACCTGTAATCAGTGGAGTGTCTTTATGGGAGCGGAGGGTGATTAGCTCTGAAAAATCAAAAAGGAATCTGGAGAATTAAGAACAGCTCATTAAATAAAGCAGTAATAAGTAAAACATAACAGTGGCTTCTCATAGAGGGCACCTGTCTGTCATACCACAACAATCCTGGCGCACCAAGAAAGCAAAATCATACACAATTGTGGCTAGGAAGTCTTGTTTCTACAAGTGCAAGTCAAAAACTCAGTCCTCCCTAAAGCCCAAAATAATTTTGCCTTGATGGTCAATATTTCCAGTGCAGCTGTTTATACTCTATTAAAGCTTTATTCAATACATGTATTTTTTAAGAGACTGTATTACTACATATTTATTATCATGTATTCCATACTTTGTGGAGAGGCAATTTATTTATTATTATGTATTCCATTTTGTGGAGAGGCAATGCATATATTGTTATGTATGTAGAGAAAGAAAAAACAAGGAGGGGGAGAGAAAACTTCTGGCAAGTCAATTTGCTGGTTTTGATAATTGAAGATACTACGTCAAATCTTTGTGTTTGCGTTACCCTTTGTTTTCTTCTCTGTATCAAAAGTGAAACCAAGTTCATCAAGTGATACCCACAGTAATGATTAGAATAGTCAGGATATAAATGTCTACTTCAAACCAATAAATTACCCAAAGTGTAAGCACTCTAAACTAGCAAGATGTCATCTGTTGAGAGCCAAAAGGGGGTTAGCTCCATGTTGAAGTCTGTGACTTAACACCTTTCTGGCTTTGGAGATATCATATTGATTACATCCTTGTCAGTGTACATGGTATACTGCTCAATCCTATCCGTAGATACACTCTATATTGCCATTCTGTGGTTTACAATCCTTGATGACTCTAAAGTAATCTTGAGATTTTGTAAGACCAATAATGTGTAACAGAATATAATATTTGCAATAAGAAGTAATAACCATCATGAGTTACAATAAAAGGTAGATATCTTCTTTGCCTGGTGTGGTATCTTTAAGTATACCACTTTAAAAAAGAAAAGAATTTATTTTGAGGCCTGTAAAAAATACATAAATATTATATAAAATATTTTCAAAATAGTCTTCACCTTAAGGTATTATATATCTTGAGATTTTAAAAAAAATGTATATTTTAGAAAAACTGCAGTTATTATGATACTACATAATTATGTTATTGTTCGTAAAATGTTGATATATATCTGCAATTTTCATGTCACTTGGGTATTGTGTGTGCATTTCTTTTTACATGGAATTTTGTTTGTGCCATAAATGTTGAGTTATTCTAAAGTATTTATTATAGATAGTATTTAGTTTTAGCAAATAAGATTTTGATTGGGTGATATCTGTATAGGGGTGCATACTTGATATTAAGTGCAGTAGAGCATGTTTGTATATCTGTCGTTATAATCATTCTTCCTATTTAGGATCTTTGAAAAATAGCAATACACAAGTAAGATTTTCGTCCTTTGTTCATATCAGGACTTGAGAGGTGAAAATCATCAGTTATCTTGATTAATTTATCATCTTTATATGTGTCTTTCATTAATAGGAATTATCAAGTGCGTTTTCCTGTAGCAAGGTTTTAGATTTTAAAAAAACATTTAACATTTTAGGTATTTGACATGGTTCTGAATTTGTGTAATTGTGTACTAGTAATGTATGGTCTAAAATGTAAAATGACCCTAAAAATGTTAAGAATGTGATGAATTCGCTATCTTACTATATTACGATCAATACTGTCTATCATGCATAAATAATTTTAAAATCATAGATATCATCATAACTAGAGAAGTATTTCTGAGGGCATTATTACCAGTGTTGCCATCCATGTATTCTTACTTCCAATCACATTTGGAATGATTTCTTAACATTCATTTTCATTTTTACCAAGTTGAACGTCACCTTTAAATGTGTGTGTTTATACCTCCAAGGTTACTTCGTGTGCTCATTAAAGCCGTCTTTCAAAGCTTTGTGTCATGTATGTATACCAGTTTCTTGCTTCTAACATTGCTATTGCAGTAGGGCTGAATTCTATATTTCTGATTAATTTACATCTACATCTGAATATATGAAAGCTATTTTTGAAAGGCTTTGTGTCAAATGTATAAACCAAATTTAGTTTCTAACAGTGTGATTTGTATGAAGCAGAATTCCATATTTTTATTATTGATTTGCAATAATATTGAAGTGCACATAACTGTTGCGCAGAGTAAGGCAATAAAATGAAAGCCTTATAACTGTTTTGCTAATTTGTCCATATTACATTCATGCAGCAATCTTGAAATTTATTGAAAACATTCAAATATTTCTTTCCAGGTGTAAGACATTTGTATTTTCTGTTTCACTTTCATGATTCTGATTCTTGTCCTGTTCGATAGGAAAGATCAGTTCAAGACACGAAGGGTTCATTCTTTAAACATTTCATGGATTCATTTCTGTAGATTGCTGGTCATTCCTAAAAAGATATAATTCTCATCACTTTAGATATGATGCTATAGGTATCATGAAGACCATTTCATTTGTAGTTTAATGTATGTTTCTTGTTTTCCCACTCCAACCTTTGTAATTTGTCTTTTATGTCATCCAGAAAAATTTAAGCTATGTAGGATTTTTTTTTTCCTTTTTTTTTTGGGGGGGGGGGAGGGGAGGGGGCGGGGTTCTTAAAATTGACATCTTGCTTGTAGTAGTTGAACCTGTTGACTACTGAATTCTTTCATTCCCATATGCTTATTACAGGAGTCACCCGGTTCCAATGATCAATTGGTTCATATAGGAACCACCTGGTTCACCTACACATTGTGTTTATTTATTTAAGCATTTTCGATCTTCTTGATATACACATATATATATATATATATGTTTTGTGTGTGAAATAGATACAGATTGTATTTATATGTCTTTATTTCGGTAAATGTATAATTAAAACAACAAGGATACCTTGTTGAGCTCTTTATGGTAGTACTTTTGTAATTTTATTTATGTAACAGAAATAGAAGTTGAATTTTGTCATATTTGTTCTATTTCTTTTTGAGCCAGAAAGGGTAAATTAAAAATTTGACCAGCTAGTGCTCTATACCCTTGTATCTCTTTGTGAAGATTTTTTTGAAATAATCATTTAGTGCCATGTTGGTATAAGCTCTCCTGGATTATAACATTGTATAATCAATTGTTTTCTTCCAGTTTTTTATTTTATATACCTTGGAAAGACCACACTGTGGTAACGCAATTATGTTTAGCATAAATGATCATAGGGGGTTTGCTTGTATGATATTGTCTGGTTTGTTTTTTTATGTGAGAAAGAAGAGAAAGGGATAGAGAGAGTGAGAGGGGGGTGGGAGGGGGAGATGGAAGGGGAGGGAGAGATGGAGGAAAGGAGATGGGAGTAGGAATGGGATCAAGGGGATGTAAAGGATGAAGAGGTTTGGGGATAGAGAAGAAGAGAGATAGAGGGAGGGTCAATATTAAAGAGGGAAGAAAGTGAAAGATGCGTGAGAGAGAGAGCCAGAGGAGGGAGGAATGAGATCAAGGGAATGTGAGATGTAGGGGCAGTGGCGGATCCAGGAGGGGGGGGGGGCCCGGGCCTGCCCCCTGGAAAAAAATGAGTAAAATTGTTAATTCTTACCTTTTTTTGAGATCCCCCCTCCCATGGCACTCAAGGGGGGGGGGGGGGTGGTTGCGATTTTTCAAATTTTTGAGGGCCCCCCAAAAAACATGCTCACTACCTTCCCCCCCCCCCCCTCCTCCCCAGTGAGCAAATTTTTGGGAGCAAAAATTCCCCCCCCCCCCCAAGAAATCCTGGATTCCCTTGTGTAGGGGAAACAAAGAAGAAGATTCAATTACAAGAGCTTACTGGCCCATGCTGATTTGCAACAGATACTAATCTATACAGTAGGCTTGCGGGTGCCATACTAATCTATTATATTATCAGTTTTATCGCTATCAAACAGCCCCTTTTCATTTTTATGCCTATTATACTCAGGCACGTATCCACGGGGGGGGGGGGGGGGCGTATCGTGGTTGAACTTTTTGCAGACCACTCCCCAGGATGTCGATCAATTACATGTATGTGCCCCCCCCCCCCAAACATCAAACTCTGGCTACGCTGCCCTGATTATACTGATCCTATTCAAAATTATAGTTACTTAAAGAAAGAAAAAAATATATATCCTTACAAAAAGTTATATTATCATCTCATATTCTAGTTTTACCCTTTCGAAAGGGTCTCTACCCTCACTCTAACCTTCTTTTTTTTTCTCTTTTTTTTTGCAAATTGTGATGGGGGCACGTGCCCTCATGCCCCCCCCCCCCCCTTCCCCATATAGCTACGCCACAGACCGTCATAACAAAGTATTTCCCTTGGGAATTATGGCTTAGCATGTGAGCCTCGTCAATTTCCACTCTATTTTCGGGGTGGGGTGTATGCAGAACGTGTTTACAATAGACAGCAATTCGTGATTTTCGCATTGACCATTGTATTTCCGTATGCGAAACAAGAATTTACTGTCTATTCTTTCTACCCGAGATTGTGGTGCAAGTACGTACTGTAGCTGTAGAGTACGAGTGGGTATGCTAGATTGCGAAATTTCATTCATTCGTTCACCTGTACAAGCGTTCCTATAATCCGACTATATCCACCTAACGAAATGGCAGACGTAAGTTTTTATGTATTAAACATGTAGCCTTGTATGTTAGACTTATGTCGATGTTATATTTAATGAAATATTTCATGATATCGTGACTTTTCTTCTCCTGAAACCGTAAGATTCACATGTTTTGATTGCTCGATGAGACCGGCAAGTGTCGCCGCTGTTTCCCCGCGAAGTACGTAATTGACGATGGGGAATATCTGCACATGCATGCATGTGACGTGGTGTAGAATTTCGTGTTGATGATGCCCTGCAAATGGCTCTGAATATGTGAGAGGGGGGCTGCTGGACTGCCTTTTCCTATTATCAACAAATCAAACAACTATCAAATGTGTCATTCCTCACCCACAAAATTGAAGGGAGCATGATTTGATGCCTCCACAGTCCACACAAAATGTCAAACTCAAACTCAAAGATCTTTTGTTTGACAAATGTCCAACTTAAAATAAAAACTTGTCTTGATGAAAGATTGAAATTGGGAGCCCTGGCCAAATGCAGCCAGTATGTCTGTCCACCAAACTGTTACATTTGGACTTAAAATTTACAAGAGTTGCTTTTAATATTCTGTAGGGGTGCTGGTCTGAGAATAAGGATCGTCCTCACAAACAAGGATCGGACTTTGTAAACGCAGACAGACGCGCCTGCATTTAGAGTTCTAGACTAGATCTACTCTGACGATTCTGATTTCTTATCCGCGCATTGGCGATGCTAAAAACTGGTTCCACGATGATTTTCTTGATGCATTTTACATTGACTTTGTACAGAGACTTTCACGTATTGAGCGATAAATTCTTGGGAGAATGAGGATCGTCGGCTTAAACGAGAATATCCTCGTAAACGCGGACAAAATGCTTCCTTAAAAGTAAGGATCATCTGCATTTTCATGGACATTTTTTTTCTTCAGTGCTCTGCGGGTTTTGGCTTCTAGAACTGCGCGCTGGTTATACAAAAAACGGATTCCGTGTAATAAAATACCACCAGTTCACCGTCAACTTTTATGGGTTGTCCGTCTTCTCTAGGATTTATTGGTCATAAGGTGAAAGGTACTGTACAAAGTCAATGTAAAATGCATCAAGAAAATCATTGCGTTATCCATTTTTGGGATCGCCAACAATTGGACAGAAATCAGAATCGTCAGCGAAAATGTAAACGATCGTTATTTTTGCGGACGTGAACTACTGTACTAGTTAGTATGTACCAGGTATGAAATGATGAAATTGCATTATACAACCATCTTTCGGGGCTTAGTAAACCTGCTGCTGAGAAAAATGCTTTCTGATCATGCCTGGGTATGTATGTGAACAATGATGATGAGTCTAGTATGAAAATACTTGAGATTTGTGAAAAATTGGTGAGGAAAAGAAAAAAATCTATGTTTAAAAGTGTGTGGTGACAATACAACTGTATGGAATTCTACAATTTCTCCTTGAGTCATGACATTTTAATAATTCAATGGATAATTTTTATTTCTTATCAAATACACATGGAAACTGATTACCACATGGCTTTAACATTTTAAAGTTGAGTTCTCTATACATTTGTTTTTGTTTGATGTAGCAAGAAGAAACCAGTCCTGACATCTACTTTGAACCCATTGTCAAGCTGAAGCCAGTAGATGTCAAAAACTTAGAGGAGGATGAAGAGGAAATTTTCAAAATGTAAGTTGCAAATTTCTTTTCTGAAATTTACATTCATTGTGAATCTAGATAAAACCCTTCTTTCCGATACAAATATGTGTATAAGCAATGAATGAGTGAGAGAGATTTTCATTTCATGAGATTATTGAGTATGTACCAGGTATGAAATGATGAAATTGCATTATACAACCATCTTTCGGGGCTTAGTAAGCTGCTGCTGAGAAATATGCTTTCTGATCATGCCTGGGTATCGAATGTGACTTTTTGAGATTGGTGGAAATTGGTAAGGGAAAGCAAGATAGTTGCGGTGGTGACAATTGTTCTTCAATTTCTCCTAGATAAAAAATTATTTGTTTTATATACACATGGACACTGACTACTATGTGGCTTTATATAAGTTGAGTTCTCTTTACATTTGTTTTTGTGTGACATAGTAAGAAGAAACTTACTTGAACATCTAAAGTAAACAAATTCCAGTTCATTATAAAAGAATTTAGAAGAGAATTTTCTGTCTATTTGATCTCTATTTTTGGGGCCTTCATCCATTACTCTTACTATTCAACCAATGTTTTGAATCATGCCAAACTTTGACAGGAGGGCGAAGCTGTACCGATACGCCAACGAGGAGAGCCCAGCAGAATGGAAGGAGAGGGGGACAGGCGAGGTCAAGATGTTGAAGAAACGAGACGACAACAACGGCCACGTCAGGATACTTATGAGGAGAGACAAGACATTCAAGATATGTGCAAATCATTATAGTGAGTACGAGTAAATAATTCTTTCTTTCTTTGCTTCTTTCATATGTTGAAATCTGTGCAGCGTTACATGAAACCGTCAAGTCCAAGTTCAACAACTTCCGATGTCATTTTCTAAAATCGCAGCGTGGAATGCGGTCGAAGCTTGGTCGTCCGATCCTCGCTCAAGCTGATGGGTTTCTAATTCTATGAAATGAAAGGCCCACATGTTTTATGCCCCTGCTCTTAGACCAATATTATTAATTTCAAAGTCATGAAAAGGCAGTAAATATCAACAAACATGGTCTACAACAACTCTAAATGACAAAATAATCCCAGCCATTAATTTTTATTTGAGCATTTGATAGCCCAAAACTTGAAAATTTTCGGCATTCTGCCGATTTTTTCCGATCATTCCAATTGATCGGCGATCGGAAATTATTCGGTATCGGCGGCCGATCCAATGATCGTTTACAGGGTTAACTTATGGCCCCCAAAATGCAGAAACTTCCAAAATAAAAGTTGATATTGCCATGGCAACCCTTTCTTTTCAGGATTTTTTTGTTTTGTTTTAACAGTAACAAAATGTTCTTCCATAAATTTATTGAAAAATGAAAATAATTCTGGAATCAAGAGTAAAAAAATTGGATTTTGTCTTTACTGGCCGAAAAAAAACCCTCCCTTATTCTGGGATTATGCAGAGAGAGGAGATTAACTTATTTGTGTGCGCAGATATGGTCACTGTGCAAATAGGGGCATCCACACTAAACGAGCGAGAGGGAATTCAATTTCCACTTAATGAGATTAATGATTATGTACAAGGCATGAAATGATGAGATTGCATTATACTTAACCATCTTTCGGGGCTTAGTAAACACGGTGCTGAGAAAAATGCTTTCTGATCATGCCTTGTGTCTTACATTAATATGTATTCAATGAGATGTCAGTGAACTTTACATTCAATGGTTTCTGAAACCCTCAATTACCTCTGAATAACAAAATGTCATAAAATGTTCTTCTGGATCCAGCAGTGGTATAAAGGTACTTTGTAAGGTTTTACTTAGCACTGAGTATTCACAAAGGACTACCTGAGCTAAGTCAGGATGATAATGAATTCCATAACTAGGGTTGATGTCATGCAATTCTGTGCATTGTACAATATCCTGCTTTTTGTTTAAAGTAGATATTCATTGATTTTAAAAACTAACTTTATTTTCATTATTGCAAAGTTGAAATTTGATACCACAAGGTTATCAAAATTCAATACTTGGAAACATTCCAAGTAATGATTATTATAAATTACAAAAGCTTAATTACAGCCCCGGCATAGCACCTGAAGAGCTCTCCGACCGCTGCTGAGATGTGTGAGATCACAGTATGGACATGATCTGCACAAGTAGACGATGTCCCATGACATCTCACACATTTTCAGTGCCTGTGTTTTCATCTTCTCTTGAGTACTTTCTCTTACTTCACTACCGTCAGGCTAAATGAATAATCTATTGCCTCACTCTAAAACCCCGCGCATGTTTTTATTTTGATGACAAATGCAGCGATACAAAAATAAAGGAATTTATCGCTTGTAAACAAAATAAGACGCCATTGTATATTCAGCTGCACACACCGCGGTATGTTCGGCGTTTCAAGAGGGAACAAATGCCGTCCTTAATATCATTCCGGGGGGTTTTCAATTTGAAAGTCTGGTTTTTTTCATTGTTAATTAACCCCTATCCTGTGTATTTACAAGCAAAAGATTTTAGTTATCAGAATCGGGTCATATCCCCTTTTGAATGGTTTGACATGCCATTACATTTATATACACTAAACTCATTATAATTTGACAAATAATAGCTTTGCAATTATGTTCATTCTTTATGGGATGTCGTCTGCTTGGGCAGTGTTGGTCCATATAGTGACGTCATTAAAACATCGTTATTTTTCTGACGAATCTCTTGTATATCCCAGCTGCTATGGAGGTGGTTGTATTTGTATTTTTATAAATCACCCGATATGTAGTTGACCTAAAACTTGTACGATGGCCATCTGTTAGCTGACCAGTTTCTAGTGATACATTAGTTGACATATTTGTGATTTTCTTTGAATTTCTCCTTTAAGTAGAATCATTTTCTACACAATCCCATCTTGTAGCTATCAGATTAGACCCTGAACTTGCAAAATATAATTGTAAAATGTTTATATAAATGTTCTTTTGTTCATGTTTTAGTAGAGATAATTGACCTTTGTTGTATCAAATGTCTTTTTGTCAGTTTAGACTCGCCCTTCTAATGCTTTTGATCATTCCTTTGAACCAGTTCAATCACATATGGATCTGAAGCCAAACTGTGGCAGTGATAAAGCCTTTGTTTGGAACACACTAGCAGACTTCGCAGATGAAGAACCCAAACAAGAGACGTTAGCTATCCGATTCGGCAATGCAGAGAGTAAGTATCACAAAAGATCTTGAGGGAATTCCCCTTTGTAATTTTGATTGCATCCACAAGTCTCCAAGGCTTTCAGCAACATTGCGCATGGTTTTACATATTTGTATCCAAAGAGTCAAAGACATGAATTTTTATTGATATTGCAAAGCATCTATTTTTTAGAGATACCTGTATGCATTTAAGCTAATGATCATTCTCTTAATATTAAAAAATTCTGATGAAAAAATATGAAACTGCAAGCTGACAAGTTCAGTATTCTCAGGTGATCATATTATGTCCTGGATATGCCAGTGCAATGTAGAGCACTACAATTTAAGTTGGTCATTCCTCAATGTTCAACTTTTCTTAGGTACTTTCAAATCTCACATTCACAACGTCAATATGCACGAGTCAACCATTTAGGAGAGAATTCAACATTAATGTTGCCAAATCCTTTTAACAAGAAAATGAAACTGATACAGGAAGGTGTGATTCATCACCAAACCTCCTTCAACTTTGAGAGACTTGTAGTCTCTGTTACATTTCAAAAGTACAAGATCAATGTCAATAATATAATATTGATAGAATTTTCCATGAAAGCTGGGTACCTTGCATAAGCGTAATGGATGATAAATATCTTACTTCTATTTGTAAATATTTTTGATACGTGTTATGGTCAGAGTTATAAGTTCAAAGACTGTATTACGTGCAAATGTTGTAAGGTTTCAACCTTGCTGTACCTTCATTGTCCTCTTGGAAGGCAGTAATCTGTATTTGCCTCTCTTAACCCAGAGGGGAAGTTTGTATTCTATGGTGAGTGCTGAAAGATATCATTATCATTGCCTGTTTACCACAAGGTACATGGTTCAAATCCCTGTCACAGCACTAATGTCCTTTGTATTGTATTTTCACTTCATGAGATAATTGAGATTAATGATTATATTCCAGGTATGAAATGATGAGATTGCATTATACTTAACCATCTTTCGGGGCTTAGTAAACACGGTGCTGAGAGAAATGCTTTCTGATCATGCCTTGCGATGTGATTCATCACCAAACCTCCTTCAACATCGAGAGATTTGTATCCTCTGTTATATTTTGAAAGTACAAGATCAATGTCAATGATAAGATATTGACAGAACTTTCCATGAGAGCTTATTTGTTTTGCTTTTTCTCATTTTTCAGATGCAAAGAAATTCAAGGAGAAGTTTGAAGAATGTCAAAAATTGTTGACCGAGTGTGCAGCAGGTAAGGTTGTTTTGTTTTTTTAATTTTTAAATGAATTATAGGAGGGTAACAATTTTCTACTGCTATACTTAAATACAATATTCCGTACTCTATATCGGCTACATATTATAACTTATGGTATGAAATGATGAAATTGCATTATACTTAACCATCTTTCGGGGCTTAGTAAACACGGTGCTGAGAAAAATGCTTTCTGATCATGCCTTGTGATGTGATTCATCACCAAACGTCCACTGTGTATGACCTTTTTCTATTCAAAATATATAACTTAATTGTAGATATGCTGCGAGTTTGAATACTAAAATAGCACTGTGAGTGAAAGTAAAAACAATTTTGTGGTTCTTATGCAAATGCATAATGTGCACATGAGGAAGATCATGCCAGGTTTATTTCTATGCAGACCTAGATATGAAACCATGAATTCTCAATCACAGAATGTCACATACAGTTTTGTTTAAATCAGAATGTATATATAAAAAATAAAATCTATTTTGATTGAGAAAAGTTTCTAATATTAGTAGATGTGTCTGCATTGAGTAATTATCTTGCAGTTGTAAATGCAACTGTAATGGCCCTTTCTTAGCAGCCAACAAATCTATATGGTACAGTAAAATCTGCTTAAGTGACCGACCACCTGTCTACAAGGACCACATTTTTTGTTTCCCTTGAAAATGGTTTCTCATTGAAACATGTACTAAAGGAACCTGTCTACAAAGGCCACTTTTTGTGTTTCCCTTGGGTGGTCGCTATAGACAGGTTTGACTGTATTCACTGCTCTTCCTAACACATGATTTCCCAATCCGTCTCCTCAGCACGCCAGCTTGATCTACTCGAGAGGCTTGGAGCTTCCATTAATCTTGAAGCTGAAGCCGAGGCTCCTGACAATCAGGGTATGCTTCTCCCTATATCCATCTTCCCGTTCCCAAGTAAACCTAATAAATAGCATGGATTTGAAATACCTTAGTCAATCACACTGACAAACCGACCAATAACTAACGAAATGAGGTATCGGGTCTTGAATTATATAGAGGCCACATAGCATTTTGCTGTCGCGCTGCAAACAACTGTTTCAGTGCCCGCCTACCCTACACAAAATGACAAAGCTTAATCCTGTTTCTGTTTGGGGAATGACACCCCCCCCCCCCCACTCCACTTCACTAAAGGTGTAAGAATGGGCATCTAATTTGCATAATTCATAATGAATTGTATAACATATTTCTTAAAAAATAATGCAACAATGACTCACAAACATCATGTGTCATCCCCAATTTGTTTCTTTTGATGGGATTAATGACCAAGATTTAACAGGTTTAAGACAAACACCCCCCCCCCCATGAAAACTAAAATCTCAAAGTCGTAGTCTGAATAGGGTCGAGACAAACTTCTTGCCTTTTAACATACCTCCGTACAGGTGAAAATATGAGAGTGACCCGGGGTGTCTTATCATGTACTTGTAAGAGACGGATCATGAAATTATGTGTTAGGAAGGAGAAATGATGGCTTTCAAATCATTCACATGTTTAGAACCCCCCCCCCCCCCCTTGCTCCTAGTCAAGAGGAACTCCAAAGAAACCCTGTACATCGCTGATGATAGTCGGACATGGGACAATCTTTTTCCACTTGTTTTTCTTTGTTTGCAGATGAAAAGACGGACGAGAAACCAGAGAATGAATCCAAGCAAGCCGAGAAGCCAGAAAGCGAGCCAAAGCAAGCCGAGAAGCCAGAGAGTGAGTCCAAGCAAGCCGAGAAGTCTGAAAAGGATGCGGATGAGGTGACCGATAAGCTTGGAGGCATGACGGTGAAAGATACAGAGAAGACAACAGATGGAGAGGAGCCTAGCAAGGAAACAGTGAAGACAGAAGGAGAAGCGAAGGAAGGCGAGGTTGAGAAGAGCAAAGAGGAGACAACGAAAGAAGAGGGAAAGGGGGGCGGAGATTCTAAAGATGCGTCTTGAAACAGACTTTCTCCATCTTTTATTTAAAGGGGTGGTTTAAATCTAGGGAAGGCTATTTTTTAGTAACACCAAAAATATGAAAATTCATCATCGAAGAGACATTTGGATGATATGATGGGCAGGCAGTTAGGTATGCATGTCCAGCAGAAATACTCCAGGATGTGACCAGTTCTCTAAATGTATTTATTTCCATTGTTTGCCCACGGCGAGGAGTGTGGTCAGATTAATGGGTATTGTGGGAAATAGAATTTAGTTCAAGATCATCTTTAATTCTATCAGTAACAGACATGAGATATAGTATTGGTTTTAAAAATAAATCAAGTTACTGGTTCTACAGTGTGTATCCTATCTCTAATTTCTTTTGGTGCAAGAAGTTCCATGATAAAAAGGGATTCATGTTACTCCTTGTTTTACTTCAATAATAAGAATAATAATATGTTGAGGAAAAGTAACATCGTATCCATAGAAATAATCTTGTCAGTTCCCCTATCAAGATCTCTTTCCATTTTATTGTTCTTTAAAAAAAAAAAATCATCATATCCAAGTTATAGGGCATTGATTGATATAAGGGATAACCTGTCAAAAAACAAATCTTGTTTTTATTGTTTATGTCTAAGATAGTGGAGCCTCATTTATGTTAAAGCCCAACTGCACTACTTAAGCTACTTGCGCCCTCTATACAGCCAACAATGCCTAAGCGGTACCCGTTGATCCCCCATGATGCCCCTTTTCTTAAATTAATTGAGAGCTGATTTGGTGAGATAACCACCTGCCAGTGACCATGCAGGGAGGTCTAATGAGTTCTGGCCGGGGAAAAGTTATAATAGTCGAGATAAAAGTATATATATGACTATTAGTTTTCCTATCTGTTGTTGTAAGGGGGTTTGTTAAACTCCTAAGATGCTAGTAAGATTGAACACATTTGATTAGGAGTATGATATATATTTTGTTGCCCATATATGGATGCGAAGTAATGGAAAAATCTCAGGGGCTGCAAGGAAAATACATGTAGTTTGTAAATAGATAGACAATGTTCCAATAATCATTACCCATATCTCAATATTACATTACTGTTGTTTGTTGTTTAAGTTATTTTAATTGACTCTTAGTCTTTATAGATAGTTGACCAGGGTGGAAGCAGAAACAAATTTAACGAGGAATTGTAAAGGTATGATTTTAAATCTGAATCACTGTTAATATGATAATCTCTTAGCAATGTTGGTCATGTATGTTTGGTGTCACATGGAAAGGACACTCATTCTTTCATTTTTAATGACTATTTGTTCCAAGACAAATGTGAGAATTCTTCTTGTAAACCATTAAACGTAATGATCCAACTGCCAATTGTGGTTCTCAATAGCATTAGTCCATATCATTATTGATCACAAGTTAAGTCTCTTTATACCCTCTTGTACCCTCTCATTATCTCAAACTTTTACTTTTATGTTTTGTGTTTCTGATTTGTCTGCTTCTTAGTCTGATTGTACAACTGTGGATTTCATTTTTATTTAATTGCAGCTGCTGTTTTGAATTCGTATTTGCGAAGGCTTGGCTCCTTAGGGCGTTTCTTTTCAGGACCAAGACAAGTTATTTATGGTCGCAAATATGAAATGTTCTTTTCAGATTCAGTGATATGATCAGATTAAATTGTTTACTTAGACAAAACATAATGAGTGTATAGATCTCTCTATGCAGACAGATTTTTCCCATAGCAATCCAATAACATTTAGAGATCAGGAACAATCTGAAAATGAGAATTTTCATCAGTTGTCAACATGAGCAATCTTTATGAATGCGTATATTTGGAAAGTACTAGGAAGTAATGAGCTTAAACAATGTATAAGGTATTTTGTTAAATGATGAATGACATTATTGGGATCCAATTCTTCGCTACAATTGTGTTTTGGGGAAGATGTGTTTTATAGAGTGTTATGTGGTGTGATCATTCCATGCATGCAAGATATTTTTTTCTTCTTCTGGTTTTAAGTCCTGAAGGTCATAGAGATTACATGGTGTTTGAAAGCAATGTGTCCTGATATAATGTAGTGAAATGAGTTGTATCAAAATTTTGGTCCTGTACCTGCTTTGGGTATTTTCGATGTCATTTGATAGAGAGAAGATTTCATTTTAAAGCAGAAATCTTTTGCAGTCATTCCTGACCAGGGGGGCGTTTCACAAAACTTGTCATCAGTGACAAATGACAGTTTTTGTTATAAAGCTACTGAATTCCTTGCTTCTGTTTGTTTATCAGCAGATATGTCACTTATTTTTGTCATTTGTCATTGAAAAAAACGGTCTTTGTGATACGCCCTCCAGGAATTAATTAAACCAGAAGGAAACAAAGTTTCTGTTCTGTTGGCTCAGGATTTAACTCAAATTACACATGTCATCAAAGAAACGTTTATTTGTCATTATTTTAATGTGTTCAAAAGTCTTTTTGTAATTTTTGGTCAAAATCAGTTGCTGCAAGTGATGATCCTATGTGTAATGTGTGTGTCACATGAATATGATTAGGAATTTGAATATTAGTGAACCGCAAAAACTATGAGAAAGGGATTTCTTATCATTATTTTTCTTGTCTATATTTTTATTGTAAATTATTGTGATTTTTTCCAAATTTTAAACGGAAATTTGTTAATAAATCAGCATAAAAACATAATTGTCAGCACCTTTAGGAAAAGGGTGTTTATATATATCCTTATGTTATTTTTTATTCAGTATTAAAGCTTTATAATCTTGTATGAACTATGAATTGATCATCGACAGGTATTTTCTCAAATAATTATGGTTTACCAAAGTGGAACATATTTGATGTAAAAAAAGGCACGGCATTGGATTCATAAATGGTTCCTTATTTATTTCTGTAATACATGTACATCGAGAACCTTAAGAAATTTGTTTTTAAATTTATTATAAATATCCTTTTAACTAAATTTATTCTTGATCTCCTTTGCTTGTGTCGCTTTGTATGCAAACTATGTCATTTCATCTTCAGAGGAAAGTGATTGTGCAAAACATTCTTTTCATTAAACATGTGAAATTCTAAATGGCTTGACAATTGTGTGCTTTATTCATAAGTCTCAGTACGTGGTTTCTACTAAAAATTCACCATCAGCACAATAATTGAAAACAACTACCTAACTAAAAATGTTCACCACGATCACAACACATCAATACAACTCTGCTGTGATCGGTCATCACCACAAAATATACACCACCGTCCACAAAACACATCAATAGGGACTTTTAGATTTGCACGAAGACAATGGGGATTGCTACGACTGACATCCTTTTAATGCACGCCTAGAATGGACGTCACACGTATCAGTCCACGCAAATCTTAAAGTCCCTAATAATAAATAATAATAAACAATATTTATAAGGCGCTTAATACTGGTGTCTCTAAGTGCACCATATTCAATAATACAACTCTGCTGTGATCACAAATGGTCATCACCACAAAATATAGACCACCGTCCACCACAACACATCAATGGGGACTTTTAGATTTGGGATGTCCATTCAAGGCAGTGCATTGAAAGGACATCGACCGTAGCAATCCACATTGCTTCATGCAAATCTTAAAGTCCCTACTACAACTCTGCTGTGATCACAAACGGTCATCACCACAAAATATACACCACCGTCCACCACAACACATCAATACAACTCTGCTGTGATCACAAACGGTCATCACAAAATATACACCACCATCCACCACAACACATGAGTACAACTCTGCAATCTTTAATGACTGTATTTTGTCAAAGGTATAAGGTTAGGGTTGAAACTGAGAATTAGCTTAGCTTCATTGTTAAGTTTAGGTTTGGTGTTGGGTCCAAGGTTGAATTAAGGAATTTGGTTAGCATAGGAAATTTCCATGGTGCAATTGTCACAGAAGCATGTTTCCTCTTGTAGTTCATATTTTCAAATTCAATGGTTGCAATTTAATATCACACATTGTAAACTTTTCATCGCTTTCGTAAAGATTTGTTACATACCAAAAATATCCGTCAGCTTTGAGATAACAGCTCCTGGCAGTATGAACATGACGAACAAAGAAAGCAGACAAATCATACAGTTCCTCATTCTACCCTCAACAATTGCTGTGATAGACAAAGGAACATCCCTTCACTGCTATTATGTAAAAATGTGTAGAACAGAGGAATATGCAAGTGACACCTGTTCTACACATTTTTACATAAAAGCAATGAAGGGATGTTCCTTTGTCGAATGAGGAACTGTACATTTTGTCCGTCATGTTCTTAGTGTGGACCCCTTCATTTCAAAATATGGATATGGTTCATATATCTTTTTTTCAAGGGATTGGACAACAAACATATACAGAACTACTACCCAATCTAAGCAGACGAGTAAACTGCATCCATCCAATAATGAGTCGGACAATCCGAAGTAACATTCACAATATCTTTATTATTGCATAACACCTGACACAGCAGACATCATTCAATTCATTCATTTGATACAGTTAAACCCTGTACCTTAAAGTCTGTCCTTTCCAAGGAGTCGCTCATAGACTCCTCCTTGGGACCTGCCTTGTAGATAGGTTTTGCAATTGTCATGCAAACTGATAAGTAATGTTCAGATAATATCAAGCTCCAAGGCTGGTATAGAGTCAACAGAAAACCATGCTGATATGATCACACACTTATATACTTTCTATAAGTAAACCATTAAATTGGGTGCTTTTCCACTCTTCCTGATAAGAACATTTGTATATCTGTATGTTGCATGTACACATTCATTATCATAAGCTGTGAAAGGTTCTAAACTCCAAACCAATTCTTCCAACAGGGGTGATGCTATTGTTAAATATGAGGGGGAGGGGTGAATACAGAATAGATAGAAATGTGATGAAAACACAGCAAATATGCATACCGGTACTTCAATCCTCTGTATAGTACATATATGTACCTCTACTCACAATCCTACATCATCTCCATTTTTCCTTGCAAATAATGGCTCTTAAACTGGGAAGGAATAACTTTGCTATATTGGCAGACTGAAACAAAGTGTGAGCACTGGATCCACGAATTGAACACTAATTCTATATGAACTTGTCTCCTTGTAATCAAAGTCATGAGAGTTGGTTATGTAAGGGCATAATTACCATTAATGATTTCAAAGAAAAAAACTTTATTGGACCCACACTGAATGATATGAATTATGGCTTTCAACCATCCACTGCATGTCATTTTCCTGATTGACTTGTAGCAACTAACAAACATAAACCAATAATGGTTAATTACGTAGACAATTAAAGCATCTTCTTATAACCCCTGCAAATCCTTTTTGGAAGATAAATAACAAGTAGTAGTAGATGACTTTATTGGCAAACTAATATTCACTACAAGATCAATCTGCAACAAATTCCACTTTAAATCAATGCTTTGTATAGGATGAGTTAATGCCTTGTGCTCATAATTGTGATGAGACTATTCTTCACAATGCCAATAGCAATTGGCAAAGGATTGCATTCATAACCATCATTACCCTATTGTTCAATGACGACGGTTTGAATGGAAGCAATGTACCGGTATTAGCCATTAAAACATAAGATGAGAATATCAATGGACATACAAGTTAAATGGTCTTCTTTACAGTACCATTTGCGGTTAAAAACTACCTGAGCATCCTTCTGTGACGGAACTAAAACAAATATGTGTATTAAAGGGGGATTATTCACCAATTCAGATGCTCAGTGCAAAAGAGGCATACACGACATTTTCCACAGAGTCCTTTTGTTGGACTGAGCCAATATTTTTTTGAAATAACAATATAAATCTGTATATGATTAGCTCCAGGGGATGGTTCACAAAACTTGTCATCAGTGACAAATGACAGTTCTTGTTATAAGCTACTGAAATCCATGCTTCTGATTGGTTATCAGCAGATTTGTCACTGACTTTTGTCATTTGTCATTGACAAAAGGCTTTATGAAACGGGTCCCAGGTTATCTCCTGCTTCTATCTGTAGAGATGATCTGCCTGGATGTTAGCCGCTATCTCCGCCTCCCATTTGTCTCCATTGTTGAGAAGCTTCTCCTTGTTGTACAGTAGCTCCTCGTGAGTCTCGGTGGAGAACTCAAAGTTGGGACCCTGGAAGAAAGAAAAATGAAAAATTGTCACTGATACATTTATGTATACACACCTGTATATACACTAATATGAGAGACAAGAGACAATAAGGAGTGCATGATAAATACAGTTTATGAATACTTTTAATCATTTAAAACATGTGCCTGCATTAAAATTGACACTAAACATACAAGGAAACTTTTGAAAGAGAAAAAAAACAGACCATTTAACATGATCAATATATTCATCATCATGAAGGGAAATATGATGATGATGATGATGATGATGGTTGTGAATCATTGTAGTGGTGTTAATAATAGTGATGATTCATAGTATTTGTATATCACCATAATTCTGTTAACTTGTTAATTGATCATTTGAGTATAACTTTGAAATTAATGAAAATTATGATGACCATGATGGTTAGCAAGACAAGCAAGGATGATGATCATGATGATCATGATGATCATGCTGATAAAGATTTGAGGGATGACATTAAATGATGACGACAATAAAATATGATAAGGATGAGGATAATCATGTTCATAACAATATTTATAATGATGAAAATGAGAAAGAACATTAAATTCCTACCTCAACAATAGCATCAACAGGACAAGCCTCCTGGCAGAACCCACAGTAGATACATTTTGTCATGTCGATGTCATATCGAGTTGTCCGTCTGCTGCCATCAGCTCTTGGCTCAGCTTCTATTGTGATAGCCTGCATATGAGAAAACAACACAGAATTCAGGGGTAATTACACAAGTTACCACAAACCAGTAGAAACAAGTATTTTCACAAGATTCACACATTAGCAAGTTATAAATATCTCACACAGATAGGAATCAGTGATTGATCCACAATAATGAGTAAGGTTTTGATCCATGATAATGATATGAAGTAAAGTATGTGTCTAGCTACTTCAATTGGGTGATTTTAAATTAATCATGTTTTTGGAAAATATCCATTACCTACATCTTGGGTAGGTCAGAGGTAACTTTCTATATGTAGAGAAGAGACCTCATAACAACCAAGAAAATCTGATACAGTCAAACCCATCTATAGCGACCGCCCAAGGTAAACACACAAAACGTGGTCTTTGTAGACAGGTTCCTTTAGTACATGTTTCAATGAGAAACTATTTTAAATGGCAACAAAAAATGTGGTCTTTGTAGATAGGTGGTCACTAAAGCAGGTTTGACTGTAATATCCTACAGACCGGAATTCATCTCTCCTTCAGAAAACAATACTAAGCTGGAAGATTTGTTGAATATACTTTAATTTTTAGCCTATGTTATGTTTCACTCATTCATTGAGTTATTAATGTAAATATGTATTGAATTTATGAAAATAAAAACCTCGCTTGAGGATTAAGAGGGAAAAAAAACTCTCCTTCAGCAAATCAATTTGGTGCACTTCATTTATTCTATGGCAAGACTGGCAGCTTTACCTGTGCGGGGCAAACGGCTTCACACAAGAGACCTCATAACAACCAAGAAAATCTTATAAGATCGAGAAAGACTGGAAAACATTCTCAAAATTCTTAATTCATCTCTCCTTCAGCAAATCAATTTGGTGCACTTCGTTTATTCTATGGAAAGACTGGCAGCTTTACCTGTGCAGGGCAGACGGCTTCACACAGCTTGCAAGCGATGCATCGCTCCTCTCCCGATGGGTACCTTCTGAGGGCGTGCTCTCCTCTGAAGCGGGGACTCAGAGGTCCTTTCTCAAAAGGATAGTTGATGGTGGCAGGTTCACGAAATAAGTAACTTAACGTCATGGCCAGGCCTACAGGAGAATATCAAATCAAATACTTCTTTACAAATGCATACCTGCCAACTTTTCACATCTACAATTAGGAGTCCTTAGGATAAAATTAGGAACAGTATTTTGTATTCCAGCAGTACTTATTACACAGAATTGTTTGTAACATTATATTAAAGGCCCCCAAATAATGATTAGTCTTCCAAAACACAGATGACTGGCAGTTTTGCAAATTATTTGGAAGACTGGAGCTTAAAACATGGATTTCTAATGTTTGATATTGATAAAAACCCCTTGCCAAATAGTAGATACGGTAACAAATTGATTTTTTTTTACATGAATATTCTATTTCATATTTTCAAGTGTAATGAAAGTGCTGGAATTTGTTTCCCTTAATCTATTAGAAAATGTTTGAAAATAAGACTGAATTTCAAAATTCTTAATTTTTATGATATTTTTTGTATATGACAAATGGAAGAATGGCATGTGACAAATTAACAATCCACTGACCAAATTGCCAGTTTGAGATTTGCATAGACTAATGGGATCTCATATTTAAAACACTCATAATTTTCTTAATATTGGTCTGATTAATTTCAAACTGTCACTATTATCTTTCCATTATTTTTTGCTTTAAAAAATGAACTAATTACAAAGATTGGATACGATTAATTTCAAATTTTCACCATTCTCTTTCCCTTATTTTTTTGCTTTAAAAAAATGAATTAATTACAAAGATTGGATTCCCCTATAAAAGCATATCCATCTTACCCCTCGTCAGCTCAGTGAAGAATAAAGTTGATGCTGCTCGGTCAGTGATCTCTCTAAAAGAATCTCCTTTCTCCCTCGCATTAACATATTCTGTAATAACGAGCATTATGAAACATTACAAATTTAGGACAAATGATTCTTGCATACAGGTGCACAGCCAAAACATAAGCTACATTGTTCAACATTTAGAGACAAAAGAATTGATCATGGATTAAAATTTGAAAAACTATAAATTGGCATTTAGCATGGACAAATGCCTCAATGATAAAAATATTCTTGATATAATTGATTCTTAACTTGCAAAGACACATCACATGTAATTTTCTCTTCATGTTGATAAATCTCAAGTCAGATTCCTAAAGAACATTGTCAAAGGGAAAAGCAATTGTCATCCCGCTCAAACAGATATTGTAACCCCAAGAAATGTTGTCCTCTTATCAAAATTAGCTTTTAAAGTTAACTGATCATTGTTTTTGATCACCCGACAACTGGAGACAACAACAACAAAAAACACATTTTCATAAAAATCCATGACCTTAATATTTTGTATTACCTTTTCAGGGGGCAACCAATCCATCTATTTATCTATCTTATGGATAGTGTTCTCTCTCCTTTCAAAGTTTTGTCTACTCTAGGTTTCATTCAATTCTTCCATCTTCTTGTGTATATTTTTCATGAAACCACCATACACTGTAAATTTGCCAACATCCTATCAAAACATGATCTAATGGGATGTGATGGAACTTAGCAATGGTTTTATGACTTGCATGTATGCCCTGATCACCAATTAATATCCTTCTAATCACATTGGTAAACCAACATAAACACTTACTATAATATGACCTTGCAGATGCATATGTCACTGGCTTCACTGCATCATACAAGAGAGCTGAACAGCCTGAAAAGAAAACACACAGATACAAAATAATCTTTCAAAAGGAATTACCACAAACTCATATACCATCAATCATGTTTATACTGGTACAGGCTGAATGTCTGTTTTTCAGGGCTGAAAAAACCTGACCAGCTTGAATTGAGTCTTGCAACGGTTATCAGATAGTGACTTTGAAATTGTTTTTACAAATAGGCCTATTCAATATTTCTTCAAAATCTAAAATTTCTTGTTGTTTAAAAATTCGGAGAAAGGGAATCCAGGAAAGGGGTTAAACTATTCTTCTTTTAGTAGTGCAAGGATATGAAAGAAGCTGGTTGAAATACATCACACAGTCAGTCATCCAATCTTTATGTCCCGCAGTGATATATAGTCTAGAGCTAGAACTAGCATGAAATAATGTGTTAGTGACAGTAAGTCTTTGAGTCTGACTTGACTATGTTGTATGTAAAACCAAATTTTCTGAAATCAAGATTTCATACTTCAATCATATCATCTGAGCATAGGTCTAGCACACAGCGCGTGGTTGTCGCTGCGTAGTGCATTACGTACGTGTGCTACTTGGCAAGCGCAGCTCACAGACAACTGTGAAATGTATCCCTACATGCGTGTGACATAATAGTTTCATGTCCAGTTCACGAGCAATTTTAAAATAATATATCTCCTAAACAAGGCAAGGCTAAATTACATCTTCCTAAAAATCCTAGATCTAGTTGCGTTGCATTTTTACACCTCGAAATTCATCACATGGGACTACACATTCACACCACAATTAAGATTAAGCATCATTACAATAGTTTCATGAAAAGATAATCAATTAAATTTCTCTTAAGTAATATGTACATTGTTAATGTATTACATGGAATACAAATTGTATTATTTTAAACGTTAAAAGCACCCACTCACCCGTTTTTGAAAGCTGTGAGACGAGCCGAAAAGTCGCCATTTTGGAACTGTTGCACAAGTTAATTAGTTTTGTTCCAGGCGCTAGCTAGTGAGGCGCGTACTTGAATGCATACGGAGTTCAGTAAAAAAATAAAATAAAAAAAAAGCAGGGTAAGATCAGTAACAAGTGATCAGTAAGATTGTGGGAGAGGAGTTCTAGTTCAGCATTTAAAGAATTATGACAATTTTCCTTTCAAATAATTAATAAATGGAGAAAATGCGAATTTCACAATGATAGGCCCTATGGGCTGATGTCGCCCTGCCCCCTCCCCCCCCCCCCCCCCCCACCTCCCGTTTCACAGCCAGGGGCGGATCCAATTCGTGAGTAAATATCTTGCGGTGACTCAGCTAACTGGCCGAATAAGCAAGGGGGGGGGGGTAATGAGCACTATTTTTGTTACTCAACACCCACCCCCTACCCTTTGAGCAAAAGGGGGGCGTCTCGTTTTTTAAATGTTTTTTTTAATGTAAATTAACATTACCATCTTTTTTTAAAAAACCTATTTGGGGGGCCCCTCATGGATCCGCCCCTGTTCACACCCAAAATGACAACAAAAACAAGAAGCAAAAACAAAAAACAAAAAGCAAAGGTAAAAAGAACAACTAAATAGGATAACAATTAAAGGGAAAAGATTAGCCCCCCCCCCCCCCCCCCCCCCCTTATGAGAGTACGTCAGACAGGGAAAGGAAACTGACCACCGATTTAAAAGGTTGGAAAATACACTAAAAGAGGAAAAAAATCATTTAAAACTGGCCAGAATGGTATATCTGATGTACTACAGAATCGGCACGATAGCTTTGTGGTTCATGTGGGGGGGGGGGGGGGGGGGGGGGGGGGGGGGGGGGGGGGGGGGGGGTAAGAGGACACTTTTTTTTTTTTGGTCTTGAAATTTGAAAATTCGTTGGGGGGGGGTCACCATTTCAGGTCAGCTATATGAATAATTTTTTTTTTTTTTTTTTTTTAAATTACCTATTCATAAAGTCTAGACCAATCTGGCTTCCTGAAGGAAAGAAAAATTGGGAATATAATACATCTTATGTTAGATATAATTAAAAATGTGATGGAAATAATATTTCCTGCTTCCATTGTTTTGCTCGATATCAAAAAGGCTTTTGACAGTGTGAGAAAAAAAGATTTTCTGTTTCAGACCTAATTGTTGATATAATTTTATTACTTCGATTAAAACACTGTACACAAGGAGACAAACTTATGTTATGACTAATGGATTTTTAACTGAACATATACCCTTGCAAAGAGGTATCATTTCAAGGTTGTCCCACTTCTCATTTTTTATTTGTCATTGAGATGAGGCAGAATATATTTAGGGAATCAAGAAACAAAGATCTCTCTTAATATAAGAAGACCATTTTGTTTTTTGATGGATCAAAACATTATGTTGATAATCTTTTTTTAATATTTGCAAAAATTTGGCTTACATTATTTTCATTTTTTCAGGATGCAAAAGTAATCTCACTACTTGGAAGCAATTTGGATTGGATGTAAAAGAGGCTACCAGGAATTTCCACTCTCTGAAAGAGACATTTTGTGGGATCATCTCAGTTCAAATCCTTTGGAATATTTTTTCACTGAATACTCAATTATAAGGAAAATTGAAAGAATCGAACGAACAGTTAACTGCTGGCGTGTGGGAATTTGTATAATTAAATCTTTTGTTTTACCAAAGCCATTTTGTGGTTTAATAGATGAAAACGTTCAAAATCTAACTCCTTTTTATCATAGTAATTTTGGATTCTTTTTTTTTTATTTGGAATTTAATATTCCCCAATTTGACAGAAGAAAGTATAATTTCCTGCTTTAAATGTACCTACGAATTTTTGGAGGTATCAATCCCATCTGCACATATAGTAAATGCTATTTATCTTTGCCTGTGACAACAACTGTCAATAAGTTAGTTTATCTATTTTTTTTTCTTTTCCTTATCGTCCACGCATATCAGATCCATGCACGCTTTTTTATTCTAAAAAAAAGTAAAATTCAATATACATGTATAATGTTTTTCCTTTTGAAAAGTATGTATACAGGCCGGGCCGAGAGGAATTCGTTGATTCACAGATTTGAATTTGAATTTATTAACACCAACACATCACAATAATGACAGTACATATGAACAATCATACAATGCAAAAAATAATACTGATACATGTATACATAACATAAGAGTAATGTTGATTGAACAGTTATGGTTTTATAAAAATATTTAGACATACGTCTGCATACTATTAAATGTACAAAAGATATATACCTAAATATGTGTATCACTATATTTAGATGAAGTTGTTAATGGGAACTAGAAGTTGGCACAAGTGCTAGTCCAGCCTGGTTCCATTCTTTGGCAAGATTGTTTCTTTTAATTTGTTTATACATATGAATGTAAAACTTGCTTGTTTTGTATTTACATATATACAACAAAATGATACAGTATCATGTAACTTTTTTACATACTAAAATGAAGTTCAAGTGTTTAAGCATTATAATGAAAAAAGACAAATCTTTGAAGAAATAAAATCATCAATGTGTTCATAAAAATGAAGAGGATGTATTAATAAAAATAATATCATACAGATGTGCGTACATGCACAAATCCTCTAAAAGCTTAAGGCAGCTATAATCGTTAACAAGCAAGTGTATACATTATATAAAAGGAACTTAGGAAGACAAGTAAAATAAATGGAAAAACGAGGGGGGGGTGGGATTCAGCCCACGTCATTTACATATAAAGTAGGTGGAAAGATGTCTCCGAAAAGATAAGGTGCTTAATTTCCTCAATACCAGACGTATTACATCATGCAATTTACATCATACTGACTTTGCATTACATTCAGAATAATCAAAATACAATACAAAACTATAATTCTTAATTAACACCAGAGAGGCGAGACATACTGTAGTCTAAAGGTAAGGCTTGTTCTTTCAACAATATTTCAATGTCGTTCTCTAATTTGGCAATTCTTCGTGCCATGATTCGTCGTTGATTTTTCGAGGTTTCAAGCTTTTCAGCAAGCCTCTTTTCTGACATGAAGCGATGATTTGCTTTTGGAGCTGGAGAGGAGTCAACTTGGTGGCGTTGGTAGTGTTTTGCAAGACTGGAACGATGAATTCTGCATTTAAAGCATCTTGAAGAATCCTTTGTGAGGAGGGGACAGGTTGTGTGTCTAATTGTTGTTGTGGATGAGGAGTAGTGGGGGTATAAGGGATGGTTTTGAAGCGGTAGGGAAGGCGAGAAGTACTCAGGGTTACCATAACATATTTGGAGAGAATCAAGGGTGTGAAGAAATTGCTCACAATCATCTTTGCTACCAAAATGCCGAGGGATTCCAGGAAACAGATCCCTGTTAACTTCTCTCCCATGCACTTTAACTGTCCACTGTCCAGTTTCACAAACAATCACACATACTGATGTATTCCCATCATCATCAACAGACATGATAAGTGTTCTTCCATCACGACCATTTTTGACATAGTATCCTTTTTGCTCTGCCAAATCTATCATGAATGTTAGCCATGATCCTTCTACAACATTCTTCTTTGAATCTGTACACATGTCACAATCTTGACCGTGCTGTTGGAAATTAAAGATGGTTATGTTCAGTTCCTTTTTACATTTTTGTTCTTAAAGGCTCTCCACCTTGTCAGTTTTGATGTACAGCTATCACACACCATGGGTGGGTGACGATTGTCCTCATCTACAGCAATGTTTATGGACAGAGCCGCTTGGATCAAGTTAGAAAGGTTTTGCTTGTCACGATACTTCCTTGATCCTGTTTGTCCACAGAGGCGACACATGCCCATCAGAATCCCCTGGTGGATTTCCTCTTCCATTGTTATTTTCTGATGGGAAAAAGCAAACAAACAGTACTTGTAAATACATGTATGTCTCAGAATTTCTACACTTAAACATGTAATAATAAATATGAATAAATATGAATATTATCATGGAGGTATCACTTATACCTCCATGATATTGCCAGTGCCACCAAAAATGTAACAACATACTAAAATTACTAGTTAGTAGTTACATGTATGTTGAAATAATGATTAGACTGAATAAGGTGAAATGAATGGAACACTTTTAATTATAATAATAATGATAATAATAATAACAATGTTAATAATAATAATTGCAATACTTTGAATAATAATAATAACACTAATTATTACATAACAATAATATTAAAGTAACATGACTAATATAATGATAATCAATGAAATTATGAAACCACAAAAAATTATTAATAAGTAATTATAAAAACAGTACTAATACCAATCTTCATAAAAATAATAACAATCATAATAATGCCATTGAATTGTTAAAAAAATACAAACATGTAGGCATCATCATCACTGATTACCACCACGACCACCTAGGTCCTCTGTACATGTGCAGGGAGGTGCTCCCTGATATTTATACACAAATAATTGCATATTTGACAACACAATCAACATCATTAATCACCACAAAAGTCAATAGACATCACAAGGTAAGAAAATTAAAACGAAATGGATAAGATTATTATCATGACAATTATTTGAACAATTGGTAAAGATTAAGTTGATTTTTGTTGGTATGTTACGCCGGAGTTACGGGTAAAAATTGGATGCCTATGACCAGACACGTACGCAGGCGGGGGGGGGGGGGGAGGTTTTGGGGTTAACCCCCCCCCCCCCTTGAAATTTTTTTAGGTGAATGTTTTGGGAGGAAAATCCCCCTATTTTATTTTAAATGGGTAATGGCTGACCCAAAAAAGCCAACCCTAACCCCCCCCCCCCCCCCCCCCAAAGCCCATCGGCCAATTTTTCAAATTTTGGGACCAAAAAAATAAAAACACTCACAAACACACGTGTATAGTTTGCAACAATCTGCAGTCAATTGAAGGAGGCAGACTTATAACCAGAAGAAGAAGAAAACTCTCAGACTTGTCTATCGCTCTGAGAGGCACATGTGATGTACTGCGACTAGCTGTGTACATTACAGTCCCAAACATAGCATTTTGTGCAAGTCAGCGCGATCAGCCACCCCAACCAAACGCCAACGTGCGAACGCGCGTCCAAGACATGACACACAAAACAAGGAAAAAACTCATGTAATATGTACATATAAATTAATAAAATGTTCAAAATACGATGAATTACCTTTCTTTGTTTTTCGGAAATTTGAAGAAAGAGAGATCAGGCCTGTTACATTAACGATTTGAGCAATTTATTGCAGAGCAGTGGGTAGACGACCGTACTGACATCGCCGCTGCGATTGGATGCATGCACTCCAAGCAAAGCGGAGTCAATGCGTATTGACCTTAGCACTGCATACTTGCTGAGAGCTAGAGGCAGGTATTTATTTACAAATACACACACACACTATTGCATAGACTGCACACAATATCACCGATTAGGCTGATCGGCAAATTTGACACTAGACTTACAATTTAAATTTTTAAATTCTTTTTAACATTAGTAAGTTGAAAAAATGTACTTTACTGCTATTTAGGTGACATCAATTGTCGCTAAAGTACCGATTTTCAGTGAAATCAGTTAAGTTTTTTGTACAGTGGTGTTTGAAATGTTGAGTATTAAAAGCACAGCTTTTAATACACAGCCAGGATAACAATGCAGCTACTTTTTTTCAAAATCCTGCTGTACGCGTTTATCTTTTTTTGCAATGACGACCTTCGTCATTGCCTTGTTTTCGTTCACATTCTGCCCCATTAATATTTTCCTTTTCCTTGTTTTCCTTATCGTCCAGAAATCCCATTCGTTTTGCACGTAGTGTTTGTTATTCCTAGTTAGGTGCTTTCCTCATGTTCTTTTCCTTTCAAATTTCATAGGCATAGTCTCTCACATCTCATCAAGGTCACTACATTCTTCGATTTTCGAAATCACTCATGCATAACCGTCCAGGCGCCATTTTGTCCGTTTCTGGTCCATTTTAAGGCCTTTCTATCTTCCTTCCTATCTCCACTATCCTAGATCCTACACATTTCTAACAAATTTCTCTAGATAGTCTAAGAGATGTTCTTTCATCTGCGACGTGTAACCTGACCTTCAAAATGCCATCTTCGTACTCAAAATTCAAATCTGAAACTGACTGCGTCAAAAATCTCTCAAATTCTTAAAAAATGGACCCCTAAAAATCTAAAACTGCCATAACTTTCTCATATAAATTCCGTTTTGTGTTTAAATCTCACATTATCCTTATCTCATAATTGCACATAGCCATGCCAAATTTCATGCTCCAATGACTATGCAAAACATAAATAGCGCCCTCTAAAGTTCTGGGAATTGGCTTTCTCTCTGTGGCCGTATCTCCATAATGGCTAGGCAAACCCGTACCCTTTTTTGGATTTAGATACTTGAAGATATGCCCTTTCCAGCCATATACAAAATTATATACCCTATAACTGACCAAATATGAGAAAATTGCCCTCCAAATTCGCCATTTTCAAGAAAATTGAGAAATAACTTCAACTTGCTCTAAACCGGCGATCTTTATACCTACATCAATGAAACTTGGCAGACACATGTATCCATATACGTGACAACTGTCTGCTAAGTTTGGTAAATTGTAATGCCCTATTCGCTAAGTTATCGCCAAAAATGATGAATTTACTATGCTTTACGTATTAGCGCGTTTGATGCGTGCAGTACGTTTTGCGCAGATGACAATGGTGTCAAACTGACCGCACTGAAGTGCCCTTTCGAATGATACCAAGTATGGTATATGTTCACGCACAAAATTGTGAGTAAATCACATTTGAACAAGTACGAATTCCGCCGAGTTTCCATGACGTCATTTGTTAAGACTGTTATTCGGTTGTGTTAGTATGGGCGGCCGTTCGTGCCAAAGCACGCGTCGTAACATGTTCATCATGCACCAAGTCATATTGGTTTTGCACGCAGTGCTTGCGAGCCCTTTCTAGATCCCTTCCTCTACTCCAATTCCCTTCAAAATTCGTAGGCGTAGTCTCTAGCATTCCTTCAAGGTCACTAAATTCTTCGTTCTCCGGAAACCCTCATGCGCGACCGTCCAGGCACCAATTTTTCCGTTTCGGGCCGTTTTGGTGACCTTTCTTTCGCCCGAACTATCTCCACTATCACAGAAGCTACAGACTTCTTTCATATTGCTCTGGATAGTCCGAGAGTAGCTCCTTCGTTTGACACGTAGAAACATGGCGTCATTGCACGCACATCGTTGTGACACGATTGCATTTCTAGTTTCTTCTTAATCCTGTCTTATATATTAGATGCCCTGACAGGGCGGATCCAGGAGGGGGCGAGCGGGCCTTGGCTGCTAATCTGACAGTAATTTATAGAGTTGCCCCGTTACAAAGTCTCACGCCTATAGCTGGTCCCTATTTTGTGTGCATAGTAAAATAGTAACTGTCCATATCGTACATTGTGTACTTTTTTTCTAAACACTACTGTAGCATGTAATATATGTATTAATAATGTGTTCAGTCAAATCTTCAGTGTTCTATCGCTAATCGGGAGAGGGGAAGAAAAAAAAAATCCACAATAACAACATTTTTTCAAAAAAAAACTACCACTATTAAAGTAAACACTTGGAAAGAGAGTAATGGCACTTCATTTTTTTTTTTTTTTTTTTTTTAAACTGCAAATTATTCTCGACATCTCTCAAATCTTGATTAAAAAATAAATTAGCGTATATTTTTAGGATATTGGTTGGAAAAGCATAGCATTTTCGTCATAGGAATTATCATCATCGCCGACATCGTCTTAATCATCATCATTACAATTTTAGGGTAGACCTATGTGACGCAAATGTGGTTTCCTGTTTGATTATTTGTTCAAGACTTCAAGTTGTTGTGTTTTTTGTTTTCTAGTTGTTCTAAATTATGCAGTATTTTATGCATTCAATAATAATAGTTCAACTTGAAAGACAAAACTTTCCGAAATGATCTTGAAAACGAAGTCGTCGATTCACTTCCATGGCAAGTCAGTTTTTGCAAAGAATGTAGTACTAAACGGCAAAAAGGGGGTGGTGGGGCACCACCTTCACGTTTTAGCCACTTCAGCAACCAAAGAGGGTGAAAGCTAGTCTCTAAGTATTTTGCTGACATTACCGAGAACAACTAAATTCCTGCAATTTCTGCATTTTAGTGGCATCAACGTACGTAAGGAGACCTCAGTTAAAAAAAAAAGTTTTGGATTGAAAGTAAAAGTAACATCCGAAAATTGTCCTTCTCTAAATTTGGCACTATACCCCCCCCCCCCCCCACATTTTCTACATAATGCTACATGTTAAATTCATCCATTCATCTATTTATTTATTCAATATTCATTCATTTTATTGCCGAGAGATATTTATGTTATGGATAGAGATGAAAAATGTTTTTATTCGCCATAAAACTTTCGCAAAACTAACAACGTAAGAATCACCTTAGCAATTTGAAAGGCCTGACAGGCGTATGCCCTTAATGTATTATTTATACTACTCTTTCGATAGCCATTCAAGGTTTATTTCACATGAAACAACAGACTGGGATTTTAGTTTCTACCCCTATATTTATTTTATTCACAGTCAACTGAGGGAAATTTATGGCAGCGAAAATGTCATGGTTCATGTTGGTCATGTTGGTAAAATTAGATAACACACAAACAATTGAAGAAAAAAAAATTGAAAAATAATTATAGCCTAAAGCATAGAAGTATTAAGAAAGAAGGATATAAAATTGAAGAGGGAGACTAAAAGAAAAATGGGGAAAAGGAGGGGTGTAATCGAAGAAACTTGAGGGAAAAAATTAAAAAGACTATAATAAACTCGGTATATAATATAAAACAAAACCTAATCAATCCTATGCATCCATCCTGTATCGTATTATAAACAAGCACTCTTTTCGCTACAAAGCCACGACGCTGGATTAAAAGGCGACACAACATGAATACAAACTTTTTGCAAATCTATACCAACCCTGGCAACTTTTTTAAAAGCCGGACCTATTTTTTGTCATTAGGATCACTGTCGGAGAACCGAACTTCAAGCATTTCTTAATATCAATCATATCTAATTTTGTCACAAAATTTAACTTCATGACTAGTAGGCCTACATTAAATTACAAATCAATAGACCACATCGTTACCCGAAATTGTCGGTTGCTCGAACAAACGGCCAAACATCATTGCAACATTCTTCGGGGGGAGGGGGGGGGGGGCTTCAATCCCGGCCTCCCACCTTATTCGCCTATCATAATAAGGACAATTACACCCCGGAAAACTACTCCCAAGGATAATTACCCAAAGGACAATTACCCCTCGACGACTCAAACTACGCCCAGAAAATTACCCCCGAGGACAATTACCCCCATCTCTGAAACTTAACCCCTATATAGGACATTGACCCCCCCCCCCCCGAGACAACCAAGAACAATACCCCCTGTTCATTAAAGGGGAATTCAACCCCGATAATAAGTTGGGTAATTTTTAGGGGGAGATCATTTTCAGGGTGGAGGGGGGGGGGGTAAAATTATTATCTATCCCAACATCGTATAAACGATGTTCACACAGGGAAAATTTTCTATAAACATGTTTAAAACTGTTGAGTTAAACACGCTTATACTAATCATCTCTAGATACGATGAATTTTAGCTGTGTGTGAAAAGGCTGCATGTTATTGCAATGACGACCTTCGTCATTGCCTTGTTTTCGTTCACATTCTGCCCCATAAATATTCTTCTTGTCTTCGTCAGAAAATCGCATTCGTTTTGCACGTAGTGCTTGTTATTCCTATAGTTAGGTGCTTTTCTCATGTCCATTTCCTTTCAAATTTCGTATGGTCAAGGGTGGGTTTATGTTACCCCTGGGGGCAATATGTCTTTCTACACAGCCATTTTCAATGTTTTCAAAGTAGTTGGCGTCATGATTCTCAGTATCATTATATGGCTGTATTCCTCTTTTGTTATGTACATAACAAAAGAGGAATACACCCTTGACCATTTTATTATTGTTTTGGTTTCGGCCAGGAATACAGACTGGTCAAATGGCCTAATCCATCAAAGTTGTGAGTCATGTTTCGGGCTATACTGTAGGACTGGTAGGATTTCCCTGAATTCAAGTTCGGGGAGAACATGAAAGGAAGTGGACCTGTTGACCAATGGAAATTTAATATTGTATGACCCTTCCCACTTTCTCAAACTGTTGCCCACTGGCGTACCTATGGGGGGGCAGGGGGCTCCAGGGGGAAAAAAGAAAAAGGGGAAAGAAAAGAAAAGAAAGGAAAGGAAAGAAAAAGATAAAAGGAAAAGGGAAGAAAAAAGGAAAGAAAGAGAAACTAGA